TTAACAAGAGACAGAAAGACACCTTTTTTCGTCTCTTTCCGACCCTTTTCGTCTCTTCTGACTTCAGTTGTCGATTATGGAGCTTTTGCGGAAAGGATACTTTTTTTGCCATAATTTTAATAAATCTAATAATACCGTCCGGACTCTATTTTCATGAAAAAAGAGCTGGAATCGTTCTTTTCCCGTTATCGGTGCCAGTCCAAGTTCAACACGTTACTAACAAGAGCTCATTTGCCTTTCTTGCGGAGAGACGCTGTCGCCATAATTATGCAACACCGTTGGACAGACTGGGAAATTTGAAATTAACGCCGCATCTGTTTTTTCCTTGAAAAATGACTTGATTTTTTAATGAAATGATGAATTCAAATCTCAAATTCTTTCCAAAAAAGGGAAAAATGATGAAAAAAGTGATTTTTAGATCATTTTTTTCAAAAATTTTTCACGGAGCATCTAATAAAATTTGACGGTAAAACATTCCCGGAGCTGGAAAATAAACAAAATGATGGTTAGAAAGGGGCTTATCCAGAAGGGTAATCCGTGGAAATCCAAAGAAGCTGGCAAGAACCCACAAAATCCGATTAGTTCCTATTCTAAAGGAAGGGTTTATCGCTTCTAGAGCCTGATTTTTTCGCGCCAAAACGAACAGGAATGTGATCATCAGAGTTTTGGAGCAAGAACACGTGACCTTTTTCACCCCAAAGTCATTTCTGCCGCGTGATAATCTTCTTTCCGGAGATAAATGGATAGCGACTTGTCGAACACGTGGCACTTAAGGGTATCCATCTGCTTACAGAAAAAAAACTGCAGAGAACGACTCTTGATGCGACAGTTTTTACTCTGTTAAAAGTTCCTGTTGATTAAAAAAAAAGATTAAAAATTAATTCTGTAAATTTAAATTGAAAATAAAGCTGGTAAATTGGCCGACATTTTTATTGCTCGCTTGATCAAAATATGAGCTCGGGTGAGTAAAAGTTCAAGGCACTGATTTCATCTGAAATGAATCTTTTCTCTCTTATTACTGGAAGTCTTCAGTGAGAAGAGCTGGTTTCTCAAGTTTTCTAAAAACTGCCCCTTGACCGGAAGTGCTTCTGTCAAACACACTTTGGAGAGAGAAACGGTCGGGATAAGTCGAGATTATTTAATAAATACTCACTTTGGCTTTTTAATTTTTTGATTTTTGGGAAGTCTGACGACTAAAATTAGAGCAGGCTTCGTAAGTTGGTCGAACAAAGCTTCCAATCAGTCGATAAGCACTGAAGTGTTGTTTTTGCGCTATCTGCACTAAAGAATCGGAGTGTATCAGTGGCTAATTGGATAATTCGCGAGAAAATTACTCCCGGACTCTCACAGCGATAAGAGCAGAGGGTACTTAACCAGTTCAGAGTTATCGCTCAATTTAAAAAAAAACCAAAAGAAAACAAATTGCTTATCCGCTTCTCGATTTGATGGATGAATTTTGAATTTTTGGAACGAGAAGAAAGAAAAAAATTTTGAGTGAATAAATCCTATTGCGAGAAATTGCGGAACGAAACGGCGGAGGTAGATAACGCCAGTTCGATATATTTGGACGGGTATGACGATTAGAAGAAAAACTTTCAATTAGAGAGCGGTAAGTGGGACCGCTGGCTATCCGGTAGTACGCTTGCGTGACGAATTCGGTGAGTTTTATGGGTTCCGCGCACGTTGCTGCCCGCTTCTTGTCCACTTGGAAGAGAAAGTTACTTCCTTCTTAGGCGACTGATTGGAAATTTTGATAAAGAAAGAAGCGAAAATTGGAAAGTAGCAATTTTAGATTACCAACTGTTCTCAAAACAATGTGGTTTTACCGGGAGATAAAAACCTTCTTTGACGCCTTTGAAACTTTTCTTTTCTAAGCTCTAGGATTAATGTGTTTTTTTCGACGACATTCAGCAATAAACGGCCACATTAAGCGACATTCAACGACATTTGCCGACAGTCAACGACATTTGCCGACATTGATCGACATTCAACGACATTTGCCGACATTCGTCGACATTCGGCCATTTTGAGCGACATTTAACGACATTCAGCGACATTCAGCGACATTTGGGGACATTGAGCGACATTCGACGACATTTTTTGTTATTCAGCGAAATTCGGCGACTTTCGGCGATATAACAAGTATTGCCTTGATTTCAGCAGTTGCGGTCAAGAATTTTTACTCAAAGTAAATCAACCACAAGCTATCAATAGAACGAAGTAGAAAACCAGAAAATGGAATAAGAAAATGCGAGAAGAAGAATTCTTGCGTTTTTCCAGCCGCGTTTTAACTGGAGTGAAACCGGAGCGAGGTTCCTCGAAAGCTAACTGAGAGAGTCCTTAGCCTCTCAGCTTTTAAATCAGACGCGAGGAGGATAAGTTTAAATCAAAGCTGGACAAATGATCTTCAGCCGGAAAAGGATCAGATCGGGTTGAAAGAAAAAAAAGGAAAATAATAAAAATAAAATGCCGGGATGGTTACGTATATGTTCATAGAATTAAGTGGAGCCGTTCTTGAAATGTTCATTGGATAATCACTTTTGAGAAAATTCTCAGATGTGCATCCCCTTGAATGTTGGCTTGAGAGAATGTTTCGTCTTCACGGAATAATTGCGAGGATAATCTAATCAGGGCAAATTGCACAAACCAAAAACCACAGCAATTTCTAGCGCAATCAAAAATAATCGACAAAAGTCACATCCGCCTATTTTCTTTCGACGTCTTTGAGGAAAAGAAAAATTGTATGTGCGAATTTTTGACTTTTCGCGGCTCATGTCAGATTTGCGCAAGCTTACAGGAGAGCAACAAGTTGTTACTACTTTTTAAGTTTTTAAGTAATCACGTTGCGTAAAATGCAGCTTTTTTCGCTGGCTCTGGCCACACCTAAACAGCTTAACAAGTGACCCAATCAAGTACGAACGAAAAAAACATGATGCATGGAAAAATGGAGTGAAAGATTTTTTGGCAAATTTATTGACGGGGGCTCCTTAAATGGTAAAATTTGAAAAGCCTTTTCGCGGCTTTATGTAATATTTTGACACCCTTAAGTCTTGTCATTTTGAACCTCAATTAAAGAACTCAACATCTAATTTTTAGAAAATTTTTTTTTGAAAAATTGCATGTTTGGGCGTGCATCTGTACCATTCTGCGCCGATACATCAGCACTGCGAACATCAAACAGCTGAGATTAGTCGTAATGAATTTTGTGAAAGAAAGTGAAGAATTTAGAAACGCAGGGGCTCAATCAGCTCTTTAGAAATATCTTCAAGACTCAGCAGGTTAGATGTTTTTTAATCCGGTTTGAGCGGAAAACGGTTTATTTTTTTCGTGATTTCGGAGGGTGTTTAGGGTATCCTGAAAGTTTTGCTTCCAAATAAATAGAAAAAATAATGAATGAAATTCGAGTTTTGTGAATTTATTTTTTATTCATACTTTAAACCGTTCAATTATCGAGTAGGGTTCCCTTAATTTGGCTATGGAAACGAGCTCCTTAAATTTGACGATTCATGTATATAATATTTTCAGCACGGGCTAAACGGCGAAGGTGAAACGTGACAAGCACCGGGTTCCGATTGAATTTAGTGATATGGTATGCATCGAGGAAATTCCAACAAATCGAATATGTGACCGAGCGGTGACATGGACATGGGACGCTCCAGTCGACACCACGCATCACCCAAACATTCCCGAACAGATAAACGCTCTCATAGACGGAAGGAGCTGCTCGAACTTGGCCAAACCCTTTTTTTCATCATTAGCAAATTTGATGAATTTGGTTGAGTTTCTTGATATCTGATTCGCTGGCAGACGAAATCAAGACTTCTGATTGGCTTAAAACTTGAATTGCAAAATTTCATTTTATTCCCGATTTTCAGTTTGTCAATGATTTTCTCCACACGAAAAAACACTCAGAAAAAAATCCCTGGAAGTGATCTAAAATCAGCGTGCTTTATCTTAATGGCCCCTCAAAGCCCGCTCGACCGGTAACCAGTTAAGTGCTGGACTCTTTTCGTTCCCTTTTTTTCGCCGCCAATTAAGTTTCCTTTCCATGATTTGAGAAAACCAAATTTCTTTTTCGAGTCGTTAGAGAGTGTTCCGCGGAATTCATTTTGACTCAACGTGCACAACAAAAAGCTAGAATTATTTCGTGCGCGGGGATGAATTATTTTTGCAGCTGAGTTCTAGTGGCGAAACTCAAAAAAATAAGAAGATCAATTTAATAACATCTTCAATTTCAAGTGATAATTAACTGGACTCTTTAAAAGTTATTCTTCCTTTTACTTATAATTCTTCCAGCAAAAGAGTCCTCCAGGCACTTAAGAAAAAGACATCTGCTCACTTGGTGTCGCTTTTTTGGGCTTTCATTTTCGATACCTTTTATTTTAATTGACCCCTTGTTAAAAAAGATACTCACGTCTATCGAAAATTAAATTACTTGCACTTTAGCCGATCAAGTACTTGAAAGTGAGCATCCTCCATTTTTGAGTATCAATTCGTCCTTCGAGGAACATCTTTCTTTTTTCAGTAACCAGTATTACTTTACCAGTAAAGTAAGTTTATTAAAAAAGATCGTGGCAAAATTTGAAGAAGAGTAAGTTGGTAAGTTGCGCAGCGTCAAATATTATTTTCGTAAATTTTTGTATACAAAATTTTCTGTCGCTAGAAGTGGAAGATGACGGCGAAGTTAAAACATCATTAGCGAAAAAAAACGTGCCTTGGAAAAATTTACAAGACAATTTTCGAAGAAAGAAGTGACTTCCAGAAGACTCTCGAATTCAATGGAAAGTTGATCGAGTTAAAGAAATCACGGGTTCTTTTCTTCGTTTTATTTGACAATTGGTGCCTCGATTTCCGGTTTTTTCATTGATCATGACTAAAAAGGAAGTTCTTGGTAAGTAAGACTTCAGATTAATTTTCAAAGAGACTCAGCATTTTTCTTGATTTTCACAGCTAAAATTCTACTTCCTTCTTTTTCTATAAATAATTAAAAAATTCAGAAGATGAAACTTTTCGCAGCTCTTTTCGCGGCCGCTTTCGGTCAAGAAATGCCCGCTGATTCTGGCGAAACGAATATTATTATGATCAATATGAACGCAGCAAATATTCAAGTAAGTCCTCTCATTTCCGTAGTAATCCTCTTATGCGGTCACTAAGAGGCTTTTTCCTCGTATTTTTAGCAATCAATAACGGCAATAAGTTCAATTGGGACTTTAAAATTTGAATATTTTTTTTTTATAATTTGATTTCAAGATGAACATGGGCGATTTTGCTGGATCCGAAGTACCGAATCTTGAGTCTCCCGGAATTTCCTTCGATTTATTCGGCGAACTGACTGAAGAAGAAAAAGCGCAAGTCAACAGCCTTTTCTCTAATTCGGAGATTCAAGACGGTCTCCAGCTCTTGACTGGCAAGCTACCCGGCTTCTCTTCCTTCTACGATGCGCTTTACCCAGCAGAATCGACTACAACAACTACTCAGCAGACTACTACTACTCAAGGAAATGATTTAATAAAGAAATTATTTTTAAAAAAATTTAAAATTAAAGAATATTTTTTTCATCCAAATTTTTTCGAATGAAAAAAATATTTTTTCAGAAAGAAATTTTTTAAATAAAAATATATTTTTTCAAAAGCATTATTTTTTCATAAAAATCATCAATAAGAATCCGCTGGAATGGGAAAATAATTCCTCGAATCTTCCATCTTTTCAAATCAGTCAAAAGATCATTTTTTCTTGAATTCAATTGAACATTTCTTTCTTTTCAGAGCATGAAAATCTTGAGCTTATTGATCGGAACTCTGCTCGGACAGGACATGGGTCCTGAGCCCGCGCCGGAACCGACGAAGAAAACCAACATCCTGTTTATAAATATGAACCGGGCAAATATCCAGGTAACAATCAAAATAAGAAAAAAAAAGCAAGGTTGTTTTTTTGCTTTAGATGAACATGGGCAACTTCACTAATTCGAGCGTTCCTACAATTGATGCTTCAGGTTTCTTAATTTTTTTTTCTTCCGAAAACCGAAATTTCAGGAGGCTCATTCGACTTGATGACAAACCTCAATACCTCCGAACAAGCCACCCTCGAAACAATGCTTTCGAACACCGAAGTCGAGTCTGGCCTAAAAATCCTCGCCGAAAAAATCCCCGGATTCTCGACATTCTACGACGCTCTCTACCCCTCCGAAACGACCACCTCCACATAAATCAAACATTCTCACGAAATGCAACTTGAAGAATAAATTTTCGAAAGCATGCTGCATGTTCAACTCTACCTTCTTTTCTTGCGCGTTTAAAAAATACTTCTGAGTTTTTTCTGCGGCTCGTGAAGAATTCCTCGTGAATTTATTGAGAAAGCAACAAGTTCGATTAGCTTTTCAGCAAGTTTTCTTTAAAATTTTAAGTTTAATTAAACTCCCTCAATTGGGTCTCGAATCATACAGAACGCCGTATTAAGGGAGAGGCGTCAGGGACCCAAAAAAATCGAAAAAATTTGCGTGGGCGGCTACTCGGCTGCTGATTGGCCTTTTTGACGAATCGAGGTTTCTGATTGGCCTGTTTGCCTAATCCAGGCTTCTGATTGGCCTGTTTGCGAGTTAAGGCTTCTGATTTGTTGAAAATTTTTGTGGGTTTCTGACACTTTATACCATTACCCTGACTCGTTATTCTGGCAATCAAAAAACCTGACTCAGGTTTTCAATACAGCTTGTTTAGCCGAGCCCGAAAAGGCTCACGTTTTCAAAAAATGACTTGTCCCTAACCCAATTTTACGCGTTAATCAGTAGAGTTGTACCGAGTCGTCTTTACAACACCGCAAAGTACTACCTTTGATTTCATTGATCTTTTCAAAAAAATAATTTTCCGAAGATTTGAAAAACGAAATGAGAGAACGTGAGTTGTTACAATTCCTTCTTTCTTATCACGGAGGCAGTGTCGGGCTAAAAAATGTCAGGTGTTTTTGCTGGTTACGTAGAACCGAAAGATAACTGGCTCATCTGACTTTCAAAAAAAGAAGGGGCAGCGGCGGATTAGCCACAAGGCCACAAAAACACGTTTCGAAAATTGCCAGCTCAATTCGACTATAGGCTGCGATTGGAACCGTGCTCAAGAGCAAAGATCGTGTTTCGCCTGGTTAATTGTACATCTGTCATTTTCGTCCGTCCAGTTAAAATGTGAGTGCGGAATCGGGAATCGCTAAAAACCTATAATTTGCAAAAGATCAGACATCGGCTTGTCAAAATAGAATGCTCTCAAATTTAAGGTTATAGGGTTTGCTAGACTCTCGCCCACGTTATCATTATCTGATCGAGCGCAACTCCGGTCGAGCTCGATCAGAAGTGGCATTCGTAACTTTTACTCTCTCCGAGCAACTCGTTATTTATTTCCAGCTTTTCTCTTCAATAATATACAGCAACGATTACTCTACTACCCGACTCTTCCTTGTTGACTTAGAGATTAGCAGGCATTCTTCCAGTGGGAAAAGGCAGTATAGCAGACTCCTTACAGTGGTGTCAAGAAGACCCAGATTCTGGAAAAGTGACGACTTCTCCGACGAGTAAATTTCGCCGTTTCGACCAATCAGAGACCGCGGATTACGAATCAACTCCTAATTTTCCTTGGAACCGCTAGAAACGCCGTTTCAAGAGAATATTACGAAAATTACGAAAACAGAAATTCCCGCCGCGCACAAAAATTCCGTTGGCCCTGATCACCGCCATCCGAAATCGCCGCGAGAATAAAACAACAAACCCACGCACCGAGCAACGGAACACGCCCGCGCCACTCCTTCGCTCACCACACACACACCTCCAACACCTCGCGCGCGCCACCACGCCGCCGCCTAGGCCCCGCCGCGGACAAGTGACGCAACGCCCACCTACACACGCGAAAACGAAACACCACTCACTCTGAAAATAATCAGAAGACACAAAGCCGCGAAAACTAAAACAAAAACACAGAAGACAGAGAATTTTACGAAAACACTTCCAGCAAGAGAAAATTTGCCAAGAGAAGACAAGAACTCCGAGATCGACAACGCGTACATCGGCACCTCAGCGTCATTGTCAGTAACCGTAAAAAGTTGCTGGCTATTTCTGAGGGCCCAAAAGGTAAAACTTTTGATCAAGATCTCGTGACTTCGCACATTTTGAGCTATGACCGACAACGATCCGGGATCAATATACGAAGCGGGCGTCCGAATCTCACTACTTCTGGACATGAACCGCGACCTTGAGAGTCAGATACAAGCTGACCCGGCGAAAGAGCCAGTCTTGCGTCCGATTATCAACAAAAACATCTTGGAACGGGACCGGATAAACCAAATGATGGGAACCCTCTGCAAACACGAACTCAACCGTTCCCAGTCTTTCGCCCAAGGTCACCAAACAACCGCGGATTATCGAGAAGAAGCTCACATCACAGCCACATTTACACGATACATGACAGACACCTCCAAACTCGATGGAAGTTCACACGCAGAATTTACGAACTTCCTGGGCCGACTTTCAATATTTTACAAAGCACACGTCGAAGGTCACGCAAGCAGACTACAACCATTCTTGAACTGCGTTTACTCACACCTCGATATCTCCATCGAACGACAGATCGGTGAAGAAATCCTCCAGTGCTCAACCTGGGAAGACGCAAAGACAATTCTAGAAAAAAATTTCGGCGATAGAAGCCACTTCTTCCTCTCCTTATCCGAAGTATGGGACATCGAATTCGACCCTACGAAGCCAACCGCGCACTACGCCGCGGAAGTCCAGAAAAAGATGAGAGAGGCGAGAGGGGCGATTAAAGCCGCTTTCAAATCTCACAAAAATCGAGACCTAGAAGCCGATGATGTCTTCGAAGTCATAGAAGCCATGCTGCTCTATCTTCAGTTACGATCCAACGAGCCTGAAGTTTTCAATCAGATTTCTCCTTCGCTGAGTAACGTCTTCTCAATAAAGGAACTTGCTCGCCTGGCACAACAAACGATCCAAAACAGAGTTGACACTTCTGTCTCCGTCAACTTCCAAAAGAAGAAAGGCGGGAGATGGAACAGGCGAAAGAAGAGCCCGAAAGGCGGAAACTCGAATAGCGAAGATACCGACTGCGACGACAAATCCGAAAAGAAAGTGATGAAGACGACAATTGAAGAACAACTGGAACCATTCCAATACTATCAACTGAAGTCGAAGAATTCAATCAAGACTAACTTCGCAGCTACAACCATCACGGTGGACTCTAACAGTTTTGACACCATGATGGAGGTAGACAGCGGAGCTGCTTCTTCTACAGTTTCAGTCGATTGCGTACCCGACCAAATTCTCAAACAACTCCAACCCTGCCCATTCGACATTTCTGGATTCGACCCCAAGTCACCGCCGCAAAGGCCACTTGGTTTACTGGATTGCCGGTTCTCCTTCAACGATGGACCACAAATCAAGGTCGAGCTGGTGGTTACGCCCGCCGGTTTTCCGAATCTACTGGGCAGAGACGTTCTCGACAACGCAGCGATAGACGGACTCGCTGTCGACAACAAGTTAAGAACTCTTACGTTATATTTCGACAACTCTTTTACGAAGACGAAGTCCCAAACGATAAAACTCAAGGGTGTGGCTCATAGTAGAGTCAAGTGCTTCCGAATCACCCACAATGAGCGATCTAAAGCTACGAACGTTACTGCGGACAACAAAAGTTTACGTTAGCTGCATCACCGAATTCCTGTGACCAAGGATGCCCAGCGAAGCGAGTAAAAGAGGTGCTACACATCACATTTCCGGACAAGAGCGACAAGTCACACCAGGTAGATGAGGCTTCGCGGATTCGGAATGGTCAACCGGGAAAAATTCCGTTCGGGGCGGAAACAAAAGTACCCCTCCAACAATCGGCGAGACTCCTTGGCCGAGACATCACGCAGTCCGGGACTAGGCCAAGCCCGGAAAATCTGTTGAAACCGCGGATGATGGAACCCCCAGGGAACTTAAAGGAACTCACGTCGATAATTGAGCCTCTTTGGGTTCGACCATTTGTTGAAACGACAGTGGGAGAAAAGAACGCAACAGACAGCTTTTCTCATCGCATTGTGCCACTTTACTCAGTCAGAAACTCGGCGACTGACACAGCCGTATTCAAATGGTCACAAAATGCGAATTTCGCGCTACAGGAGCTACAAATGCGATTGGCTCGCCCTCCGAAATGGGCATATTGGTTAGCCGCGGAGTCCAACACTCACAAAGAACACTTTGCGATTGAATGGGGATGCGAGTGTCCGGAGATGATGCTAAATGGACGCCACTTCTACCTGCATTCCGATCGTCGCCATCTGCTCTTTCTACAAAACGGTAAGATGCCGGATTTAGCTTTGGCCAGCATCACCGAGCACAGTGGTCACGCTTCTCGACGACTCGACAATTTGAGATTCATCGACGATTTCGAAATGGACTGTATTTTCCCTCAACTCACCTCGACCATCAAGTCGAAGGCTCATCAAATAGCTCAACCGCGAATTCCACCTCCAAAGAAACCAACTCAATCGGGTTCATCGTCTCAGGGGAGAGGAGTTATACGCCCGTCAAAAGGTCTCAGGTTCAGACTATCAACCCAGATATCTCGCCTGTGAAATATGCCGCGGATGATACTACTGGTGGAACCACCTGGGAAAACACCATCTCCGAATCAGCCCATTCTCAAGCTCTATCTACCCAGAACTTAGATGTCAAGTCGCGTGATGTGGCAGATTTAAATAATACGTCAGAAAATGTCGCATCACAAAAGAGACCCACTCCAGTGCAAAAACGACGTCAAAAGCGTACTCGACCCGAAGCTTCTCCGAACAGTACAGTTGTCGAACTGCATTCGAAAGCGCCGCGGACATCATCTCGAGTGAAAACCCCAGTTCAACCGATGAACTTCAATAGCTCCAGCAGCAAGAGCTACAACTATGCGAAAAATGCTGCCCCTTCAGGTCCAACAGAGCTCGCTCTGTATCATCGACCGGGGCCTGAAAAGGTTAGACTTTATCACTACAGTACCGTCGCCGACCATTTATTGAGCACAATCCCTGATCCAGCCGATTCGCCCGCTCGCCATCGCTAGAAGAGCTACTCTACATATTTTGGTCTAGATTCATGCTTTTTCTCCCACGTGGTTTTTTAACGCAGAATCGAATCCAGAATGTAGCACTTTCTCAAGATCCTGTTCATTAGATGCGTCAAAGTCTATTCCTGCCACTATTTTTATCATATGCTCAAGTCTCAGGGGAGTATAGGGTTTGCTAGACTCTCGCCCACGTTATCATTATCTGATCGAGCGCAACTCCGGTCGAGCTCGATCAGAAGTGGCATTCGTAACTTTTACTCTCTCCGAGCAACTCGTTATTTATTTCCAGCTTTTCTCTTCAATAATATACAGCAACGATTACTCTACTACCAGGGCTGCACAATTGGATTGGAATCCAATTGGTTTCCAATTCCAATTGGATTGGATTGGTAAATTGGTTGGAAAAGGGGCGGGAAAATCAGGGTCTGTCCAATTGGATCGCCATTCCAATTGGAAAATGGGGGTCCAATTGGCAAGTGGTCGCCAATTGGTAAATTGGCAAAATGATTGGATCAAACCACCTCCATCCACATCGGAAACCGAGTTTCCGAACGCCCTTAAATTTAAAAATTAAGGAACGGGGCTGAGACGGCTCGAAGACTGCCCACAACCGTCCCGAAGACTGCCCACCACCACCCACATACCCACTATTTCCACCACTTTTTGCCAACCTCAGCTTTTTTTTTATCAAAACGCATATGGGGGTCGGGGACTTCTAGTACCAAAGCTTTTTGGTACTGCCAGAACCAATTTTGACTATTCGATTGATATTTTAACGAAATATTTCATTGGGAACAATAGTAGGCGGGTAAATAGAAGTGTATCCTGTCCGAATCTGTAAGTTTCCTACCACAGAACCCGCGCAGCGGGCGTTTTTGGCTGACTAAAATTGGTGAACTCATTATAAAAACTGAATTTTCCAATTAGAATCCGATTTCTAATTGGAATTTGGCTGTCCAATTGGAAAACTCGTGCCAATTGGAAGCTTGATTCCAATTGCCGATTGGACAGCCAAATTTCAAATTGGAATTGGCATTGGATTGGAATTTGGTTGGATTGGCAAAATTTGGGTTGGATTGGATTGGCAGTTGGTTGGAAAAATCCAAATTTTTTTGCCAATTGTGCAGCCCTGCTACTACCCGACTCTTCCTTGTTGACTTAGAGATTAGCAGGCATTCTTCCAGTGGGAAAAGGCAGTATAGCAGACTCCTTACAAGGTCATATCAAAAGTTCCTCAACAAGCGTTTTTTCGATTTATTCTAGCGCGCCTTTTCGAGAACATAAACCAAAGTCATTTTGTCGAATTGAATCGGTTTTCTCGAAATGATTTTGTTCACGTGACGAGAAATCCGAAAAAAACAGTAAAGAATTCCTCGGAAGAGATGATTCTTCTTTTAACTTCAAATTCTTCCAGTAAGAGGGGTCCTCCAGGCAAAAAAAAAAGAAAATTGCTCGCTTGGTGTCGCTTATTTGAGCTTTTCTTTCGGGAAATCAAGCCTTTTCTGAGCTTTTGCCTGTCCTCTTATAAACAGTATGGTATTTATAGTAAATAGTTTTTTATATCAGCAAAAAACAAAAAGCACGCGAGAGACAAAGTATTGCAATCTTATCCCTTTTCCGAGACAATTTGACTTCCAAAATCTCCACCCAAGGAAATCTGATCTGGCATGTTGATCTTTTAAGACACTTCCACCATTTCCGACGCATAGTTTGATCCGTTCGATTACTCAATCAACTCATTTAAATTCTAAAAAAATAGAAAAAATTGAAAAATTAAAAGAAAAATGAGCATTTTTTCTAAGAAAAAAGTGAACTGAAATTAACCCTAGCTGATCTGTGTCAATCTGTTTCTTACGAAAGTCGCTCGAGCTAAATTGCCAGCTGCGGTGGCTGATGATTTCGTGAAAAGAAACACTCGAGCCACTTTTGAAAATACGCAGGCATAACCTTTCTAAACTTATCGCGCTTACAAGCTTATCGAAACATCAGTTATCCACTTTTTCTTTCACATTTTGTACCTGACTATTTATTCGTGTGAAAAATCAACAAAGATCAAAGTTTCAATTTCGTTACAGAGAATCATCTTTATTGGTTTTATATTATATTATATTATATTATTCATTGTAGCCCTAGGTCTTTGGCAACAAGAGCGGCTGTCGTCGGATGCATCGATGGCCGATTCTTCTTGAAATTTTCTAGAGCTCTTGGCCGCGCAAACTCCCAATTTTTCAGGTCTCGGTACAACGGTCGTATGAATTTTACCCGCCCCTTGAATGAGGAAATAAAAAGCGAATTCGATGCTTAATTCACCTGTTCAGTGAACATCGCAAAAGCATCATCAATAGCTGGCTTGAATCGCGATTGAAGGCCGAGGCGAATCCATCGAAAACGAACTTCCGAGTTCTGCGACTCCGATATGCGTTTGTAAATGACGGACATTTGCTGAATCTGATCTGGAGAAAACGAGCTGTCAGCAACTAGCTGGTCGAGGAATTCTTTAAGCTGGGCGGAATTGAATGAAGAAATATCATTTGCTGATGGAGTAGCATAACCTGCCCGCCATTTTTTCGCCAGCTGAAAAATTGGTTTTAAAACCCAACTGTTTACTACTTACGGCGGTGCAAACATCCTGTAGGCTCGTATCAAACTGTGGCTTAGGAACAGGAGGCATGCCTGTGCCGTTGAACCAACCATCCCAGTCGACTGTATTTAAAATGGCGTTATCTTTTTCTGAAGCAGAAAAGTGCTCGAAAAGAAAGTCTTTCCATTCTTGAGTATCAAGCGCTCCGTATGAGAACTTCTCGATGTAGGCTTCAAGAAGTGATTAAAAACTTTGAAAATAGGTTCTCAGGATGGCTAAGATTTATTTTAAGTCACTCAATCCTTTAAAAAAACCTTCAAACTTCGAAACGCCTAGGAGTGACTGTAGGTGGTAAAGAAGGGCGAAGCCTTTCTCGTACGGGATCCGGGAAAAAGACTCATCTGGGTCAACGAAGCCGTCATTTTGGATCACGAGTTTCGTGTAGTCATGCTCTGTCCCCAAAGTTTTCACAGTTTCCGCTAGTTCTGTTCATGGTTCTCACCTTTGTTGAAATCAAAGAAGACGACTTTGACCATAAAAGAGTGTACCTTTCCTGTCCAGCCAATTATCGCCAAGAGCTCTGCAGTCGGCTTATCATAAATTTTCTCCACGATCTTGCGCTCGACAAAGCGTGTGTGTCCTTCGTTGAGCCAGAAATGCTCCCAGTTTACGTTAGTCACCAAATTTCCTGTCCAAGAGTGCGCGATTTCGTGCGCAACGACGTAGGCGAGAGACTTGTCTCCGGCAAGAAGAGCTGGACTGACGAAAGTGAGACAAGGGTTTTCCATTCCTCCATAAGGAAACGAAGGAGGAAGGACGAGAATATCGTATTTTCCCCAAACATATGGGCCGAGGAGAGACTCGCCCGTCATGATGAACTCTTCTGTCTGCGAAAATTCAAAAGCAGCCTTTTCAACGAGCTCCTTTTCCGACCAAACTCGCGATCGAGGGCCAATTTTCCGGCTCTCCAACTTGCCACACGCAATAGCGACCAAATAGCTGGATATTGGAATATTTTGAGAAAAATAAAATCTGTTGATGATATCTGTTCTTTCTGTCTTTTCATCTTGGAGATTGGCGCTCATCAAGGCGACAAGAGAGGCGGCGACGGAAACCTTGGCTGTGTACCTAAACTTCACTCCAGGAGAATCCTGGCAAGGAAAAAGAGATCGAGCGTGAATCGCCTCGCACTGGGAGAACATGTAAGGGTGTTTTCCACCAGCGGTCTGTTCTTTATTAAGCCACTGAAGAGCCGAACATTTCTCCGTCGTGTTGTAAAAGATCTTGACAATAAGATCTTCCCCTTTTCGTGGTGGTTCATCAGGAAGATCAATAATCAGGGGTTTTCCAAGCGCTTCTGTTTTGCCATTTTGGCCAGCTTCGCCGAACGAAAACTTCATTTTCTTTCCGTCGATGAGGACTTTTTGAACATCGAGCTCTCGAGTATCGAGAATGAATGCACAAAGGCTTTCTTCGAGCACATCACAAGTCAGTTCCGCTGACCCTCTGACCTGCTTGAGGGAAAAGTCGACATTCCAGTCGAAATGGATTGATTTTGTCCGAATTTTTGTGATGTCGCTGAAGGAGCACGGATCAGTCTCGAAGTTGACCATTCTCTTTTTTAGACAATAAACTTTGCGACAGTAAGGAAATTAATGAGCGAAAAAGCAAAAAGTTAAACAGGAAGTTGGGTTTTGTTTTGAATTAATTTAATTAACGAACTGATGAGAATAATTTGAACTGCTTGAACTTAGAGTCCGAGTCGAAGTTTGCCGGTAACGAGTCGTTTTCTGCTCCTTTTTCTCAAGGTTCTCATCATGTATTTAAATAACAGTGCTTTTTACTTTAGTGAGAAGCGTCCCTGGTAGAAAAGAAAATGATTGAGGCAAGTGTGAGCGTCAGGCCGTATCTTCGGATCGTACGTCTAATAAAAAAGGCGAATTAATTGACGAGAAATTGAAGTGGTTCTTACAAGCAGGGATGTGTATTCGCAAAAATTTTTGCTTTGCGCTGCGCTGCGATTGCAGAAATTTTGGGGTCCATTTTGCGCTGTTTTGCGCTGCAAAATCCAAAAATCGCGCAATTTGCGGAATTTTGCGCTGTTTTGCGGAAAATCAAAATTTGATGATTTTGCGAAAGTTTTGCGGATTTGCGGATTGCGCAGATGACACGCAATTTGCGTAATTTTGCGAATTTAGCGGGATTTTTGCGCATTTTGGGAATTTTGCGGGATTTTCGCACATTTTGCGAAAATCTGCGAATTTTGTTGTATTTTTGGCCCCATTTATTTCTACTTGAAATGGAGAGAGGGGGTGGAAAATGAAGATTTGAAAAATGCACTAAATTTTGTCAAGGCTCTCACGCCTTACTGAGACGCGCTTTTTTTACGGTTGGATTTTATAACTTTTTATTCTGTCGGTCAATTTTGGAGTTCTTGGGCGCAAAATAATCGTCTTGAAAAATAAAAATTTTCCAGTGCATTATTTTTTTCAAAAAGTACCTAATACAACTGATAAGAGCAAAAAGAGCGATAAAAAGAGTTTGAGAAAGCCTTTTGAGATAATTGTACCAGCAAATTCATCAGAATGAAAATCTTGAAAATCTCAAAGTTAAAAAAGTACTCAAAAGTACTGATAAGACCAAAAAATACTGATATCTTGGCTTTGATGGGGCAAATCCGAATGATTTCAACACCAAAACCGATTTTTTTGTCTTCTTCTTTTTCAATTGGTCTCACGTGTATAAGATGGAATTTGGTCAACAAATGAAATAAATTCTAGCTTAAATGCTAGTAACTCTCATCTGTACTGCGATTTCAAATGAGCGGAAGTTCTCAATAACCTCCGGAACATTTTATTAGAAAGGTTGATTTTCTTAAAAAAATCTACTTGACGCAGCCGGTGGGCCAGATGAGCCAAAGAAGTAAATAAAAAACTCGACGTTGCCTTATCATATGGCCATATGCGCTTATTGCAGCTGTCCTCTCGTATTTAAATTGATCAGAACTCGGAATTTCTCATAGAACAGAACCTTTAACTATTTTTTATTGAAAAAATGTCTGGTGATAAACTACCGGCTGAAATCCTTGAAAACTTGCTGAAAAAAGAAGAAGAAAAAACAGTCAAAGATCGAGAATTTCGGTCGAAATTTGGGGAGAAAGAAACTGAATCAATGCCCCTAAAACTTCTTCAGAGAATGAAGAACTTAAAAATTCCTGACTAATTATGTTAACTTTTGTTATCATTGTAAAAGAGTTAAAAAGGATGTAAATGGATTTCGAGTCAAAAAAAAAGATCGAGATCGTTTGATGGAGGAAGCTGAAAGGGTTGCTCTTCGATATCGTCATCGTAACAATGGCGTAAGAGAATTATAGGGTCAATATCATGGTCAACTGACTAGAACGTCAGTTTATTATTTTATTATCTCGCGCTGCGCGCATTGTGATGATTCCTATCAATTTTCTTTTATTATCCAAGAAATTGACCTAGAATACAGTCAATCCCGATTCTTTATCAAGTCATGTTCGAGAAAAAATCTCTTGAAGCCCAATAACAATCGATAAGCCAGATAAAGTCCCATTTTTGACAATCAATACCTTCTTCATTTCGTACAACAACCTTGTATTTTACTCTTAAAAATTTGTTATATCACTATTTTCGGGCTTATCAGTAATTTAAGGATCTATTTTCATCGACTTCGAGTTTTGAAAATTTCTCTCCGATCAATTTGGTTGTAAAATCATTAGAAAGGATGCTTTCAAACTCATGATATCATTACTTCCGGTCTTATCAGTACTTTTAAGTCCCATCTTATCGATCATGATTATTGAGAATTTCTTTCTCGTTAATTTGGTGGTAAAATCAGTTCATTAGATGCTCTCAAACTCGAGATATCGCTACTTCCGGTCTTATCAGTACTTTTTGGTACTTTCTTATCTATTATGATTGCAGAGGAATTCTTTCTGATTAATTTGCTGGTGAAATCACTCCAAAAGATGATCTCAAACTGAAGATATCGCTTTTTTTCTTCTTATCAGTACTTTAAGGTACTCTTATCGGAAAAATAATGCATTGGAAAATTTTTATTTTTAACGAGGATCATTTTGCGCCCAAGAACTCCGAAATTGGTCGACTCTATAAAAAGTTATTAGAATCCAACCGCAAAAAAAGCGCGTCTGAGGCATAACAGTAATGCTATGACACTAGTTTCTTATAGAGGACCCTTGACTCTCTGAGGAATGCTGAAAAAATCATGCAAAATGTTGTTCTTCGCTTCTAGAGAGGGATGAACTCAATTCGCCAAGAAGAGGTTCCTCTTTTGCTGGAAGACCTGAGAATGGGTCCTCCGCTATAAAATTTTGGGGACATTATTCCGGGGTTATAAAAAGTTATTTTCATGGTTTTCAAAAAGAACCATAATTAAGCTAAAACAAAGATAATATAGATTTTTTAAATAATGGGTGTGGGTGGGGTTGGGGACAAAACTGAGATTGATCAACTCAGAGTTCCAAGCCTTTGTCAAGCCCCTTAAATTTAGAAATCAAGGAATGGGGCTGAGTTTGAAAAACTGAATAATCACCCAGCAAAATTTCATTGAACCGACCGGTTTATTTTTGCCGGTAAAATGACCGGTCTGTTAACTACGATATCGGATTGTTTTATGTCGGGAATTATTCAGTTTTTCTTCCGCAAATTACCGCCGAAGTTGTGAATGCGATGATGAATGAGGATTTGATATGGAAATCTTCACAATTAACATCAAAAAAATGTAGAAATTCTTAGCAAAATCCCGCAAAATTGCATTTTGCGGACTGCAAAAGTATTGAGATTTTGTGGAATTTTCGCGCAAAATGCGCTTTTGCGCGCAATTTTGCGGAAAAATTGCGGAAATTTTTGGGGCTGATTTTGCGCTGTTTTGCGCTGCAGAATGAAAAATCCCGCATTTTGCGCTGTTTTGCGGATTTTGCGCTGCGAATGCACATCCCTGCTTACAAGCATCCGTTCTATCAGATCGAACAGGGCGTTGTGGTCGGCATGCAGTGGTTTTCTGTTGTATTTGTAAAGGTTGAAAGTCTTTTCGAGGTCGATTTTGACAAGAAAATAAGGATCCCCCTATGAATCATGCTTTCCGATCAAAATTAACCTTCCCTTTCTCGCTTTTTTGCCACTTTCACTTTCCCAATCAATTTTCAGAGAATACCCTCTCTCATTATATTGATAAAAACTTGATGATTTCTGCATGATACTAGTCGTTGGAGCTCCTAAAAAACAAGGTGAAACATAAACTTCATTCATTCTACCGATATATCGTTCCATAATGGCCAAATGCTCCAAATCCTCATGCGTATCAAACATCGTATCCCCGGTATAATACTCAAAAAGCATGCAACCCAGCGACCAAATATCAATCTTCGTGCCCCATTTCTGACCGAAGATAATTTCCGGCGCTCGGTAATGCCTCGTCGAAACAGTTTTCGAATGATGGTCAGTTTCAAACACAGCTGAGCCGAAATCAACAACGATTATTTCTGTCGTCAGAAGTCGTCTGCTTTTTGGATCGCCAGGAATCGACTCGGCAAAGGGTCGCTCGCTTTTGAAGAGGACGTTTTCGGGCTAAAATGAGATGCGATGGAAGATTTTGAAAGTATACTTACTTTTATATCTGTATGAGTGCACTTATTCGCGTGAAGAAATTGAAGAGCGGATAACAACTTCATAAAGAATAATCATATTTACATAAGTTTTATTCTAGAGCTATTCATTATTCCGTTCCTGAGAGCAAAACGACTTGATCGTATTAAATTTGTAGGGCTTGTATCCAATACTCTTCATGTAATCATACGTCGAAATTCCATGCACGGGAAAAACGAGACACACGTGACCGTTGAATGAAAAATCATGGAAGAGTTGCACGATGGGATAGTAACCAGCGTGGTTTTTGCGAGTCAGGTTTTTGAGAATTGAGATTTCAATCTTCGCCGCGGCAGTGTATCTAGTTTCCGGATCGAAATTTCAAAAAGGGGATAAGGGTATACCTTGGGATATTCCTGACGACTTTGATAGCGCAGTTGAGCCCGCTCTCGACATTTTTGCAGAGGTATACTTTTCCAAATGTTCCTTGACCGAGTTCTCTCTCGACCGACTTAAAAAAATATATCGATAAATGAAGAAAGAATGGCTGTAAATCATCATTTAACAGTAATCAGAGGCTTGATATGCGCAAGAATCGCAAGATATGCATTGCGGGCTTGCATTTTTCCGTTATTTTTGTTCAAAAAAGCCTCTTTGTAAGTAAAAAATACCTTCCAAACATACCCAAGTGTGCGCTAGAAAATCGCCAATGCTTCCTTCGTAATGTCCCTGCTTCTTACCGTCAGACTTCGATTTCTCGGCCATAGATCTGTCTTTTTTGTTTTCCGATTTTCTTTTGTTTCGTCCAAAACGAAAATTTTCTGAAATTCTCTCGATTAAAATTTGAAATTGAATAATTTTTTTCTGCTAAAAATTGTTAAATTTACGTTTAGATGAAAAATTGTGTTGAATAAATTTTCGTAATGTTGAGGCCATGTAAAACGTGCTGCTCGTAAAGGGCTTCTCTCGCCTCGGGGCCGAGCGCTGTTTGTTCTTCCGAAAAGTAAATTTGCCACGAGAAGCGATCCGATGCTTTTCTTGACATAGAGCAATTCCTCTTCCTGGATTAGATTCTAGCCCGGGCTAGTATTGGAGCGGGTATACTGCCAAGAAACCCTCGGAAAATAAAATTCAGGCTCGTTGCAGTAGGTTTTTCGTCAGAGTTGAATTGGCGCAAATTTGCGGTCTGAATCGGTTATTCCTTGAAATCATGGAAGAGAATTACCGGAACAAGAGGCCGAGGAGAAAACAAAAACGCGCAAACAATGATCAAGCAGACTGTTACTTTCTAGGGATGATCGCATTCGAAGACATCCATGCAGAGACCATCTGTTAGGGACTTGGCCAGGAGATCACCATCGCATCGGCAATCGGTCAAATTCGAGTCAAGGCAACCAGCATGGCAGGGGGAAAAGTAAGTCGTTGCGGATTGTTGATCACAAACGGGCTCAAAAACATTTTTCTGACAAAAGCAACGAGAAAAACACGATGATAAGTTCGAAGAGCTCGATATGACTGGATCCCCATTTACATCAAAAACACCAAAAATTTCTTGATTATCGCAGGAAAAACCATACAAACTCGGCAAATACACAACCAACAGTGCAATAGAGGTAAGAAAACAGATAAAAAGGAGTTTGTTGCTTTGTAATTTGAAAGTTCCAAGCGGAATCGGAATGAAGCATCCAAGTATCCCTCCAATAGCGCATAAGCCGCCGTAAATGCGTGCTTCAGAGGGGGAGATCGAGTAAATTTCTTGGAGGAATTTCATTCCATCGCCAACCGTAGCCGCTTGCTGATGATTTACATCAGTAAAACGATCGAAATGAAAGCATATTCATGTTAAATCTTTCCTGTCATATAACTATCAAAACTTCCACCAAGAGTGGAAAACCACCAGCAACCATTTCTCAAAACAATTTTTGTCGACTTTAATTCGCTCCAGAAATTTGTCGTTTCACTTCTTTCCCTCTCTGGTGCCCCTGGTAGAAGTCTCGGATAGCCAAAGAGAAAGGGAAACGTAAGTAAAGCAAGGCCAAGTCGAATAAGAAATGGCAACCACCAGGCGCCAAGCCAGTTTGGACTGCTCGGGTCCAGATGGACAGTGTCGTGGACAGAAATATCCGTCCAAACGCCGAGAGCTGCAGCGCTTATATAAATTCCGACAAGAGGTCCGATTGCTACAGCACCGTTGTAAATTGACATATTTCTTCCTCCTTTGACCGCGTTTGTTTGATCCTCTGCTGCAGTTGATCCTGTGAACAAACTGTTTATTCTTGCCATTTGCAGCAGGCATACCTCTTGACCACAAGACACTGGCCCCCATCCCGCTCAATATTCCGGCAAGAACAAAGCAGGCTCGAGAGGATTTGCGAACCGTTGTAATCGCAAAAATCAACTTGGTTTTCACAAACCATTCCTAGCCAACCATGAACATCATCCTTTATATTAGACATTGTTCGTGTAAGCGAGCAAATGTTTGGTTCAGAGCTCTCCTCTTCCAAAACCGGAGCCTTCGGAGTTCCAAAATGAGGAATCACATAGAATAGACTACTGATAGCGATTGCCGCTCCCGCAGGACCCAAAGAGGCGCCAAGGGAAGTCTTTTTCGCCAACCAACTCAATGGCAAAATAGCGACGAGGAAGCCAATTTCATAAGCGGCCATGATCAGTCCCGATTGCTTTGAATTGAAACCGAAGCGTTTTTCGATTGTCGATAGACTTGCAGAGAGCGCGCCATTTATACCGATCATATTAATAGCAATCATTAAAGAGAGGAAGAAAATAAACCAGTTGATGTAATTCAAGCACTTTCAAAAAAATTTAATTATGACCGTATGGAAAAAATACCTGCAGGAATTCAAAATAAACCAAAAAGCCATACTTGCTATTTTCTCTTTCGTCCTTTTTATTTTCCTCATTCTGAAGTATTACTTGATTTTTGGACTTACCATCCTCAGTCATCTTTTAAATGGATATAACGAGGAATGAAATTGAGCATAAATTAAATTTATTTCCTGTTAATTTAAAAATATGCGAACTCGACGAAAATACGGTATATTTAAAATGTAAGTACAAATAATTGCCAATATTAATAAAAACGAAGCTTGTTTGCATAATCGTTCTTTTTTGTTGGTCAAGAAATTGGAGCTAAGTTAGCAAAGAAAAGTCAACAAAGAGAAGTTAAAAAAATGAGTGTTGAAATTTCGCTCTTTCAAGTAGACGATAAAAACTGGTGGAAATGGTTCTTTAGGGGCATTTTTTGCAACCCCTATGTCAGGTTTGAATATATTGAAAAAGAACGATAAAAATGAAGGGATTTTAGCATCAGTATTTCGAAAAAACTTCTTTCAAAATCTCGCCCGAAAGAATTTGCTTATGTTTCTCACTTTCAATGGGCAGTTTTCATCATATTCCTTCTGCTGGATAATTTCGATCTCCACCAACTATCAACTTTTACCAAGCTCATTGGAATGGCCTTATGGTTTGTTTACATTTTTCTCGTCATTCGTCTCCGCTACCGATTCAACCAAAAGAAACTCGAGGATCATTGCCACTTGATGGCGCTTTTGTACACTTGCTGCTGCCCCTGTAGTTACGGCCAGATGGGAGCCGAACTTTTAGAAAAGAAATCTGCCATAATCACTGTTTGAAAAATCCGCAATAAAAAGAGAAAAACAACGCCCAAAAAGATGCAAATAGAAATCAGAAAAAATGAGATCATTGAAAGTTTAGTGACAAATCCAATATTTACAGAAATCGTAGTCTGAGAGAAAATAATTCTGAAAAAAAATCTAGCACTCGTTTTTAATTTAAAATGGATGAAAAACTATCAAGAGAGTCTTCAGAGAGTTCTCAAAATGAAAACGAGAAAGTTAGCGAAAAAGAAGAAAGCAAATATGGGTTCTTTTTTTACTTCAAATTTCTTCAGGTACTCGCTTTCAAATTCATAAATTTCCAAAGTTAGTGTTTTAATTCGATGAACTGGTTCGTTTTCTTCCTTTTTATGATGATCGCCGCAAATGGCTTTGGCGTAAATGGCGCTCTTCTAGCATGCGTTTCTACAATCGAAAAACGCTTTGGATTCAACTCGAAGCAGTCCGGTTTGATCATCGCCGCGTATGATATCGGTTATCTTGTCTTTGCGTTTCCTTTCGGTTGGTTGTCGAAAAAGATCTCTCTTGGCGGCTCTTTGGGGCCAGCTGGAGTAGCAATTGCGCTGGGTGGTGCGCTATATTTTATTCCTCATTTCGGGACTCCAAATGCTCCGATTTTGGGGGAGGAGGATTCAGAACCCAACGTTTGCTCCCTTTCTAGAGAAAATCATGTTTTTGAAGCGATTGATCAATCTGGGTGGCTAGGAAAGGGTTGACAAAAAGAGTTTTATAGCATAAACTAGAAGCTTCTTTTGACCTTTTTTTGAGCCTGTTTTATCATCGCTGGAATTTTAACTGGAATGGGTAACAGTGTTCTTTGGACAAGAGGCAAGTCTACCCAACTTCAATTTTGATGCAACCCTTCTTTTTTCAGGAGTAACAGCGGCAGAGGACCAAACAAACGAGCAAAAAGGAGGAGTAAACATATCAATCTGCAACGGCGGCTCTGTTGCAGGACCTTTGCTCGGAATATTCATCAGCGTTTTCGTCCTCGGCATTTGGACGGATATCTCTTATCACGAATCTGTCGATCTTGACCCAAGCGATCCGAACTGGATCGGAGCCTGGTGGTTGCCATTTTTGATTCAGTTTCTTTTCGCTTTTCTGACTTTTCCGTTTCTCTTTGGTTATCCGAAAGTGCTACCAGAAGCGCCAGAGAGGAAGAGGAGTGAGAAGACGGATTTCTGGAGCGAATTCAAAGCGACTAAAGTTGTCTTGAAAAATGCTTGTTGGTGGTTTTGCTCGTTTGGTGCAATTTGTGATACTTTCACAACGGCTGCTCTGATGGGCTACGGAATGAAATTTCTCCAAGAAACATATTCCATTTCCGCTTCTGTCGCTGGACTTTGCGGTGGCTTGTGCGCTGTTGGAGGTCTTATTGGCTGTCTGATTCCGATTCCTTTTGGAACTTTCAAATTGCAAAGCTACAAGTTGCTCTTTATCTGCTTTTTGACCTCTGTCGCCACATTGGTTGTTTATTTGCCGAGTTTGTACCGATTTCCTTGCGACAATCAGGAAATTTACGGTGTTTTCGATTCAAGTGGAAATCCAATCGGCTCTGAAGAGGCTGATTTATCCTCTTGCCTTTCGGGATGTTCCTGTAAAAATGAAATTTTCGAACCAGTTTGTAACGAGGAATCGGCCGTAACTTACTTTTCTCCTTGCCATGCTGGTTGTCTCGATTCAAATTTGACCGATTGCCAATGCAACGATTATCAAGTCTCGAAATCTCTTACCGATGGTTTTTGTGAAAACGCGATTGAATGTGATTCGCTTTTGAAAATTTCACTTTGCTTCGTTTTCGTTTTTGCGTTTTTATATGTTCCATTGCCGCTCGTTCCGGTAATTTTCATTATTGTGAAAATTTGACCTTTTGATTTCAGACAGCTTATTTGCGTCAATTCAACTCCGACGAAAAACCAGCAGCAACGAGCTTGAACCTCATCCTCACCCGCTTGCTCGGAAGCATCCCCGCTCCAATCATCGTTGGCGCTGTCATCGACGAAGCCTGCGTTGTTTGGAGCGAAACAAAAGATGGCTCTGATGGAAATTGCTTGATTTATGATAACAGGCAGCTTGTTCATGCATTTTCTGTCCTCCGTAAGAAAATTTTTTGACTATAAAAATTTAAGAACTGGATTTTCTAGCACTGACGATGAAAGCCACTGCTGGACTGTGCTATCTCATCGCTTCGTATTTTGCGAGAAAGAATGATCTTATGAAAATTGAGAATTAAACGATTCAAAAAGAGATTGATAAAAGAAAAGATTCTACTCAAAAAATTGAACCTAATAAAGAAACATCATTTTAACTGAGAAGAATTAGAATTGTCCATGTAACATGGATCATGTTTTGTTTTTTGTTATTTATTACAGATCATGAATACATGTGAAATACATCGATAGTTGTTTCGAGGATATGGAAATTTGAAGATGTAATGAGTTTTTTCTCATTGTTCATAAGACGGTCTGTTCTTCATAGTGAAGCAGCTAGTGGATTTGCGCGTATCTTGCATCACCAAATAGTTCACCATTCTGAAAGATCATTTGATTTCGACAAAATTTTGCAGCTTACGAATCTAGTTGCGCTTTTTGGCCGGTTAAATCTCTCTTGCTGAATGTTCATTGAATAACTGGACATGATCGAATAGTAAAAGACCGGCGCGTTCACGCAAATTTCACTTTCGAGCATCGACATTATTTCAAATCTGAGGCTTTCGAATTTTTCCCCACAGGAATCTTCGAATTCTTCTCTCATTAGTTGGTCCATCTCGACTTGCGAAACAATCGGGATCAGTCCTTTTCGCGCGAAGGATTTGCCGACGCCTTCAATCAGCGAGATCTCAGACGGAGGAGCGGCAATGTAAATGAAGTCGAATTCCTCTTCAAGACTGGACAGGTACGCCTCGATCTCATCCGAAAGCTTCTCGGAATCGCGCATGATCTCGAAGTCTTCGCAAATTTTAAAATCCGGTCTTCGTTTGCACTGCTCTTCTTTCCAGTCTTTTTCGTCGTATCGCCAGTGGACGGCCATGAAATGAGGTGATTCTTTTTCTCCGCCGTATTTTCGGATGAATCTTTCGACGATTCTTTTGATGTGTTTTGGTCGTTCAGTGTGTCTTAAATATTCTTTTAGACAAGACCTCAAGGACCTCCCACCCCCGTTTTCCGGGGGCCAAATAAAACATCAATAACTTACTGTACGATGTCTCTTGCGATTGCCCCATCTTCAGTTGGATGTCTAACGAGATGCATTAGCTGAACACTTTCGTAGGGAAATCCCGTCCCTGCGCATTTCGTCCCCTCTTCTTTTTCGAAAAGTCTTTGAACCATACCCTGGCTATTCATCCTCAAAACTCTTCGAATCGCAAGATCCTTTTCTCGTTCATGGTTTTCTCCATACGCCTCGTCGATTTGTTCCCGATTGGGGACAATTTTATCAGTTTGGGTTTTGTCTTCGCAGATGTTTTGAGTGTTGAAATTGACTGGTAGATTCATCGCCTCCTGGGTTGCTTGAAGTCGGGGAGGGTTTTCGCCAAAAGGACAAATTACTTGAGCGCGGAAGATTTTTCTAATCCAGTTGGACACACGCTTGGGGCATCTTTCGTCAAAATGACTTGAAAAGGATCAATTTTTTCAAGTTTCCCAAATGAGGTCTTCAAATAAATCCTTTCCTGGAATCAGCTCTCTTAATTTTCCGACATCAATTCTTTGCTCAAAATCTACCACGGCCGTATTTGACCCATTCGAAGTCGGATCGCCCCGATCGTGCTTGAAAAAAGGTGGCAAAATAAGCGTCCTGTTCAGCGCGATTGCCATAAAGATTGTTTCCCGAAGCGAGTAGATCTGGTTATTCGGCCCTCGTGAGACAAAAGCAGTTATGAATTTGTCCGGATCGAGTTGGTATTTTGGCTGGATTTCGTTTTCCATCGAAAATCCGACATTCAACCGGCAAAACTGGTCGTTTTCTTGGCTCATGATTTTCATCTGTTTCTCTTCCAGCGTTATGGACAGCATCGCATTCTGATCTTCTTTAATTTCTTCAACTATTGCGTTTCTTCTTTCTCTCTCTGTCTTCGGAATAATCCGTCTTCCGAAGAAAAAGCAAAAAATGCAAAAACTCAGTAGTGCTGCGAAACGTGTTTTGTGGATAGTCTTCATCTTCCTGAATTGAAAAATTATAAAAATGATGGTTTTAATACTGCACGAAAAAGCCTCTGGTCAAATTCTTTTCGTGAAAGTTGATGTTGCCGTTCAAGCAAGTCACTTGATAAGACAACGACAATATAAACGATCACGCGTTCCAGTATAAACAACAAGTCTCGTAACATATGTTTTGTCTCATAACATGAACACGGAATACTATTCAAAGTCAGCTCCAAGTGGGTGGCGGGCGGCCAGGTTCACAATCGGTTGGTTCACAATGTTGTGAACCTGGTTCACAATTTCGGTCAAAAAAGTGACTCAAATAAATCGGTTGTAGAGAAAGCTCATACCGTCAAACATGAGTTTTTCTATGAAATCAGGCGCGGAGCGGTCATATGTGGTCAATCTTCGGGGTATAGAAAACTGTTTCTCCCTAAACCTGCTCCTAACCCGGGGACTTCGCCCCCCGGGACCCCCCAGATAAAAAAGTACACAGTTCCTAACCCGAAGGCCTAATCCAGGGGGCTTCGCACCCTTGGAACCCCCCCTAACACTAACATTTAGCCCGGTTACGTAACTTACCCCGAAGATTGACCGCCTATGTCGCGCGCAGCGCATACAGACACCTGATTTCGTGCTTTTAAAAATTTTGTGAACCGGGTTCACAATTGTGAACCTGGGCGCCCTACACCCCTCCAAGTTCTTTTTTTTCTCTTAAAATTGAAAAAACAGCAGAAAAATATTCTTTTACGAAAAAAGGCTATAAATAGCATCTCTTACTTGTTTAAATTCTCTGTTTGTTATCCCTTACCGTGTTCGAAAAGGCAGTTTAGAATATGAAAAATGTCAAATTACCTTCTTTTTTTATTCAAAATTTGAATTTTTTTCTTCAGACTTTTGTCAAAAATTCGTAAATTTAGCCCGATATCCTGTTTTGGAGAATAACATCCGATATACGGCGATATTACGTAGTTAATTTCCGTCGTTTTTGGGTAAAAATAATTTGCCGATAAAAGCCTCTTAAATTTTTTTTTCGCAGCGAGGGCACAATTTTGGCAGGTTTTATCTTGCTTTTTAAGATTTCAGACAAAAATTTCTCTCTCTAGGGCCTAGAGTCTAGGCTGAGAGACCAAAAAAGTTTGCTTCAATAAAGGTTAAGGGTGCGACCTTCGATTTCCCGAACTTGATGCTTGTATAACTCTGAACTGTAAGCTCACGGAATCCTCAAAAGTGGCCCTAACGTAGATCAATACTGGAACTAAAATCTGTCAGAGCTTTCTTTTGAGTAATCGACAAAAAGCCGTGTGAAATTTCACTCAAAATAGTCAATTATTTGAAAATAGACCATGAAAGGATTCTGAAAAAACTCCGCGGTTTTCAGGAAATATTTGACTCAGCTCGATAGCTTCGTACTTAATCGAACTTACATATAAATATTTATATTTGATACTATAAACAGCACTCAATAATCAGCAAAGCTGTTCCGCTCCTGCCATTGATATCATATTTGTTATTATCTTATTGTTAATTGCAGACTTACTTGAACCTCTGCGTTGCGATTCAGAAGTCTATATTTCTCTTTTTTCCTTTTTTCGCTGTTCTTAAAAATAGACTTATGAAATGAAGACAATCGAAAGTTTCCATCGGGGAAACATATAACAAGGCCTATGTCATAACAGAGGTAGACGGCCCGAAAAAGTTGGAGAATGTTCCCAATACAAATATACTCGCGTTTTGAAACGATGGAACATCAGTGTCGAGGTGTTCATTTATACCATATCTCTTACACCGAATCCTTAATTCGAATCTAATTATGAGATCATAAAATGAACATTCTAAACTCATCTAATACGGGTAGTATTGGATCTTCCGAAGTCCAAGTCTTATGTCGGAAAATGCTCTATTACGAGAATCTGCATTATAAATTTGTCCAAAACGTCATTGCCGATTTGGCGTAAGGCCGATTCACCGTAGTTATGGTTGACCGGAGACATAATCCTCGTCGCGAAAGTGCATGAGTAGAAAGCAAACTAATTGTCTATTTTTAATAAATTCCTGCTCCCCTAGTGTCGCCGCCTGTAATTATGTCGTTGAGGAGTCGGCATGGGTTTACGACTTTGGCGTGTGCATCCACCGGCTCATGATCATCGAGCTTCATTGCTGCACAGAGACTTCAACGACTCGCCGCTTCAATGATAAAGTCGATCGCGACTTTTTCGGCGCTTGCCGCAGTCGCCAGGGCTCAGGAAAGGTTTTCAGAAGCTGTCTAAGTTATCTCTTCATAGGATTGAACAAGTGGATTTTAAGGGTGAGGAGACCCTTGAAAAGTCTTCAAAGAATGACAACCTAAAAAGACATACCCGTATCCCTCCTTAACTCCTACCGGTGATCAATGGACGGCTTGGTCCGAGTGGGCTGGCTGCGACAACCTCTCCCTTGAAGACTTCTGCTCTTTTCCGGACAACTATCTGGCGAACAGCGTAAGATACAGAGAATGCCGACTGATCGATAGTGAAGATCATGAGTGGGATCCCGCCCAGAAGTAAGCTTCTTCTCTTTAGTAACATTTTTATAAGATCATTTCTAGTGCATCACAAGTCCAGCCACCAAAGGGCGACCCCGCACAGACATTGAATTTCGATGGCCTCCTGACCAATGGAAAGCAGGAATCCCCCTCGAACAATCCAGTCCTTCGATTCGACTCGCTTGCGATCCTCGATTGGAGGAGTACATGGCCGCTCCTCCTGCCGGCATGCCTGTTTACAACACCGTCGAAGAGCTTGAAGCTGCCATTTCTACCGACCCCGAACTCTTCCGTCCCTACATTCCAGCTCCGTACAAGCGAATCGTTTTCGAGTTCGCTCTGTGCATCAATGTTCACAAGTGTCCAAAGCCACTTCCGTGGTCTTCCTGGAATTGCCACTGCCTCGGAACTGGAGAGGATAACACTGAAAACCTCCCCTTTGCGGATGTAACGCCGGCCAGACCACCCGATCACGAGTTCAACTTTGCAAGGATTGGGACAGAGACGACGGAATCACTTGCGATTCTGTTGGAAGGAGCATTGCGAATAACCCGCAAAACGGAGGCACTCAGTTCCCGAATCAATGTATAAATACGGTCAATACAAACGTCTGGACACAGGAATACTACGGCGCCCAAGCAAGGAAGAACTGGTACCAGCAAGTTTTCTTCGGCAACACTAATTCCCGATGGGTTCAAAAGGCGACGCGAACCGAGACAACAATCTCGATGCCACTTATAGAATCACTCCTTTTGGAGTGAATGGGTATTATGACTACAGTTATGATGTCAACCGCGCAAGTGATGGCTTCTCAACTCAATCTGGCTACATCAACCAGTGCTTTGACAACAGCAGATATAGCTCGAATACGAATGGCCGTGTGTAAGTCTTAAAACCAAGCCGGCTTGAGTTCAATGAGACTTCAACAAGTTCGGAAAGCGTAAAATTCACTTCATCACTTCTTCAAACAGATTTCAAAGCAGTTTCATTAACCATATTTTAGTCGATCCGGAAGAATGTTCGTAAAAATAAGCTTCAATTTATTTAATCGCTCTGCTTTTAGCCGCTTTTTCAAATTAGCCGGCTTTGTTTTTTTACCAAAAGTTTTTCGGCAACAAATGAAACTTTTAGTTTTACTCCTGGAGAACAGTACGTAGAAAACGATCGTCAAAAGCCAGCCTCTTTTTTAATCCCCTGTGGATCTTGAAAATCTTTTTCAAGCTTTTGTTATGTCAAATCAATAATTTAAGTGTTATTATCAAAAATCACTTTGAAATAATCATAAAATTATTAACCTTCTATAAGGGATCCCCCGATTTCGTCAACTTTGACTTCGAACTACTTTTTTTAGGGCTGAGCTTTTTACGAGTATGAGGGCTCATTTTCAAGCCCGTTTCTTAATGAACAAACTCTAGTACAGAAATTAATTTTCATAAGGGGAAACACCTTGAAAAGACGTGCTGAAAACATTGATACTCGCGAAAAACCCCTTTTTGGGCCATTTTCAAAATCGAACTAGTTTTTTCTGCTCTTAGATAGAGCTCTAAATCAATAACAACTTTCTTCCTTGATATCTGATCTCTAGTACAGGCAAGTGATTCCGTCGAGGATTGTAGAATTTCCCTTAACAAGATGTTTTTTAACTGATTTTTGCCATTTTTTGACTTTCTTTGCTCTCTAGCGCCTTTTAGTGGTTAGATATTTTATTTAATCTTTTTTTTTCTAATTCAGTTTTCTCTAAGCTTTCTAATGAGCCCTTATTCATCTGATTATGTCGACTTTGAAAAGTCGAAAAATCGCGAATTTTTTTTAAGTAAAATTTTTTGTTAAAATAAGCCATTTTCAAAGCTCTGTCACGGCTTACCACGTGACGGACTCCGTTTGACATAATATATGAAAATGATCGCCAGATAACGGAGATTCCAAATATATATGATATATATATGATATATAATATATAGGGTTAACGCAGAAAAAATCACATTCAGTTCTAGTGGGAGTAAAGGGCTGATTTTTGGAGGAGATGTTCTTTATACACTCAAAAAAACATTTCTGGTCAAAAAAATTATTTTATAAAGCCCCGGGCGATTCTAGAGGCCGCCGAAAAGTCCGAAAAATCTATTTTCCGAGCGAAGTAAGCTCAAGAGTCGTGAGTTGGCTTAGTCGACGCGCCGTGTCGAGCTGATCATTTTCCAGCAAAAAAATTTAGTAACGGAGTCCCGGTTGGCCCGCAATCATCATTTTAAAACAATTTTTTTTTGTTTTTACTAGGAATGAGGTCCTCCGGAGGACTTTTTGCTGGAAGAATGAGAGATCTTGTGGATCAATCATTCTCATTCATAGAATCTAATGTGCATTGACCAAATTGAAATTATTTTAAAAACTATCGATAAAAACCATAACAAGACTTTGAACATGAATAATATATATTTTTATATCGGATGGAGGTGGGAGGGGTTGGGGACGGAACTGAGACTGATCAACTCAGGTTTCCCGGCCTTTGTCAAGCCCCTTAAATTCAAAAATCAAGGAACGGGGCTGAGACGGCCCGAAGGGCCGTCAAGCCCCTTAAATTCAAAAATCAAGGAACGGGGCTGAGACGGCCCGAAGGGCCGTCAAGCCCCTTAAATTCAAAAATCAAGGAACGGGGCTGAGACGGCCCGAAGGGCCGTCAAGCCCCTTAAATTCAAAAATCAAGGAACGGGGCTGAGACGGCCCGAAGGGCCGTCAAGCCCCTTAAATTCAAAAATCAAGGAACGGGGCTGAGACGGCCCGAAGGGCCGTCAAGCCCTTAAATTCAAAAATCAAGGAACGGGGCTGAGACGGCCCGAAGGGCCGTCAAGCCCCTTAAATTCAAAAATCAAGGAACGGGGCTGAGACGGCCCGAAGGGCCGTCAAGCCCTTAAATTCAAAAATCAAGGAACGGGGCTGAGACGGCCCGAAGGGCCGTCAAGCCCTTAAATTCAAAATCAAGGAACGGGGCTGAGACGGCCCGAAGGGCCGTCAAGCCCTTAAATTCAAAAATCAAGGAACGGGGCTGAGACGGCCCGAAGGGCCGTCAAGCCCCTTAAATTCAAAAATCAAGGAACGGGGCTGAGACGGCCCGAAGGGCCGTCAAGCCCCTTAAATTCAAAAATCAAGGAACGGGGCTGAGACGGCCCGAAGGGCCGTCAAGCCCCTTAAATTCAAAAATCAAGGAACGGGGCTGAGACGGCCCGAAGGGCCGTCAAGCCCCTTAAATTCAAAAATCAAGGAACGGGGCTGAGACGGCCCGAAGGGCCGTCAAGCCCTTAAATTCAAAAATCAAGGAACGGGGCTGAGACGGCCCGAAGGGCCGTCAAGCCCCTTAAATTCAAAAATCAAGGAACGGGGCTGAGACGGCCCGAAGGGCCGTCAAGCCCTTAAATTCAAAAATCAAGGAACGGGGCTGAGACGGCCCGAAGGGCCGTCAAGCCCCTTAAATTCAAAAATCAAGGAACGGGGCTGAGACGGCCCGAAGGGCCGTCAAGCCCTTAAATTCAAAAATCAAGGAACGGGGCTGAGACGGCCCGAAGGGCCGTCAAGCCCCTTAAATTCAAAAATCAAGGAACGGGGCTGAGACGGCCCGAAGGGCCGTCAAGCCCCTTAAATTCAAAAATCAAGGAACGGGGCTGAGACGGCCCGAAGGGCCGTCAAGCCCCTTAAATTCAAAATCAAGGAACGGGGCTGAGACGGCCCGAAGGGCCGTCAAGCCCTTAAATTCAAAAATCAAGGAACGGGGCTGAGACGGCCCGAAGGGCCGTCAAGCCCCTTAAATTCAAAAATCAAGGAACGGGGCTGAGACGGCCCGAAGGGCCGTCAAGCCCTTAAATTCAAAATCAAGGAACGGGGCTGAGACGGCCCGAAGGGCCGTCAAGCCCCTTAAATTCAAAAATCAAGGAACGGGGCTGAGACGGCCCGAAGGGCCGTCAAGCCCCTTAAATTCAAAAATCAAGGAACGGGGCTGAGACGGCCCGAAGGGCCGTCAAGCCCCTTAAATTCAAAAATCAAGGAACGGGGCTGAGACGGCCCGAAGGGCCGTCAAGCCCCTTAAATTCAAAAATCAAGGAACGGGGCTGAGACGGCCCGAAGGGCCGTCAAGCCCCTTAAATTCAAAAATCAAGGAACGGGGCTGAGACGGCCCGAAGGGCCGTCAAGCCCTTAAATTCAAAATCAAGGAACGGGGCTGAGACGGCCCGAAGGGCCGTCAAGCCCTTAAATTCAAAATCAAGGAACGGGGCTGAGACGGCCCGAAGGGCCGTCAAGCCCTTAAATTCAAAAATCAAGGAACGGGGCTGAGACGGCCCGAAGGGCCGTCAAGCCCTTAAATTCAAAAATCAAGGAACGGGGCTGAGACGGCCCGAAGGGCCGTCAAGCCCCTTAAATTCAAAAATCAAGGAACGGGGCTGAGACGGCCCGAAGGGCCGTCAAGCCCCTTAAATTCAAAAATCAAGGAACGGGGCTGAGACGGCCCGAAGGGCCGTCAAGCCCTTAAATTCAAAAATCAAGGAACGGGGCTGAGACGGCCCGAAGGGCCGTCAAGCCCCTTAAATTCAAAAATCAAGGAACGGGGCTGAGACGGCCCGAAGGGCCGTCAAGCCCCTTAAATTCAAAAATCAAGGAACGGGGCTGAGACGGCCCGAAGGGCCGTCAAGCCCTTAAATTCAAAAATCAAGGAACGGGGCTTCCAGCAGGAAATTTCTTCCAGCTTCCGAGGTCCTCCAAGATCCTCCAAAGGACCACGTGATTAAATTTTATATCAATTTATTATAAACGTCAATAAAAGTTTTCAAAGAGCTTAATGGATTTGTCTTCCACCAGTTAAAAGTCCTCCGGAGGACTTTCACATTGATAAAAACAAACAAATTTTGAATTAAAAATGTAAATTTCTAGTGATCCCGTTAGAGTTTTTTCTTCGTTACTAATTTTTTAGATGTAAAGAGGTCCAAGGAATAAGCCTAAATTGATTTTAACTTATAAACCCTTTTTTCTGGCTTCGCTAGTCAATTTTATCTTTTGAGAGCCAAAAAGGTTGAAAACATGGAGAAAATTCCTTGAAAAAAATTTAATTAAGAAGTTTTGCATGATCTTTTATCATGCCAAGTTTCAATTCTACCGAGCTTGCAGAAAAAAGTTGATTTTTTTGTGCGTTCACCCTAATAATATATCACACGAAAGCTCTCGAGGATATTTTTCAAATCGGGAGGGGATCCCATAAATGAGGTGCTATTCATAACCCTCGCTGATCAAAACTAACAATCAACATCGGTGAGCTTCCAAAATTCTAATTCTTCCTTAGTCTCAACTTTTTGATGAACTACGCCGACATCCGAAACGACGTCGAGTACGGTTACCAAGAGATGACCTGCCAAAACGTCGCTGCCCAATGGAGCAACTGGAGCGCTTGGGGTCGATGCTCTCAATCCTGCGCTGGAGGGGTTACCCAACGAACCAGATCATGCGTCTCAGGTGGCGTCGTTGCCAACGATCTCGCCGGCAACGCAGGATGTGGTTGCCCCGGAAGCGCAACAGAATCACAGCCCTGTAATACCTTCTGCTGTCCCGTTTGGCAAATCTGTACAGCCGAGACCTGTGGCAATTCTGACTGGACACCGTTGACCGCTGAAAACAGCGCTGATTTTGGCTTTGGCGCATGCCCAGACTGTGGCGATAAAACGCTCGAGTTGACGCGACACTGCAAATGCCAGGAAGCAGATGGGCGATTCCGCTTTGGTGATTTGACCGTCCCCGCGTTTTCAACCACATTTGCTCACTTCCAACACGACTGCACTTTGGCCACAGGAGAAACTGTCGAAAACTCATTCGCCGGAATCCCTTACATTGCCAAACAGACCAAGGTTTGCGATGGCAGCTGCTGCGAGGGATGGCAACCATGGGGAGAATGGGGAGTTTGTGACGATTCCTGCTTCGATTCTCAAAACGGCGCTCTCAATGCAACGGATTTCCCAAGATTCCAATCTCGTCAGCGTACTTGCGGATGCAACGGGACCGAAGTTGCTACTGATTTTTCAAACTGCCCAAGTCTTGATGGCACCCAATTCCTCCCACTAGAGACCGAGCAACGAGCCTGCGCATCAACTCCTAATCCTTGTCCTTACTGGGCTGCATGGGGTCCATATTCTGCCTGCTCCGCTACCTGCCAATCAGTCCTTTTCGACGCAGCCGCTGCTCCTGGTGCGCAATGCACTGCAGATCCCGCTGATGCCGGCGCTTTGAGAACTCGCGAACGAGGTTGCCTCTTTGGAGATGTTGGCAGTGCTGGATGCCCAGAACCTGATCGATCGGAAACTATCGCCTGCCAGCTTGGAGACTGTTGCCAGTACGATCAGTGGAGTGCTTGGGGTGCGTGCTTGACGGATGCTGGTGAATCATGCACTGCAAACGGACAGCCAGGAAAACAAACTCGACAGCGCAATACAGTCTGTGGAGACCCGACTGTCTGCGACAACTGCAATCATGTCGAAGAGTGTGAACTTCCGAAATGCCCGGCTTGGGCTGAGTGGGGACACTGGTCCGAGTGCAGCATGTCCTGTGGACAGGGAACCAAATCAAGAACTCGAGATTGCTGCGGCGCTGCTATTGGATCAGGTAACGAAAATCCAAATTTTTAAACCGAATGTAAATCAAGATGCGTGCCCGTGCCATGGAGACTTTGACATTCCCCAGTGCGATTTCGGCGGCGACACTTGCACCAATTACTACAAGACTGGCGCTCAGCTCGCTCTTTGGACTGCTCGAGTCGATAACAATCTTCATGACGCTAACGACCAGGGTTACATTGATATCATGGATTGCCAAGTGAAACCTGTTTGTCGTAAGTTTTTATTTCCGGAGAGAAGAAAATGTTAACGAGGGGGTAATTGCTAAATAGGCTTGTTTATTGCTTAAGAAGGTAAAAGCTTCAAAAATTGATGAACTCTTAAAACGAGGAATTTACCGGCTTCCGTCTCTCTATGCATCGTTAACCGACTTGATCATAAAAAATAATCTGCAATGGACTCTAGAAAGATCAAGAGTGAACCCTTGATGATCCATTTTTTCAGCTTATCTTCAAAAGTGGCGAACACCAACGAACTGGTGTGGACTGAATGGAGCTCATGCTCAGTTACTTGCGGAAATGGCGTCGAGCGAAGACAACGAGTTTGCGTCTTTGGACAATTGGGAGTCGACCCAGAATGCTCTGGCATGATTCACGAGGATCGACCTTGCTCTGGCTTGCCTTGCCGTAAGAACTTGAAGAGGGAGGAAGTACTAATGGCTATTTAGCACGAGTATCTGAGTGGGAAGCCTGGTCCGATTGCTCTGTCACTTGCGGAATGGGAGGTGATCGATCGCGAGTCCGAACTTGTGAGAAGCCCGCAAATGTCACTGCTGATTGCACCGAACCTTTGATTCAAAACCAAGCTTGCAGAAATAGCCCATGCCGTGAGTAATTCTTTGATAGGTGGATATCACCGATAATCCTAGCAATGCTGACGATGTGGAGCCAGTGGACTGCCTGCAGTGAGGAATGCGACTCGAGAATGGGAGTGACAACACGGGAACGAACCTGCGAGCACGGTATGATTGGAGAAGATGGATGCGACGAGTCCGCCTATCAATCTCAATTCTGCAACCAGGATGTCCCCTGCCGTAAGTTGCAGACAACAAAGATTGATTCAGAATCTGACAATGATATTTCTAGCATCTTGGGGCTCCTGGAGCGCATGGACGGCCTGTCGCGAGATTTCGCAAAACATTTTCGCGCACTCCCGAACTCGAAGCTGCGTAAATGGCCCACTCGGATCGCGAGAATGCCCCGTTGACGGAGCCGACCAAGAAGCTCCCTGCGACTCGGAATTCTGCGCACAGACACAAGTCGGTGGCGTCAGGTATTTTCTTCTTTCATTTAACGGTTTATTTAACATTTTTCTTCTAGTGATGACAACGAGGTGTACATTCCTCGAGGAGCCGCAACTTCTGTTTTGATCAGTTTTACCTCTTTCCTTCTCGCACTTTTCTTGTAAAAATCACAACAAAAGGACCTTTTTCTACTTATTTTTCTATGATCCTGATTGGATAGAAAATAATAAACGTACTTGAAAATATTTATGCATTAATTCATCAAAGAAAAATCAAAAAATATGATCGAAAAGTCAATAATCTGCTCAAAAGTGTGAGTAAAAGCGAAGAAACCACATCCTCTAAAACCTCCTGCTGAAAGTTCGACTATTGATTTATCCCTATCGCTTATGATACTTAGCCTGTTGACACCCCAAAAGCCCCTGTGCACGGGAGGCCTTACTTTCTTCCTTCCTTCCTTTTATAAAAGTCGAGAATCTCGAGAATGACCCCGTTGACATTGAAACAGAGATTGGAAAATCACTGGAAGAAGAAAAAACTAATAGGTTGTTGATTCAATTTTGTTAACAGTGGATTCAGTAATTGCGTGATCCTTGGAATGTTGAATTATTTCTAGAGGAATTTTCCTTGTGGGAAGAGGAACAAGCTGAGAAATATGCGCAGAAGACAGGCACGCCTCCGGGATCTCCATATTGCGGTCGGCATATTGTTTATGGTACGTAACTTAGCGAGTTTACTGATAACATGACAAGATTATTCGCTCGTAGATAGCTTTTGGACTCTATTTTTCTAGAAATCATGATTTTTTCGCAAAAATTCATATTTATAATGTAAACTATTTTTTTTCAATTATTTTATAAAAATTTTAAAATTATTTATTTTTTTCAATTTTTTCGCCGAAAAATTTTATTTTCAATGTTTAAGCTTCAAAAAGGCATCTGAATGATATTTTGACCAGCTAAATGATATATTTCTTCCATCCCTTTTTTCGATTCAATGAGGGCGCTCACGATCCCGCGATCGCGATATCTGCGCGTATTTCTGAGCTGTCACGAAAAGACGAAACCGAAAAAGAAAACCTTTTTTAGAAAGCATTTTTGTTCAAAAGAGATATAAAAAAGAAGAAAAAAGAAAAAGAGATGGCTTATTCGCGAAGATACGGCCTTGGTCGGAGTAAGTACAGTATTGAGTTTTTCCATGATTCCGTTTGTCTGGCGATAAGAGGAAGATAAATTGGAAGTCGTAAGATTTCCGCGCAGTTCTCAAGCCGCCAGAAGTGGGAAATAGCGGAAGATTCTGACATGGGCGCAAATATTTTTCATGAAATTGATGAAAACATGAGTTTTCCGACCATTTTTATTATGGGGCGACACTAGGAAAGTCTCCGAATGTCTCCGAATGTCTACGAATGTCTACGAATGTCTCCGAATGTCTTCGAATGTCTCCAAATGTCTACAAATGTCTCGGAAACCTGTTTTCGAAGCTGTTTTTGCTTCTTTTTGGTGACATAGGGAGACATTTGGAGACATTTTGAGAAATTCGGAGACTTTCCATGTGCCCCTTATTATGATATAATAAATGTATGGTAATTTTGAAGTCATGAATGATAAATTTGGAATTTTTCGAAAATCACAAAATTTCGCCAAATTAAACTTTGTCTCGTTACTTTGTCTTTGATGTGTCACTTAAAATTGTGGCACACTTGAAATTGGCTCGCTGGCTTTTAAACTCTGGGGATAAGTACAAATGTCAAACCGTAAAGCCCATAAATTAATCTTGTAAAGGCGCTGACTTCTTTTTGTGGAGCAGATGCTTCATTTTTACACGTAACGCAGCCGAGCGTTTTATACAAACTCATTTTTCTTTTGATATGAAATAGTCGCACTTTATTTTTCAAAACTAAGAAAGAAGAGGAAGACGGGCCAGAGAAATCGCTTTCTGAAAACGGGGTGTTTTTGGAATGGATCAGAAAGGTAAATAGAGAAATAAGCCAAAAGATTTTGACACCCTTAATCCGGGATGGTGCCTGGAACCGACAAAAAAATTCGACAAATTTTGCGTGGAAATTTTCAACCAATTAGAATTCGGCTCACGGGCCAATCAGGAGCCAAGAAGCCGCCCACGCAAAATTCTTTGGGAATTAAGGGGGTGCCGTCAAGAACTAACAAAAAATTTCGACAAATTTTGTGTGGGCGGAAACTCGGCTGCTGATTGGCAGTTAAGCCGACTCCAGGCTTCTGATTGGTTGAAAATTTTCACGCAAAATTTGTCGAAATTTTTTGTCGGTTCCTTAATTTTTCGTCAAAAACATGTTTTATCATAAAAATTTATTTACCAATATTTCACTATTCATGTCGAAAATTTTGTATGTCTGGAATATTTGTACTGTAGACAAGATCAAACGTTATCGCACTTATCCGGCCACGGGAGTTTCAAAAACTCATTAGCGTCGATTACGTCCGGATTTCAAAACGCGTCTCCGATAATCCTCAAATTTTGGTGTCATAAAAATGTCAAGCCATTCTTGAAACAGAACAGCTTCAAAAAGGGACTCTGAGAACCATTTTCGCGCATTTTAACTGAAAGAATTAAACAGGAAGACAAGAGATAGTGGATTAACGATATGGCATTTCACAGCTTTGTTCTGATCATAAATGGTAATTTTCATTTTATAGCGCTCTCTCTCTCTTTTAACATCCACTTTTTCGACAAGGTCAAGGCTGCCGAATCACTTCTTTTAGTGGCCAAATTGATTATTTTATTTGTATTCTGAAACGATTTACGAGAAGAAAAGCTTTTTTGAATAGGGCACTAATTACTTCCGCCCTTAATTAATTACCATAAAACTAACCTTTCCCATGCTTTTATCATCTTTAAGGGTACAATCATCGATTTTGGTGGGGTCTCTTACTTTTTGCCAAATCGACGACTATACCCTAAAGCTTTGTGATATACAGGATATTAATAAATAAATGAAATCGAGAGATTTTTTCAAGATTTATCAACTTAAACAGAAATATCTTCACTCATCAAAACATACAGTCTAAAAGACTTTCCACGTGACCGCTTATGTTTGTGAAGGTTAAGAAGCCACAATGTGGCATTGTGGCTTTATGTCCTCTACCCGAGTTTGGTTTCATTTTTTGACTTGTCATTCAACTCATTTTTAGACAAAATATTGCGAAAAAGATATGTATAAATAAACGCGGCAAAAATATTATAAATGTGATTATTAAATATTATAATGTGAGCCAATACTGGAGATCGTCCTCGATACAGTATCAAAAAGGCGAGATAAAACAGGAAGCCCTAAAATCGTGGAATCTCGCTTCAAGCTGCTCAAATTTGCAATAATCCGTATTTGAGCATCTCCAAAATGAAAATCGCAAATCTGAAAAATTTCCTATTTGCTCTGCTGCTCGTGGCGCCTTGCTGCTTATTAAAAAACCGCAACCGTGAACGAGAGTTTCTTCTTTTTTTTCTAAAAATCTTTCAAGAAGGGCAAAAATGACTTTGAGAAAAAATGGAAATAATTATAAGAAGAGAGATAAGAATAATAACAGATCGCAGATGCTGTGGAAAGTTGACATGTGTAAGATTTGATTCTGGGGCATCAAGAAATGATAATGTTTTTTTTCTTGCTTATCAGTTAAGGAGGTAGATATCAAGAATCGGGATTTTCTGGCAGACTTTTCTCCCAATCCTAACATAGTGACCGATGATTTTTTTGTTTTAATAAAGAGTTGAGGCCCTTATCTCGTGCCTATGGAAGGCCGATTTCTAAATTTCCAGAAAAAAATCGTAAAAAATGGCGTTGAAAACTCGGAAATCGCTAAAAATGACCATTTTCTTGGCAGACTTTTCTCGAAACCCTTATATTGAGCGGAATTTATTTTCTTCTGAGAAGTTAGATCAGACCCTTGTCTAGATCCTATGAAGGCCAGAATTCAAAATTTCAAAAATTTTTTTTAGAAAAAAATCGATTTCCTGTTTTTCGCAATTTTCAACGAAAATATAAAATTTTGAATTTATATTCAGCAGTATTAAAATCATTCTATAAATGTTCCCAGGGGTTTCTGTTAATGTTTTTTGGACGAAAGCTAAGTAATTATTTATTTAATTACTAAAAACTGGTCGATCTATTATAAAAAGGGCAAATTTTCGAGATTTTAGAGGCGATTTTGTGAAAAATCACGTGGTCTAATTAAAAAATTTTTGCTTACAAGTTTTCTCCTTGACCTCGAAACTATACGTAGAAAAAGTTTGAAGCGAAAAAATGGAAAATTTTTTTCTTGATATCGACCTCCTTAAGGACCCCCGTCAACAACTTTCCTAAAAAATCGAAAATTTCAAAACAGCCATATTTTAGCTTCTGAGTGTGCCTGGAAGTTAAATTTATCATAAAAACTTGCTTGTTGCACTTTTTGACCAATAAAAATCTGAAATTTAAGCAAAATTGGGACTTTTTCGTCATTTTTCGTCAAAAAGTCCAATTTTCAAACGGGATTTTGAGGATGTTAGAGTCAAGATAGACCCCCAAAAAATGAAGACTCAAAATCGTTTTTTGACCTGTAGAATCCATTTCCGGGGCCAAAATTTTGAAATTCCGAAAATTGATTTTTCGAAAATTGTTGACGGGGGGGGGTCCTAAATTATTAAAGACAATTTTGTCATGGTGGGATGAACAAGCATAGTATTTGGTTAGCTTTTCTTATTATTTTCGAAGATAAGGTCCTCACTAAAATATATATTGTTTAGATGAAATTCAAATATATGGTCTTTTCTTTTTGAATAACTTTTCTCAAAATATCTTATTGGATTTTGAACTCGAAGCCCACTTGATTCGTTGAACGGTTTCTTTTACAAATTTTTTCCTTCAAAAATCGCGAATCTTTGACCTTTACTCTTGCCTTGCCTATCTATCAATCATTTGATCCGCCACTGTCACTCTTATCGCCCAGAATTTCAAAATATTTGACAGAAAATCGGAATCTGAATTTTTCAGAGTGACGGAAATGCATCTTGGATGCGAAATTTTTGAAAAGGTCAATGTCATAAAGCATGTTTAGTTTTGAACATAGTTATATCTGCTTTTGCGAGAAGGTCAAATGTCAAATTATACGCATTTTTCTGTGCTACTTCCTTTTCTGAAAATCAGAAATTTTTGAGAAAGCAGGAAAATGAAGACAAATGGTAAATTGAAAATGATTTAATTTGTTGAGTTTATTGATTCAATAAATGCCCCTCGCGGGAATCTTCCTGTTCCCAGAAAACGTCATTTCTGGACGTAATTGACACAAGAATTTGCTGATTTTGACCATCAACAATTTGAAATTTGACGTAAAATTGTCAACAACAGGAATTTTTCCTGGGCTCCGAAAATGGGACCACCCTTAAGAAACTTAATTTTTAAAGGCAAATCGGGCTCAAAAACCTGTGTAGAAAACCTGAGTCAGGAATTAAAATAGCTTAAGGGTACTACCTTCGATTGGCCGAATGACCGGAAAAAGTGCGGTAATCGAAGGCAGCACCCTTAAATCAATTTTGGCGGAGCCGCTTCGCGGCTTTCTTTTCAAGAAAAGCCGCTTTGCGGCTTCTGATTCTAGCTCGTTGACGCCCTTATCGAGATTTTCCTCCTTTTTATTTTGGACTGAGAGCTAGAAATTCTTCCGTTTATTTTTTCTTCTCCTCAAGTTGAAATCCGATTTGGTCAAAAAAATACTCGCTTCACTAGATAAATTTTGAGAGCGCGCGGCCGGGAATCCAGGGAACACGCTTTTCGAACAAAGTTATTACGCGCGGTTACACCTGCGTCCACGTTCTGACAAGAACGTTTTAGAGATGTGACTCGTGAATTCTTAAAAAGGCTTAATTTTTTCAATTCTGATTTCAGAGAAGGTTCGTGCTTCTTTCTAATGACGCTACCGCGAGATAAGTGAGCGCCGGAAGTAAATTGATAAGCTAAGAAGTGGATCAAGTTGTCATCTCAGAGGAGATGATAAAGTGAAGCACAAGAATACCTTTAATGATGCGAACCGGTTTCCCACACTCTCCCGTGTCATTTCAAGGACTGATTTTTAAGGGAGAAGAGTCTAAGAATCGGTATTTTCGTGACCAAAAATGCTGAAAATCCTGATTCGAAAAGAGAATATTCAGTTGGCAAGTTGCAAGAAAAGGGTTCGAAAAATCAGCCGGCGAGAATCAGAAAAAATTTTGACCAGAAATATCGGTCAAAAATACCGTCAAAGAACGGCCATTTTTAGCGAAAATCCACCAAAAATGGCCATTTTTTTACAATTTCTAAATTTCGCCCCCTTAATTTTTTATAATCATCACCATAAAAGTATTTTGACTTTTTCGAATCGGACTTCAACCCGAGCCGTTCAAATTGGCTCTTTATAGAAAGTGATTATGAAATAGTCATCAACATACCGATAAATTAATATAAACTGTTAATAAATTTTCAGGCAAAGAAACAGAAGTCAAACCCGAAATCATCGATGAAGAAGTAGAAAGCCAATACAACTTCGGTCCAGTTCTCGGCCGGTAAGTGCTGCCTTCTTTCAATTAGGGCATTCCTCCAGCAGGGAAAATAACAAGCCACAAAGAGGCTGTGTGAACTAAACACCTTTTTAAGTGGCGCATTTGGTGTGGTCACGAGAGCTTCTAAAGACGGAACTGAGTTCGCGATCAAGACGCTTAAATGTGTCAGACTACAGGAAACCGGTTAAGATAAACGAATTCCTAGTTTCTTGACCTTTTCGACGAATAATTAAGACTATTTTTTGGAATAAAAAGAGGCATTTTTCCAAAAAAAAATCGGGCAAAATCATCTTCAAAGAAAGAAGAGAAGAAAAATCTAAAAATAGTAGCTTCTAAAATCATTCTTGGATAATCTTTAATTAATCCGGCTCTGAGCAAAGAAAAGACGCCGAGCGCGAAATCGCAATTCTGCAACAGTTGGACCACAAGAACGTGTGTCGCCTTACGGCCGCCAGGAAGAGTGGACGAAATATTTTCATGATAATGGAACTGTAGGTCAACCTCTTTTACCCGTTTTTACTGTTGATTTTAGATGTACAGGCGGCGAGCTATTCGATAAAGTAGCCCAGGACCATCTTTTGAAAGAAACCACGGTGACGGAGTATTTGCGCCAGATTTGCCAGGCGCTTTCGTATTTACATTCCAAGAACATTCTGCACCTTGACCTTAAGGTGAGCCCTCCGTTTCTTGAGAAAACAGACGCTTTCCCGTTTGATTATCCCTCGCTTTTCGCCTTTTCTGTTAGTTTTTTCGGTATTTTAAAGGACTAATTCTAGCCGGAAAACGTCGTTATGGCACGTCCCGATTGTGACACGATAAAAATAATCGACTTCGGAGGGGCTCAGTTTTTCACCAAAGGGAAGGTAAATAAAGTCGCGAGTTAGAGCATTTTATGCAGTCCAAGTATTTTTGAATTTTGATAGGCTGTTCGGACGATGTTTGGAACGCGCGAGTACATGGCACCGGAGACGTTAAGCTTCGAACCTGTCGAGTTGACGACTGATATGTGGTCTGTTGGAGTTCTGGCTTATAATCTGTAAGTAAAACTAGAATTTCTTCGTAAAAATAAAGAATTGCCATATCTATTTTTATACTCGGTATTTATTGTTTTTCAAGAGAATTCTTTCTAAGACGTCTGAATACAGTAATACAAAATCATTTGAGTCATTTCATAAATCATATTTGATAAAGTTCAGTCAAAGTAAATAAATATTAGTTTTTTTATGGTTATAATAAGTAAACAGGATTTCGCTTTAATAAATTTTCTCATACATGATAAAACTGTGCTTCTGCTTCATTTTATAAAGCTCTATTCTCAATTTATCATAGTCAAGAAGAAAAAAAGATAATAATTTCTACTTGTGTTTCATTTTCTTAATTTTCGAAATTATCGATCTATTCATTCGTATTTATTCCTAATTTTTAGCGCCCTCTTTTGTGCGTATGTTTTCGATAACTATCTACTGGGTAGTTAGAATCCACTTTGTTAAGATCGCAAAGGCAAGATAAACCGCGATTCCACAATACAGTCCTCCTATTCTCGCCACCTGTTACTTCGATGAAATTTTCTAGGCAATGAAATGAAAATTTAGGCTATCCGGATTGAGCCCATTTGCCGGAGATGACGACAACGAAACCGAGTGCAACATCCAAAACTGCGAATGGGATTTTGACGAGGAAGAATTCGACAAAGTTTCCGACGAGGCAAAAGACTTCATTTCCAATCTCTTAGTTTTTGGAACCAACGACAGATTGAACGCTGACAGAGCGCTGGAACATCCTTGGTTGAAAACGATAAAAAGGATTGAAGAAGGGCCAGAGCAAAAGTTCGAAAGAAGTTTGTCAGTTTCTCTGATTGATAATCTCAAAGCGCTGATAGCAAGGAGGAGATGGAAGCGAGCAGGCACCGCGATTAGCTGTAAGTCGAGGCGATTATTTTTTTATGAAAACTTTATTCTAGTACTTGGTCGAATAAGTGGATCTTTAACGACCCCTCCCGCTGGAATCTCTTCTTTGAAATCAACCCCGGATCCGCCTCACAAAGCAGATATCATCACAGAAGACGAAAAAGAAAACCACAAAGAAAATATCAGTGAAAAAACACAACTTATTAACGATGATAAACGATTGAGTGCGAATCAAAATAGCAACAATAACACCAGAATACCAGCCATTGAAAAGAAGGAAGAAAAGAAAGAAAATTTGATGAGCAATATTGCCCAAGATATTTTTTCATCAATGAAGTTTAAGGTTTGTTTAGAAAATCTCTTCCTTGATTTCTGAAATTTCAATTTAAGCCGCCACAAGAGGACCAAGCACGAAAAATTTCGTCAGAATCTTTTGAATCCTCAGAATCTGGAATTTCCATCGATCATGATTCAAAAAGCTCTGATCACATCAAACCCCTAGCTGACCCTTTGAGCAAGGCAAAAGCGCCCGAGAGAAAAGATTCAGGCGTAAGCTCGACGCAAGAAGAAGATGATATCATCATAATCAGAAGGAGTAGAAGAAGAAGCACACTTCAGAAAAGTAAAATCTCCGCGTGAAAATAAGCAATGCTGTTTTACATCATTTTACCTCAGCTTCTGTATTCCTTAAATTTTTTAACTATTGCCTGTCTGATAAAAAGTTCAACATAATGTGTATATAAATAGGGCTCTGGGTAGACTTTATTGAATTTTTCAATAATTGTGGTCGATTGTCAAAGCAGTAATAGACGGCGAAATAATTGATGGATTGGCAGAAAAGGGTGCAAGCAAGTGAGGTTAGTAATGAGCTTGAACAAGGTGTAAACTTCATTTAGTAGAGTCTGTTGGCTGGATTTTGCTGAAGGAAATTGGTTAGGCTTTCAGAGTTCCATTTGTCTTCTGAAACTTCTTGAACTGGAATTGTTATGACAGGAGCATTTTGAGCTGGCCGGACGAATCGGGGTTGCTGAATTTGAGGAACATATTGCCTATTATGGGCGCAGTTAGCTCGATTTCGCTGCCGAGAGATTTCTAAGAACAAGATGAGCTCTTCGTTGTTTGAATTATCGTCCATCAAGAGGAAGGGGATGAGAGACATCGAGTCAAGCGAGGAACTTGGGTTCTGCGACTGCATTGCGAAGAGAATCAAAGCAATGTCCGATTTGTCCGAGGATTTGGCCGAAGAATCTTCCATTAGTTTGTAGAGGATGAGGAAATTGGCGTCGAATCCTTAAAATATTTTAGTGACGAAAGTAAAATGATTTGCTTACCATGTTGTGTACTGAGACCACCGCTCATGGCATTAAAGAGCACGAATTTATGAACATTGCCAGTTCTATCATCGGAAAGAAGAACAAATGGAAGAATGTTATCGACTCCGACGCTTTGCTGATTGGTCATGATCTGCATGAGAAGAAGAGCTTTGACTTCTTCGTTTCCAAGAAGGTTGTCGGAATTATCAGTTGATCGGCGTCTTCTTGATGCGCCAGGGGCAGCTGGGTAGATAAGCTCCCCGTTCTGGAAAATCGAGAATACTGCGCTATCATTAACGAGCTCAGAATGATTGTCTCCAGGAGTTGTTAGGTCGACGAGGAACTCACCGAGAAGCATCGAGAAAATCTCGCTTTCTAAGAAAATTTTAGAAGTTTGAAAATAATCTGAAATCTTACCGGCTTCAAGATCGACGGAAAATGCAACACCGTCACCCATTCTAGTGGAGACAAAAGTTGAGCTACCGCTGACAAGTGAAATTCCTGGCAAGCCGTTAGCTGTTGACCAATTGGCGAGTTGACTAACAAGCCAGGATTCGAAATCACTCATAAGCTGTGAGTAATCGCTATTTGCGGTATAACTAGTACCAGAAGCTGCCTCGATTTCAACAGTAAAAATGATTCCCGGAGTCGTAGTGGTTGTTGTTGTTGTGGTAGTTGTAGTAGTCGTAGTTGTTGTTGTCGTTGTCGTAGTGGTCGTTGTCGTAGTAGTCGTTGTCGAAGTCGTCGTTGTTGTTGTTGAGGTGGTCGAAGTCGTGGTGGTCGTAGTCGTGGTGGTCGTAGTCGTAGTGGTCGTAGTCGTTGTGGTTGTGGTAGTCGTGGTTGTAGAAGTAGTAGTTGTTGTGGACGTTGTTGTAGTGGTCGTTGTCGTAGAGGTCGTAGTCGTTGTTGAAGTGGTCGTAGTTGTCGTAGTCGTCGTGGTCGTAGTGGTTGTAGTAGTACTGGTCGTAGTGGTTGTAGTAGTACTGGTCGTAGTGGTTGTAGTAGTACTGGTCGTACTTGTTGTAGTAGTCGTGGTCGTACTGGTTGTAGTAGAAGTGGTTGTAGTGGTTGTAGTAGTACTGGTCGTACTGGTTGTAGTAGTACTGGTCGTACTTGTTGTAGTAGTCGTGGTCGTACTGGTTGTAGTAGTAATGGTCGTTGTGGTTGTAGTAGTACTGGTCGTACTGGTTGTAGTAGTACTTGTCGTACTTGTTGTGGTAGTCGTGGTCGTACTGGTAGTAGTAGTACTGGTCGTACTGGTTGTAGGAGTACTCGTTGTAGTAGTACTGGTCGTACTGGTTGTAGTAGTCGTGGTCGAACTGGTTGTAGTAGTACTGGTCGTAGTTGTCGTAGTTGTCATAGTCGTAGTGGTTGTAGAAGTCGTGGTCGTACTGGATGTAGTTGTACTGGTCGTAGTGGTTGTAGTACTTGTCGTACTGGTTGTAGTTGTACTGGTCGTATTAGTTGTAGTAGTCGTGGTCGTACTGGTTGTAGTAGTCGTGGTCGTAGTGGTTGTAGTAGTACTGGTCGTAGTGGTTGTAGTAGTACTGGTAGTACTGGTTGATGTTGTCGTGGTCGTACTGGTTGTAGTAGTACTGGTCGTACTGGTTGTAGTAGTCATGGACGTACTGGTTGTAGTAGTACTGGTCGTAGTGGTTGTAGTTGTACTGGTCGTACTGGTTGTAGTAGTCATAGTCGTACTGGTTGTAGTAGTACTGGTCGTAGTGGTTGTAGTACTTGTCGTACTGGTCGTAGTAGTCGTGGTCGTAGTGGTTGTAGTAGTACTGGTCGTAGTGGTTGTAGTAGTACTGGTTGTAGTAGTCGTGGTCGTAGTGGTTGTAGTAGTACTGGTCGTACTGGTTGTAGTAGTGGTGGTCGTAGTGGTCGTGGTAGTACTGGTCGTAGTGGTTGTAGTAGTACTGGTCGTAGTTGTCGTAGTCGTCGTGGTCGTAGTGGTTGAAGTAGTACTGGTAGTACTGGTTGTAGTAGTCGTGGTCGTAGTGGTTGTAGTAGTACTGGTCGTAGTGGTTGTAGTAGTACTGGTAGTACTGGTTGTAGTAGTCGTGGTCGTAGTGGTTGTAGTAGTACTGGTCGTAGTGGTTGTAGTAGTACTGGTCGTAGTTGTCGTAGTCGTCGTGGTCGTAGTGGTTGAAGTAGTACTGGTAGTACTGGTTGTAGTAGTCGTGGTCGTAGTGGTTGTAGTAGTACTGGTCGTAGTGGTTGTAGTAGTACTGGTCGTAGTGGTTGTAGTAGTACTGGTCGTAGTGGTTGTAGTAGTACTGGTAGTACTGGTTGTAGTAGTCGTGGTCGTAGTGGTCGTGGTAGTACTGGTAGTAGTGGTTGTAGTAGTACTGGTAGTACTGGTAGTACTTGTCGTAGTTGTCGTAGTCGTCGTGGTCGTTGTTGATGTTGTCGCGGCTTGAACAGCGCTCATAAGTGCGTCAGTATCTGTATTTGGCTCTTCAAAGCCTACCGCCGGCGCCATAAACAAGACTGAAACAAATCCCTCATTATTGAGATTTGTTCTGATTGCATTTTTGAAATTGTCGGCAATAACAAGTGTCACATCGTCAGTCTCATAAGTTACGGAGCACTGCTGTTGAGTCAATGGGAATCCATTACAAAGGTTTCTGTTACAAACTCTGGCGACCACTGAGGAGGAAGTTGGAGCAGCATTGTCCATCTTCGCTTCAATGCCGGTCGATGTGCAGTCTTGATCAAAATAAGCTGTCAGAGAAACCGATGGTGTCAAGTCTGCGGGAACATCGGCAACAGCGACAGTAACGGATGCGATAGCTTCGGGGGAATCGATTTCAATTGTCTTGAAAGCTTTCACAGATCCTCTGATACTGCTTTGAAGGGGACCAGTAGCAATGTTGTTCGCCATTTTGCTCTTTTGAGCAGCAATATCAAGGCCAGGAGCTTGAGTAACTTGAACAGCGAACGTGACTGTCATCGTCTGAATCATACTTCCAGTAGATCTTCGTCTTCGGTTACCCGCGGCAGGGCAGTATTTCATATCAATATCGATATCACCAAGATTTTGTCCAGCTTCGAGACTGGCTTCAATATCAGCACGGATTTGAGCTTCAGTGACTCCGCAAGCAGTGTTCATTCCAAAAATGATTGCCACGATCTTTTCCTTTTGAGCTTTTTCCATGAGGACGTATGAGAGGAAAAGGTTGCTCATTTGCTGAGGTGGAAGACATTGGTTGTTCATGGTGGCTTTTAAGGGGGTCGATAATTGTACTTTGGTTAATTAAATTGAGCTCAAGTCTTCTTTCAAAGAATATTTCTCAGGAAATTCTAGAGACCGCCCATCAAAAATTGGTTTCAAATAACGAGTTCGATGACAGCAGAAACGATTAAAGACGTCTGAGTTGGACTAAATCCAAAAAGATACGTTATCGGACGAAAATAACGATTGATTAAGGGAGTACTCCATCTTATTATGCTGAAGGAGCGTCGCAAGCTGGCGATTAAATAACTAGTCAACCCCGTGCCTAGCAGAAAGTACAAATTCTTCATGTCTGTTTTTCCGTCATTCATCAAAACGAGCGGCAAAAGCGAGGAAGGGTTCTGTGCAGCTGATGGATTGGCCGAAAGAGCTGAGATGAGGGCAAGTGTGTGAAGATCGCTTTCGTCGGAGGAGGAATCCTGAGATGCGATCAGGAATGGAAGAATGTTTGACATTTGGTTGGCTTGCTGAATGTTGCCCCCGAGGAAATCAGGCTGCAGAAGGAGGGTCATCTGTAGAGCTCTAGAATAAATATTTGAGATTTTATCTTTGAATTTTTTCCTTCGAATTTTTCGGAGCTAGAACAACAAACTTCCTTTGAAATCACATCTTCCGCCGAATTGACATTCTTTATAATCCTGCGTTCGAATAAAGAAAGCTTTTCAGAATTAAAAAAAATAACTTCAGAAAACATATTTGCGACCCAAAAACTTGCGTTACGATTTGACATGAACATGGTATTTTACCAAAAACATGATAACGTTGTCTTCTCCGAACCTAAGACATCACTTGATTTTCCTAAGAGCCGCCATACTGAGAAAATAGATCACATTTCATAGAATTAGTTTTGCCTGATTTGCGTAAAATGAAGTTAACGCGTCCGAGGCTAGAATTTCAAACGGATTTGTTCCACCTGTCATGTTGGGACCTTAAAAAGTCAGCATCTGGCTTGTTAAAAGAGATTTTATTAATAAGAATATGTTGGAAGAATAAAAAGACGACTTAAAACCTATTTTTTTTTTTAAATAAAATGTCGATTTTTATTTAAAAAATGAAAATTTGAATAAATTTTATGCAAACGTATATCTTATTTTGAAGCAATAAGATACTTGCACAGGGAATTTCTTTCAAGAATATTAGATATTTAAATTTCCCATTCACTACTTCAGTACTTACTTATTATCAGTATATTTTGAAGCAATAAGATAATTGGACATCGGCAAGGCCTGAACCAGGCTCGCCAGGAGCATCAAAAACTTCATCTTGGCTATTTGATTTCGAGTTCTGCCGATCGCTGATCTCTCTTTTTTACGTTCGCACCTTCAAAAAATAATATTTATGCTTTGATGGCAAAAAGCGTCAGCCTTTTGTGAACTCTTTTAGCTTTTACGCAACTCAACATAACTCGCGCGGGGCTCGTTGGCGCCACCATAAGCGCGGCTTCTTTCAAAGGTACCGTCTTACCACGCACGTCATATCCGCGAAAAACCATTTCAAGATCTAGTTGACGCCGTAGAAGATGAATGGGCACACTAATGAGAGTTTTTTTTAGAAAACTTGCTACTCATAAATTAAATATTTCAAGGAAGTGGTTTTATTTGAAAAATATAGATGATTTTTACAATGAAAAATTCCATTTTTACAGAAGGAATAAATTACTTTTGAAAACTTAAATTTTCTGAGTCGAATTTATCGGTACAAGTTGTAATGGTTGACTTTTCTGACATAAGAGATAGCGTTTATCGTTTTAATTTTTGTTCAAGAATTGCAGGTGCGAATGTATAATGTATAATGCAAAAATATTATTGAATAAGATATTATTTCGGCGAGCCTTATCCCTTTTCCTGCGATTGCTCGTGTGTCAAACTTGGGGATTCATCGAAAAATCTTCTATTACCCGATTCTTTTCTTCTTCTGAGTAATTTTCTAAAGTCGCTTCGAAATTGCTTCCCGGCGAAGGCGTACTAAATCCATGTGTTAATCTTCCGCAATGAAGAAGTTTCAATTAACCAGTAAAGGATTAAGAACAGGATTCGCCCAGGCAAAGACGTTTGCCATGTCCTGCATAAGGGCGCAATATGATAGTGGAATTCGCACACCGCTCATTAGCAGCACGTGGACAACGTGAAGAGGTGTCCAGCAGATGAAGAATGAAATTATGAGCATCTTTTTCACGGATTCTTATTTTAGATATCTTCGAAAATTCGAAAAGAAGAGTGATAAAAATCGAAAAGGTCTGCCTAAAATTTCGACAAATTTTGCGTAAAAATTTTCAACCAATCAGAAGCCTTGATTCGGGTCGCCGGCCAATCAGCAGCCGAATTGCCGCCCACGCAAAATTTGTCGAAATTTTTGTCGGTTCCTAACGCAAACCCTAATCTAAGGCCTAAACCTAACAATCACCCAGATTTCTAGTAAGAATCCGATCCCATAGCGTTACAAGCATTCTATCGTCCTTTACTTCCACCGAAATCAGCGTGCTCGATGTCGAGTTAGACCTGTTTCCTGATACGGCTGTAAAAGAGCAAAAGGAGAAATTGAACCTTTCGATTGGTTTTATTGTGAAATTGAATAATTTTGTCTTGGCAGAGCTGCTTATAAGGGGTCAGAAATGTGTCAAGCGTAAAATCAGCTGGGTGAAGTGGGTCAGTTGGTCAATGATTCGAATCAGCGGGTCGTCACTCCCACGATTGGAATCCGGTTAGCGCGCAGATAAATAAGAATAAGAAAGGCATGCTGTAAGGCGTAAAATTCATATATAAAATATTTACAAAATATAAAGTTTTTCTACAGTCGTGTCAGCCATCAGTCATCGGCGGGTTTTGAAATCGTGAAGTTGGCATTGAAGAGAAAAATTTTCTAGAATGTCGGTGCACTGAGTCATTGCCATGCTTGAGAAGGGCTGAATTTGTCAGGCGATGCAAGTTCTATCGTTTGCGGTCTTGGCGAAGTCGATCGGTCGAGTTGTCGTCTTTTTATGGCTGAACAAGGGTGATTTTTCGAAAATTTTGTCCGGACAATTTTTCTGGAGCTCAAAAATTTTCTAGAACCATGATGAATCATCGGATCGTGCTGGTTGACGGCTTAAAATGTTGCTTTTGTTTATGTCCTTCGGGTCCAACTTGCAGAAATTGAATCCGATCGTTGGTTTGTGTTTTATAGTCGATGGAAGTTTCAGATTTTCGCATAATTATTGAAGTGAAATTTTGTTGTTTTCGAAAGTTTCTAGAACATCGCTGAGTCATTGCGGTATTTCGGAAGTATGTTTGAAGAGAAGATCACTTTCCAAGGAATCTTTTGAGCACTTCCAATCGTCCATACGTCATTACGAACCGATTTTATGCGATCTGCAAAAAAGTGTATATCAATATACACATTTATGATGAATTGTGATCACAAGCAAATTTTTTCTCCATTTTCGTTCTAGAATCGTTTGGTTAAACGTCATTATGTTCCCAGAGGGCTCAAAATGATGAGCGCTGCGAGATCCATCTTTTGGAGGTTTCAGAGCGTCGGTCAGCGAAATGGTTTTTGTTTTGTGGCGGGTAGAAGATTTGGCTTATGCAAAATGAGCTGGATCGATGACCAAGTTTCCGCCAGGGGTCGTTTTCATAAACGGAAATTTCTTTTTGGCCTTTTTCGTAATCTCCTCGGTGATTGCTGTCTTCGTTTTCCCTGTTATGTCGACTTCAATACCCATGTGTTTCGCGAGGACTTTCATTTCAAGGATTGTAAAATTGCTTAGGTAGCACTTTTTTTCAAGCATAAGTGCATTATGCTTGATCAAGTAGAATCCCTCGGCGTCTTTGTCCCAGTTGGGATGGTGAAGTCGTATCCATTCGTTTATCTTTTCCACCTTCTTTGCTTTCGAATTTTTCAATGTTGCCCATGTTCCAAGTTTAACTCCGCAATTATATTCTTTAATAAATTTGTCTAGGGCTTTTTCGTGGAGGTCGGCCATTCTTTGGACGACGGGGGAAACAAGCTTGCGTGGTTCAGCTTGGGGATCCTGATTGTTTGTGAGTTCGGCAACTTCTGTTGATTGGCTGTCGATTGAATTGTTGTCGTCCTGTTGGGTACCTGATGAGTCGAGATCATAAAAAACAGTCTCGTCTGCTTGCTTGGTTTCATCTGAAGACGTGGCTTCTTCACGTTGTTCTGCGAATGTTTCGGCCTGTTCTTCTTCCTGGGGGGAAGTGGAAGATTGGTTTTTGCTGTCATCTCGGTCAAGGGCTGTTTGGCTTCTTGTCTGGATGAAGTATGAAACTCTTTTCTTCAATTTTCTTGGCTTGGGTTCTTGTATGTCCGTATCTTGTTGTTGTTTCTCCGGTTGATCGTCTCCTGGTCTGCTTATAAAGGGCTTCAAATGGCTTATGTGTCTTGTCATATCGCGTCCTGTCTTCAGATTGAGTAAGTCGAAGCTCAGGCCTTGGTTTTTAATAGCGGTTATCTTCAAAGGTCCTGTCCATTTGTAGATTTTCTCCAGTGGATCCATGTTTTTGCACAGAACGAGGTCGTTTTCCCGAAATTTGTGAATATCCTCGTTCTCAGATCGTCGTTGTTCGTGATTTGATTGGATTCTCTCTCGAATTGGCTCAAAGTCGACATTTTCCCTTGTTTGCTTCTGGCGATATTTGTCATTTAGGTTTTCTCCCTTGAAGCCTGTTTCAATTTCAAATGGCGACGCCATTGTCACTGAATGTTTTGCAGAGTTCATTTGGTGAATGATCGTTGGTAGCCAATGATCCCAATTTTCCATTCCACAGGCAAGTTTGAGTCGTGATTTAATGGTCCGATTTCGATTCTCGACTTCCCCATTCGTTTGAGGGTGATATGCTGGAGAGAGCCGAACTCGAAGTCCTTTTTCTTCCGCAAAATCTCTTACTGCTTTGAATTCTCCTCCATTGTCCATCAAAATCTCTCTTGGCAAGTGAGGGTTGCGGAGCCATTCTGATCGAAGAGCGTCAAGGACTTCCTCTGGTTTCTTTGAGCGAAGTGCGGAAGCGTTCGTTCTTTTACTAAACAAGTCGGTTGATACGCAGATAAATCGTCGGTAGTTGTCCGTGAGAGGTAGCGGTCCAATGAGATCGATCGAATATCTCTCGAACGGTTGAGAAGGCGCAGTTACATGTCCAAGTGGAGCATTGAGTGGATTCGTTGTTGGCTTCATAAGTTGGCATTTTCGGCAGGATCGAATAAAGTTTGTCACGGTTGCCTTGAGGTTAGGGTAAAAGTACTTATTCTCAATACTTTTTAGTGTCTGAGTGATACCAGGATGCCCGGATCTATCGTGATACTCCTCCAAAATTTCTCGGTGTATTGAGACCGGTGGGATTGCCTTGAATCCATTCTTGTCTATGCCAAGCTCGCCATTATCTCCGAAACAAAGTTGATCTCTGTGTCGCTTAAACTCTTCGGCAGTTGTGTCTTTGTTCTCCGGCCACCGATCGATCTTGTGAAATTTAATGACATCTCGCAGAATGTCGTCCGATTCTTGTAGAAAGAGAAAATCACGAGGCTTTACCATGTTAATTGTAGGTTTTTTGAGCTCGTTGATTTGTCGAGAAAGGCAGTCCGAGATTTTCATTTCCTTTGACGGCTTCATGATGGTTTGGAAGTCAAATTCACTTATCTCGGCCAGCCATTTGGCGATTTTCAGCTTCCGACTCATTATTTTGTGCGCCCAGTTTACAACCGAGTTGTCGGTGAACCAAGTGAACCTCCGACCGAGAAGATAGTGACTCCATTTTTCCATTGCTCGCTTGCCGGCCAAAAGCTCCTTTTCACTTATATTATAATTTCGCTGCGCGTCGTCGAATTTTTGTGATAGATAAGCGACGGGGCAAAATTTTTCATTCGTTGTCTTCCTGTAGAAGAGTGCTGCTCCGATGCCAGTCTCACTTGCATCTGTTTCGATAGCAAACTCACCAACATTGGGGTTAGGGATTTTGAGAGCGTCAACCATGTTACTTATTTCGTTTTTGAGTTCATCCAATGCTTTTGCTGCATCGTCGGTCCATCTAAATCCTTTGCTCATTGCTTTATTGATTGGGGCGGCTTTTGAAGCGAAGTGAGGAATGAAGTTTCGATGGTAGTTGAGTAGTCCAAACACGCTTGCTGCTTCCGTCTTTGAGGTCGGCTGTCGTAATTCTCGAACTGCTTTTGTTTTTCCAGGATTTGGGAAGCGGAACCCATTTTCGATAACCGCTCCACAAAATTTGATTCGTTTTTTCAGAAATTCTGTCTTCGCGGCTCTTATTTTCAAGTTGTTCCGGCGGAGGACCGATAGTACTTTCTCGATGATTTCTAGGTTCTTTTCGTATGACTGTGAGTGAAGACACAGATCGTCCAGGTAAATCGCAAGTTCGCTACTCGGGATTTCATTAAAAATTTTGTCCATCATTCTTTGAAAAACGGCTGGGGCATTCTTTCCCCCCATAGGCATCGCAGTCCAAGTGAACTGACCAAAGTCGGTCGTGATGGCGACTTTCTGCTTTGTTTCGTCATCGCAGGGAATTTGATGAAAGCCCGTGAAAAGATCGGCTGTTGAGAAGACTGATGATTCTGACATTTGGTCGATGAGGCCATCGATGTCTGGCAATGGATACTGATTCGCTATAGTCACCTGGTTTAATTTCCTATAGTCGCAAACAAGCCTCCATTTACCATTTGCTTTCTTAACAAGAAGAACAGGAGCAGCCCAAGGACTTGAGCATGGTTCTAGAAGTCCAGACGAGACATTTGAGTCGATAATTCGTTTCATCTCCTTTCGAAGAAAGTATGGTGTTCGATAACGTTGTGAAGCAACAGGTGCGGCGCTTCCTGTGTCGATGCTATAGGACATTGCATCTGTTGTGCCGAGTTTTTCATCTTCGACGGCAAATCTATCTGTGTAATTGTAGACGATTTCGTCTAACTTTCTTCTTATTTTTGGTGGGGCATCGCCGATTGAGAGCTCATTCATGATTGCTTCGAATTTTCCTTCCGTTGCTTCATCTGGTAGTCTTACTTCGACCTCGTTGATTCGACAAACGACCGAATTTTTACAGATGTTGATCGGTACCGCAGAATTGTTCGCGATGTGAATTCGTGCGTGATTTTGAAGGCTGCTCAATTGAATACACTGGTCGTATACTTCGAGAGTTTTATTTTTGTTGATGGATTCCGGTAGAGCACAGATAAAGCTTGTGGGTGATTCGGAGAGGTTGACATTGATGAAAGTCGATGATTTTGGCTGGATTGTGACTTGTGAGACGGATGTCACGGTTGTTGAAAAGAACTGGGATTTCGATATAGCTTTGATTCCAGCAGCCGGACTTTTGCATATGATGATCGGCTCAGACGTGTTGTTTTGTCGAAGGCAGCTGGCTCGTAGGTCGATAAGAAGATTGTTTTCGGATAGCTCGGGAGTACCGAGGATGGGCGAACAATGGTCTCCTACAACTTGAAATATACAATTTTTAAGTGTTAGCTGTCCTATTTCCAAATTGGCGGAGAGGCAGCCATAAACTTGAATTTCATGTCCATTGTACGATTGTAGCTGTATGGATGATGGGATGATAGATTTCTGCAGCGAGGGAGGGATAAGGGAGCGGGGGATACAGGACACCTGGGCGCCGGTATCTAGTTGAAACGTTGTTTGCTGACCATAAATTTTTGCGCGAGTAAGAAGTTTTGGGCCGACTCGATCCATAATAGACGAGACAGAAGCGTGGACTCTATCTGACGAATGATAAAGTCCGGAGATTAGTTTTTTGGCTGTCGGGACGGGCAGATGTCCTTGATGTGACCTCGTTGATTGCAGATGTGGCAAATGACTGTTCCTCTACAGTTCCTCTTGGAGTGCCCCTTCATTCCGCAGGAATAGCAGGTGATAATTGTACCATCGCGTCGTCGTTCAAGCTGAGCTCGCGGTCGTTCTTGGTAGTATTGATTCGTTTGGGGAGCAGTAAATTGAGCCGTCGTGTTGATCGCGTTTTGCTGCTCCGTCGTCTGTCGATTGGGATTGAAACTTTCTCGTGAAGATTGTCGAGGAGTAGCCTTAACCTTGTTAACCTCCGCAAGTTCCATTTTGAGCGCGTCCATTTTTTCGTCCATCTTGGAAAGAAGTTGAGAGAAAGAGGCAGATTCGAGTCGTAATGCGGAGACTTCTTCCTTTAAGAGTGTGTTTTCCATGCTGACAGCACATATGTCGACGCGACGTTTGAATTTTTTCATCTTGTCTAAGTATTCGGCAATTTGTTTTGGAGTTTTGGATGACTGTCCTTGGTCCAGAATGTATCGCTTGAGGTCCGGTGTCAGGTTTGCGTTGAAGGATTCCTCTAGAAAATGTTCTTTCAGCACGTCTTTACCTTTACTTGCTAGAGTAGCAAGTTTTTCGATTCGGGAATAGAATCTTGTGAAGGTTTCGTCTTCGTCAGCTCGTCTGGTGATGTTCGAGAGTTTCTCGCGAGCCTCCCTCGCTAGTTCCTCTGGCTTTTCTTCTCCAATGATCTGGTGAAGCAATGTGTAAAAGTCGGTTGAGCCTTTGACATCTTCAAATTCGTCTTCGTATCTCTCTCGAAATGTTCGATCAAGATGGGAGAGGCAGATTCGTCGGCGTGTGCTCTTGAACTGTGCTTCAAGTGCGGTCTTTGTTTCTTCGTTGATCTTGTGCTCGGCCAATGACGCCCTGAAGATCAAGCCCATTCTTTCCAATTTCTCTTTCAGCTCAGTCTCGATTCTCTTGAGTTGTGTCTTTGTAGTCCTTGTCGTTATCTTAGTCTCTGGCATCGAATTATTCGTGAAGTCCTCAAGAAGTTCCATTGGGTGTCGAATCGCATAGTTGGTCACCATGATACGGCTGTAAAAGAGCAAAAGGAGAAATTGAACCTTTCGATTGGTTTTATTGTGAAATTGAATAATTTTGTCTTGGCAGAGCTGCTTATAAGGGGTCAGAAATGTGTCAAGCGTAAAATCAGCTGGGTGAAGTGGGTCAGTTGGTCAATGATTCGAATCAGCGGGTCGTCACTCCCACGATTGGAATCCGGTTAGCGCGCAGATAAATAAGAATAAGAAAGGCATGCTGTAAGGCGTAAAATTCATATATAAAATATTTACAAAATATAAAGTTTTTCTACAGTCGTGTCATTTCCATCTTTTGAAATTTGAAGATAGTTTTTCCTCTTGACTCGGACAGAATCATGATGATTGAAACGACTGCTGGAGTTGTTGATGATGAGCGTGATCTTTCTGTAGCAAAAGGTAATGATGAGAAGCGGCAGAAGATAGCCGACAATGAGCATGATAACATAATATTCTCGCTGGATAAGTGGCATCTCTCCCGAGCAAGAGTCTTATCGCGAGGTTTAATGAAGGCATATCGTGTTGGATGAAATTGCTTAGAACCCTTTTTTCAACTTGGGCAGCCCAAGTGAGGCCAAAATATTTTCGAGTTATCATGAAACCTAGCATGAAATTGGTCGAGCTCGATCAATTCCGAGTCGTTCTTCAAAATTTTCGACAAAAAATCATCATCTTCGACGACGGAGCTCATCCAGTCCAGCGGATCTTCTGAGCCATAATCTTCGGCTTCATCATCAGGATCATCGGTCAATGACGCATTTTTTCCACTGTCAGCTTTGATGAAGCTCGGCATATTCGTCTCTGGCTTGTTGTTCCAGTCGATTCCGCAAGTGTCGTTTTCATAAACTGTGTTTCTGGCGATGGGAATAATGAGCATGAATCCACAGAGCCAAGCAAAGGGGACGGAGATCTTGGCTTGTTGGTAATGATTGTCGTCGAACTTCATTCCTTTCAGAAGTCCTTTGTATCTTTCAAGGGGTTTCAACAAGAAAATAACCTTTGGACAAAAAACGTATTCGTCCTTGTCTGAAGAACAAAAAGGAGTTGAACTGGAAGTCATTAATTTACCGCCTAATTACAAAGTCGATAGAAATGATGAGAAAAGCCCGTTTTCCTGAAGATGCTCAAAGACGCGAGCAAAATGATGGACACGAACATGCACATGATTTTCACCGAGTTATCACCTGAATTATGGAATGAGGCAATTAACATTCGAGTTCGGCGGCTTACAAATGCATAGAACTTGACCCCAGCGCCATACTTGTCTCATCCGCCGGTCAATATGGAGAGGGAGGTGGAACAGCATGATCAAATCGGCCATCGAAACGTTCAAAATGAACAGATTGGAGAAGATCTTTCTGCAAGAAGTCGACTGGGTACTAAAATAATGGTCGATTACCAAGAACTGAATAAATGAATTCAAAAGAAGCCACTTTGCGATATCAAATATTGATCTCTTCAGTATATTGGATAAAAGAAGATATGTCATCGGAAAAATAATAAGAAAGAAGCAATACAATTAGGTATAAAAAAGCAACTTTTGGCCATTTTTGTTCATCAATAGCACAAAAACTGGTATTGGGTAAGGGTTAAGGTTTGGGTTTGATTTCGGCTCTGGCCAAAGCTGATGATTTGGGTCTTTTTGTCGGTCAGGGTTAGGGTTAGTATTAAAAATAAGTAATTTTAGATATTTTTAGATATTAGTTCATATTTTGTGTTCTACCCTGCTGTTCATATTACTTAACCCTAACCCTTACCCTAACGATTATAGACTTAGCTGAGTAAATAAATTAGTAATTTAATAAATAATTTTGTTAAATTTTCGATTACCTGAAAAAATGCCCTTTTAGCAACACAAGAATAACAATAAAATTCGCCGGCATTCCGATAGCACAAAAGAGCATGTAGACAATCGTCGTCCATGAAAAACTCATTTTCCAGTCAATTTCTTTTTAGGTTCTCTCTTTTTAATATGCCTGGGAGCGAGGACTTGGGACGATTATACTTTTTCACCGAAGAGCGCCAATTTGATCATTTTCGCGACGAAAAGATCTTTCATGCAAATCCCCCGTCTGGTGGTGATCACTTTTTTTCATTTTATTAGTTTTCGATTTTGTCCAAATTGAGACAACCTGCTTCCCATGCCCTTTCTTTAAACAACAATTTCATTTATTCTTTCTTTCTCTACTATTCAGAAGATCGACAGATTTTCAGATCGCGACGATGAATGAATAGAAACTCCCAATGCAAAATTTATATTTTCTGCATTTTCGGCCTTTGATCGACCTTTGGGCAGGCAAAATCATCATTCTCGGTATGACCGATTCTGTAATCGATACTGTAACAAAGAACTCAATCGAAAATTCTGATAAAAAACAAGAAAATTGCGAAAAAGACTCATAGATTCAGCCCGAAAAAGAGTCAAAAACGAACTCATCGAACTCAATTCAATACTGTACTATACTGTATTGACAAAATCATACAGTAAATACCGCAGAAATGAAGAAAAAACGGTAAGAAAGAATACAGAAAGCGGTCATTTTTGAGGACTTTGCGGATCGACTGCCTCGATGGTGGTTGATTTTGGCCGCAATTTCTAGTCATTCTTTCGAGAACAAGACTCTTTTACAATATTCAACAGAAGAAAACACTTGAAGTCGAAACGAAGAACGTTCCAAAAGACACATTCACGTTTCCTTTCAAACAATTCCACCTGATCCACTTCCACTTCCGCAGCTGGGAAAGCACATGTTGCAAAGAAAAATTCATCTGGTCAAGTGCTGGAATTTTTGTCTGAATTTTCTAGAACATGGGTTGTTGTGAGGAGCAAATTTGAATTCCAGTCAGATAGTTTAAAAGGAAAATGTCGAAAGGAACGTCCTGCAAAGACGCCCTGAAGAAATGGTCCGAAAAGAATGGAACTCCATCCGCTGAAGCTGAAGAAATAAAACTTATTTGCGAATTACCACCTATCGACAAAATGGATACCAGGTAAAGAAAATTCGAATGAAAATCAAAAAATTAATTTTGTCTTTATTTTTTCAATTAACGAAGAATTCATTATTAAAAATAATAATTTTTAATTGATAATTTTTAATTATTAATTAATTAATTTAATTAAAAATATTTTTTTTTATGTTTCAATTAATTTTTTAAAAATTCTTCATTCAGTCTCCTGACATTGGCAAACTGCACGCAACTGTCGCTGTGTACAAATGCTATCGACAAGATCGCGAATCTGAACGGGCTCAAAAAACTGAAAATACTTTCGCTCTCGCGCAACAACATAAAGAACTTGAATGGACTCGATGCCGTCGGCGACACACTCGAGCAGCTCTGGATCTCCAACAACAATATTGAAAAGCTCAAGGGCGTCCACGTACTCAAAAAACTCAAAGTTCTTTATATTTCCAATAATGGTGTCAAGGTAAGAAATCATCTTCTCAGCTAGATTCGCCAAAAAACAATTCAGGATTGGGCCGAATTCACAAAGTTGGCCGACTTGCCCGTGCTTGAAGATCTGCAGTTTTATGGCAATCCTATTCATGAGCAGCTTGCCGCCTCAGGCGAGTGGATACCAAAGGAAAGGCTCTTGATTTATACAAGTAGAACTGGGTTTTCGTGCTTCGAAATGAAACGATTGTATAATACATATTATAAATTTTATAAATTTATCGCGAGTTTAATGAGAATTCTCTGCTCCTCCGCAAGCATATGGTGAAGATGATTTTTTGTTTTGATCGATATAAAACCGCAACAATCATAAAGCACCTTTCAAAATTTTTGGCTAATTTATGGTCTTTCGAACAAAACATCATTTTTTATTCTTACTGAGCCACAAAACAGGCTTCAAACGCTCTGCCTCAACTCAAAAAACTCGACGGCGCAGCTGTTATTCGCGACGAATAACTGTAATTCTGGCAGTTACTGAAGCCGATCCTGCAATTCACTCGTATGTACTCCTCTATGTAATCACTCCTCCAATAAATATTTAATCTATTTTTTTACGAAAACTCTTGTCATTATTTTTTCTCAAAAAAAGGGTGAATCGTGATGAGTTGGGAAAGTCTGGGGGAGGTTGTCTCGGAGGATTAGCTAATTGATTTCTGGCTCCGTTCTCATTCGTGCCACGATCAGCCAACGTCAAGGAGTTTTAATTCGCAGAAATTTATGGCACTTGATCTTTTCGCAAGCAAAAATGACAACTTGTAAACAAGAGAAAACTGATGCAGAGATAAAGATAGAAGAATGGGATAGATCTTGACAGATTTACGAGGTTTTTTCATCCTTGGAATTTGAATTGGCATTTCAAAATTTCCATCTTATTTTCTCCAAGAAATTTACTTTTATGAAAGATAAAATTAAAGAGTCTTTCACGGTTCTTCTTTAAGCCAGACTGTAGCGGAAATACTGTATTTCAAACACAGAATAATGTCTTTTGGCCCTCTTTATCTAAATTAAATTGGCTTGAATCGGTAGAATTTATTTATTTTTTTTGTTTCAAGCAATTTGAAATTAGTTATCATTCAAAAATAAAAAAATATGACTTCAACCCTTGTTTTCAAAAAGGATGTGTTTTCCAGGAGCGCGCTCCTCCGGGAAGCGTGGGAAAGAGAGGTTTCGTTGGGGCACGGCGCGGGCAGCTGTTACCGATCAATTTATCAAGGAAAATTGAACGCTAATTCAAAATTAACGATTTCTTAGAAAGCGCTTTTAAACTAACCACTAGAACAACTTTTTTTTACAGAGAGATTTTCAAGAAGAAAGAAAGAAGATTTTATTCATCATTTTTTATTTAAAAAAATGTATTTTTTCTTTAAAATTTTTCCTCGATCTGTAATCTACTGTAAAAAGACTGTTATGTCCTTCAGTTCAACGATTTTCGCGTTTAAAAAAGGTCAAAAAGCCCATAAAATGGTGATTCGTATCTTCTCATTAAAATTCTGAACAAACAGTAATCCATTCATCAGCGTTTGAACACTCAACTGACCCGTTTTTTCTGACTCATTCATTTTCTTTACTTTCATTCTTCATATTTTATATGCCCCAGTGCTCGACCCGTCAAACTTGAGGGAGATGCTCCATTTGCTCTTTACAGTAATTTGGCTTCAGTAAGAGAGAACGAGTTTTTCAGCGTCAGATACAGTAACAATTACAGTTACAGCCAGAACTTTCAAAATAAGAAAGAAAAGCCGGTTAAGCCAACTTTCGTTAGCAAAATCGGCGAGAGCGGCCTTGGTCACGTGATCAGCCGGATAAAGCAGTTCAATTTGAACAATGAGATATTGAACCCTTTTCAGCCTTTTCGACCAAAAAGAGATTATTTTACTGGATCGGGTTTTGATTGATTTTCAGCAACCTAGAGAACGCACAAATTTACCATTTTTTCAAACGAGAAAATGCCTGATTGAAAAATGACTGTAAATGCCTGTAAATACAGTAATATTTGCGCATTTCCATATCACTAAAACTGCCAGGGCAGTATTTGCCTAACCATGAGAAGCAATAAAAAACTTCTAACAGGATTTATACAGGAAATTCCCACAATAATCATTTTTCTTCCAATTTTACATCATTTCTACCTTCGCCCCTTGAACTAGAAAGAAAGAGAAAACGAAGCTGCCACTTGAACTTTTCTAAAAACATCAAAAATTGTCGCGGCGATTGTTTGTTTCTATCCTTGCTTGTATTTGCTTCTAGAACTCAAGTGATTGCATTCTTGGCTCTTGTATTTGCCCCTTTTCTGTGTCCCTGTATTCACTGCTCAATTATCAGTTTTCGTTTTTTAGAGAAAATGATATCGATTATATAGCGCAAGGCGGTGGAAATTCTTCTCGAACAAGAAAAAGGATCGAAAAAGAAAGAAAAAACAGAAAAAATAAAGAGCCAGAATGGAAGAAACGTCAGGAAACAGTCAAGAACTTACCTTATCGACTTGATAGTGGAGAATCTTGAAGAGGAAGCCGCTTGCGGCTTTTGAAATTGAAATATTATTCATTTTTTGAGGCTCAAAAGCCGGGAGGAGCTTTTTCCCATTTTTCCAATTATTTTTGAAAAGAAGCTTTTTTGACTGTTGAAAAAAGAGCTCCTGCCGATCATCGGCTTGAACTGGGATGAGGTGAAAATCCCGCTGGTGATTTCGCTTTGGATTCTTTTCGCTGGAATCGCCAAGATCGGCTTCCATTACGCGAATAGAGTCGCCCCGCGCGTGCCTGAATGCTGTCTTCTAATTTGCCTTGGGCTCATTGTCGGCGGCATTATCTACGCGGTCAGGGATGATGTAAGTTTATCCGCAAATATCGCTGTATACATTCGCTGTTTTCAGAGCAATCACAACGACTTTCTGACGATTGCGGAGCACTTGTTCACGCCGCATACGTTCTTTCTCATTATTTTGCCGCCGATCGTTCTCGAAGCCGGATATTTTATGCCGAAAGATGCCTTTTTCAACAACATCGGAACAATTCTGACTTATGCAATCATAGGCACGCTTCTTAACTCCTTTGCCACTGGTCTTTCTCTTTACGGAGTGTACAAAGGTACAATTTTCGGGCGCTTAAAGTAGAAAATTTGGTTCCTTTTTGAGAGTTACGGAGTCTTTTTTTAATCAAAAGCCGCAAGATGCTTTTTCGCTCTTTCAAGAGCAAGGAATTCGGTGTGATTCTTTCTTTTTCAGGAGGATTGATGCCCGGCCTGGACGATTCACACGACCGTCCGATGGGCATTTTGGAATGTTTGCTTTTGGCACGATCATTTGCGCTGTCGATCCCGTAGCTGTCATCGCTGTCTTTGAAGAGATACATGTCAACGTGGTCCTCTACATTTGCGTCTTTGGCGAATCACTGCTCAACGATGGTGTTGCTGTCGTTCTGTATAAAGGTAATAAAGTGTAAGTTAGTTTGGTATCAACTGCGATTTCCTAGTGTACGAATCGTTTTTGGAAATGCCGGAAGGATCTGTAAATGCTACGAATATTTTTCGTGCTGTTCTGAAATTCTTTGTCGTTGCCGGAGGAGGAACTCTTTTGGGGATAGTTTTTGGCTTCTTTGGAGCATTTATTACAAAGTAAGAAACAGTAATCCGTGGCTAGTTTAGGTGGACGTTAGATATATTTGTTGATTCATTTTATTTTTTGATTTTTCAGGTACACCATCCATGTTCGAATCATTGAACCGACATTCGTTTTCATCGTCTGCTACATCGCGTATTTGACTGCAGAATGCGTCGATTTTTCCGCCATTCTCTCGATCGTATTTTGCGGCTTCACGATGATCTCTTATGTCGAGCACAATATTTCTGGCAAATCGCACACGACCGTTAAATACGGCATGAAGATGGTGGCTAATATTTGCGAGGTAAAGTTGACGCGAAATTTACGAGATAGCCTAGCAAACACTTATTTAGATTACGATCTTTATGTTCCTCGGAATCTCCGCAATTTCGGACTTTTGGATTCATTGGAATACTGGCTTCGTTTTCTGGACGGTTTTGTTCATCACAGTTTATCGGTTCATGTCTGTTTATGGGCTCACTTATCTTTTGAATAAAGGAAGATTGGAGCCAATTGGAAAAGGTACCTTGCTCGTTTACTAGCAAACAGTCCTGACAAACTCCTAGTCGATCAGTTTGTCATGGCATACGGAGGTCTTCGAGGAGGAATCGCCTTTGCTCTTACAAAACTGACCTCGATCCAGCTCGTCCCGCAAATCAACGTCATGCTTTGTGCCTGCCTCGTGGTTATTTTCTTCACTTCCTTCATCCAAGGTTTGGCCATCTTCCCCTCCCTTTTTCAAGCAATTGTTTCGTAGGTGCTTCTGTTGGGCCGATCGTAGAATGGCTCAATGTCAAAAAAGGCGATGCGGAGAAACGAGGAATGGATGAAGAAGTGGTTTATCGAGCTATTGATCATGTTGTCAGCGGAATTGAAGATGTCATTGGACATCATGGCATGCATTGGTGGATGCATAAGGTTTCTTCCTTTCTTGAACCAGCAGTTGACCCATTTCTAGCTCTCTGAATTCAACGCGAAGCGAATCAATCCGATCTTCACGAGAGATGCTTGGCGACTCGCCGATCAAGAGATTTTAGACATCTACCACAGGTTTCTTCCCTCCCATTTCTCTCCACCCCTCTTAACAATGTTCAGGATGAACCTCCGAGACGCGACAAAAATCATCAACAAAGCCGATACGGGAATCATGCTCAATCGTTCCGAGCAGAAACTCGCCGAACTCATGCTTCAGGGCAATTCCTTGCCAGACATGAACCCTCAAGACTCCTCTTCTTCCAATCTTCGACTGAACCTCGATGAAAACGCAGATCTGGGCAAATTCGACAAGAAGGAATGCATCAAAGTCAAGCACGACGCAAACCTTCACCATATGCTTGTCGTAAGACAAAAGTCTTTGAAAAAAGAACCTCCTGAATATTTGTCGTTCAGGATCATTTGTACCCAACGAGACAGAACATGAAGACGCACGAAATGCTCCGTACTCGTCGCGGTCACATCCCTGCCGAGTCCAAAATCTGCCACCAGAAACAAGAGATCTTTTTCAGAAGGAAAATACAGGTAAAATAACAGCTTCAAAACCATTCTTCTCCTTTCATTCTCTCATATTTCACTATTTTCTTCTTCATCTCTCTTCTCATTTCTTCTAGGAAGAATCAAGGAATCTTTCTTTAAAACTTCAATGAAAGCCTTTTTCTTTCTTTGAAAAATTCCGTGGTAAGATTGTACCGCTCACATAGCTTGCGGTTAGGAAGTAAGAAGCGCCAAAGAACGCTCACGACGACTTACGAAGAAGATCTTTCTAAAGGACGGGCTTAGGATGAAAATTCGAAATATGAGTCTTTATTGCTTCATCCCTTTATAAGACGACTGTTTACCGATTGTAGAAAAAAACTATCTCACACTGCCAAGTGCTTTCTACGACCGTAGACCATCAGCGATGGATGCTTTTGATGATTCTTCAGTCTCACAGACATCACAGGAACGGTTCGCTCAGACGAATCTCTAGCGCTAAAAGCATCTGTCGAAACGAGTAAAGGATCCACCTCGCCGAGCGACAGAAGGAGCAACTTTTACATTGGGATCAGACTCACCAAATAGTGTCTATTCACGATTTCGACACTACTCTGATTAGTTTCTATTCATCTCAACTCTCATTCTCTTCCTTGCTTTCCTCTTTCTCTTTCTCTTTTCCATCTATCATCCTCTTCTCAGCATTTTCAAGGACTAAAGCGTGCTTCTTTAGTATCACAAAAACTCAAAAGACCCGAAGAAAAAGGGCCGATACGAAAAAGTCGCTGGCGATTTGGTTGAAACAGAAAGTGAACGCGCTCTGAAAAAGAAGGGTCTTGAGAAAAGTATGATTCATTATTCGATAGCTTGACTTTACTGTAATTTCTAGTGGATGATATTGTAGAAGAAGAGGATTTAGTTGAAATCGTGGCGGATGGAAGTCCTGAGTCGCCGGATGAAGGAATAACGCTGAATATTGATTACACAAGCACAGGTTTTCTCATGAGATATCCTAGTACTGACTTGTATTTTTAGACTTATCGCGAACAGAATCGCCCGAAGTGAACGGAAACATAACTGCCAAAAACGATGATGATACTCTCGTACTAGCACAAACCGAGCTCCCGTGGAAGAGCAACTCTAGAATCAGCGTTGAAGGTACTCACCTTCCTTTTCTCTCTTTCAATTCAATTTTAGCGGACCCTCGGACAAATACCGAAACAGGCCGTCGCTACCGAACTACTTCCAACATTTCCGGAACCTCCCAAGAGCAATAATTATTTAAACGAAAATGCAACCAGCTTATTTAACAAAAAATATCTTAATTTTGCCAAAAAAACATCATCAACTTCAACGAATCTTCAACAAATCTCTCTTTCTCTCTTTTCCGCCATCATTCTGTATAAAACAAAAGACAAAAAAGCTCATTCAGACAAGAAAAAAAAATTCCTGCGTACTATTCGTTCCAAATAAGTTTTCAAACAGTGTTTCGTTTATTTTGAAAATTCTGCTCTGCTTACCTCAATTTTACATTTTTTTCTTATTATTAATTTAAAGTTTTAGGATAAGTTCTGCGTACTGACTTTAGCTTTCGAAAAAGTACTATTATTATTTAATAAATCAACTTTTCTCAACTTAAAAATCAGTCGTAAATATGCTGATTTCAGTTCATATTTACAGAATCCTTTCTTGAACTTTTAAAACTATGTACAGAGAGGAAAAAAGACAGGCTATCGACCTCTTTGGCCGCCAGAATAATTATCAAAAGTCTCGCCAGTCGCCCTAGCTGCAGCAGCTTTTGCTTGGAGAATGCTCGGAAGAATGACGTTTTCAAACTTGTCGAAATCTGGTTCTTTTCCATCAACGACCATGAAATCTTCCGGTCGAAATTTGCAGCCTACTTTTTGCTGGTTGTAAAGATAGTTGCTGGGCTCGGCAATCTGACCTGAGTAAAACCCTGAGTCAGTCCCCTGAGTACTGAGTACACAGGCCCTGACCTGTGTGCCTGAGTAAAATCGAGGCTCGAGAAAAAAAACCCTAAGCCTGACCCTGACCTGAGTTGAAAGACAGGCCTGAGTTGCTCACACAGGGCCTGAGTAAGCTAAAAAAGCACAAAAAAGGGTCAATTTGCAACGTCAAGGGGGTCAAAATGCAGTGATTTTCCATCTTATGGGAGATTTGTGATTATAGGTTATATGTTATCTTGGAAAATGAAATTATTAAAATTTTCATCTGTCGAAAAAACCCTGTGTTTTGGCCTGAGTCAGGCACCTGACCCTGACCTGAGTTCCTGAGTCTGAGCAGGCCTGACTGAGTACCCTGAGTACCTGACTGAGTGAGAAACCCTGACCTGAGTTCCTGAGTAAATATCGAGAAAAATTTTTCGAACCCTGACCCTGACCCTGTACTCAGGTTGCCGAGCCCAGGATAGTTGAAGTGCGAGACGAAAACGGGGACGGGGAAAGACATGCAAAGAATGCCCATCATTGCGCAAAACGCCCCACTAAAATTGTTAGAGCCTTATCCTCAAGAAGATGTGGTCACCTGATCTTTCCCGCCAACGAAATAGGCACGACGTCACCATATCCAACCGTGCACATGGTTATTATTGCCCACCAAATACCATCGGGGATTGATTTAATCGAATTTTCACGGTCACTAGAAAGGTAAATTTGATCATCAAAAAGTTCAGCCTCATACTGATATTCCGCATCCATGTGAAAAACAAACGAAGCAAAAGTCACGGCCAAAACCATCTGGAACATGACCAAAAGAGTGAGAACCCTCGCTGATCTTCTCAGAGTTTCTCCTAGAATTCTCAGCCCTCGGGAATATCTTTCAATCGATTCAATCTTTTCCATTTTTCCGCGATTCGGGAGTAGTTTGAATCGTTTCTTGAAAGCTTCAGAACTCGAAAAGCTCTGGTTATTCTCAATATTCGCAGCATGAAAATGACGACGTAGTTATGATGCGCTTCGGATCCATTACAGGTGCTTATTCCGAGAATGGTTCTGAAGAGCCAAGGTAAAATCGCGAGAAAATCGATTATGTTCATGATATCGGCGATAAACGATCTCCAAGAAGGCGCTAGAATAAAAATCGTTAGCTTTGGGTTCTCCGATTTGCTTTTTACCGCAAAGAAGTCGCAAAGAAAGCTCGATGATAAACCAGACAACACAAATGCTCTCGATGGAATACATCGCGATCACACTTGTCGAGCAAGATTCCCCGTCTTCTGCAGTTTTACTGATTCCTGGAAGAGTTTCGATGCAGAAAAGCGTGGTCGACACGACAATTGCAAGAATGGATAGGGAAGAAATGATTTTTGCAAGAGTTGAACTCGTTGGATTTTCGAAAAGTGTCCAGATCTTCATTCTTGTCGTCTGAAAAATGTTCGATCTACTACTTGAATACTTGTTTTTCTAACCAGGTTTTTGACTTCTTCCTCTTTTTCCATGAGCAAGCCTTCATTCCGAAGAAAATCTTCGATCGCAGGAACAGGCAGCTGGTAGAATGAAATTTCATAAAGAAAAACATCAATTGGAATCGTATCGGGGCAAACTAGCTCGCCTCCGATCGAGAGCCAATTTGCAATGACTTCGAACGAGTTTCGATGGCGATCGAGAAAGAATTCTTGGCCGTCCCAGTATTTATTGAACGCTGCAAAAAAGCTCGTTACTAAAATTGAAGGATTATCTACCTGGATCAGCAAAAATAGTCTCTGGATAGCGCTCCTCAATCCCGGCCAAATCCAATTCAAGTCGGAGTCCCGAGACATTCACAACAGCAAATCCTTATTCCAGGGTATTTCGTGGTCATAAATCAGTGGCGTTATGACTGTCAATTAAATAAATCTTGACAAGTTCATCCATTTTTATTGCAAGTCGCGATTGTTTACCCGATCCTTGGCTCATTTGAGAGAGTTCATGCTGGCTGAGCTGTCTAAAAAACGGATGAAGAGGACAAAAATTGAGCAAAATGAAAATCTGAAAGTTTCATCCATTCCTTGGGCTCTTACAGCTTTGTCGCGTCGGACTGAAGTCGATTTTCGAAAGCGTTACTAGAAAAACAATCAGAAAAAAGTCATTTCTACAGTCATTTTCATACACTGTGATTTGGACAAGTTTTTGTCAAAAGCGGAGTACATTCCCGCGCGTATCCCAAACATTTTTTCTCTTTACTTTTCTTCTCCCCTTTCTTTCTCTGTTTGATATATCTGTTTGATGCTTTTGAATGTTTATAATGTCCGATTCGAGCCCCCAACCCTTTCAGGCTAAATGCCGCCCAGAGCTGCGTCCGGGCCCCGACACTGTGAAGATCGAACCGAATTAGCTTCTCTAATCCAATTTTATCTTAGTCTCGCTCTTCGTCCTGCACATGCCTTAGGGCTTATTTTGGTCATATATTATTCCGTTATTCCCCTATTAAGCAGTTGAAAGTTCATCTCAAGTGTCTTCTTTATTGACTCTCATTTTTATTTAATTTATTCCAAAAAGACATGAAAAAAAGAGAGTTAATAAATTTTCGTCTCAAAAAAATCTTCAAAATCAAATCAAAAGCCTTTTCCTCAAGAAAATCAAAAGAAGAAAAAGGAAGGAATTTTACGAATTAGAACAGAAAATATATTGAAAGGAGCAGTCCGACGGCCTTACCCGTGTTGAATTATTTATTCGCGGCATATTGTGAGTAGCAAAAAACCTAACGAACAGGTCCTCCGGGGGTCGAGGAAATAAATGATTGAGGCACTGCACACGTTTTTAGAAATAAATAGTAATAAGCTTCTGACGACAGGCCCTTTGTAGGACAAACAACGATGTTAATCCTATTCGGGGACAAGAAAAAATATCTCAAATTTCATGTCTCTACAAAATTTCCTCGAGATTTTTTTAAATAAAAAATTTTAAAAAGTTTGATTATCAAATAAATTTTAATAAAGTTGGTATGGCGATTTATGGCGGATTCCATTACTTACGTCTTCGAGATTTTGAGTGGCTCAAGCTTATGCTTCTTTTAACAGTGTTCAACAACGACGCCTTCTTTTTCTATAAAGATTATACCAGATAGCGCTGTTATTCTCTAAGGATCGTTATCTATGTTTGATGAACACTTAACTTCGTCTCTCTTTAACAGAATTATTCCGCGAGCATTGATGCTGACTCCCTTCAGCTAAAAACGAAAACATCTCTCTCAAGCCCGACTTCTACTTTTGCTTCGTGCTTGTCAACTCTGATTTTAAACAATCGGCGTTTTGTCGCAAGCGCCGAGATTTTTACCAAGTGGCGCGACAAGTATCGGCACTTTCTTGCCGAATTCAATGCCAGTTACCAATTTTCAACTCGAGCGGTTGCATCCCTGATACTCCGATAAATTGACATCTGACGCGGCTTTTGCTTAATTGGATCTCGGAAAAGAGGTCCGTGGATACAGTAGCTTCTCTTACAAATAATTTTGCAGTGTCGAATGAAGAATGATCTAATGAAGATTTTATTGAATTTTGCTCTTTGAACTTGAAGAAAAATTGAAGTAGCGGAGAAGTTCATTCGTCCAGATGGAGACGTACGCAAGAATGATAGAAGAGTATGCTGAAGTACAGTATGTTTGAGCAAACTATTCCGTCATGGAAAAACTTACGATTGTAAAGAACATCGTTGATGACAAATCTTACAAACCAGAAGGTGTAAAGGTACTGGAATACAATCATCAAGTGGTAGTACTGGAAATAATCTCCAAAAGTTTCCAGCTTGAATCTCTTTTTCGCTGCCTTTAATTGCTTCTTGTCTACGAGAATTTTACGTTTTCAATTTCATTCGATTTCAGACCTGGTTTGATGCCGGTCTTGCGATAGACTTCATCATGAGCGTCGAGTCCGTACATCATGATCGCATTTTTCGATCCAGCCCATTCGCAGATCATATCAGTATGATGATGGAAGTTTTCAGGAGGATTCGCTGCGCCAGGGACGCCAACGAAGCAATACAGCTTCGTTATTGTCGTCTTATCAAAAGTAAAATCAAGGAAGAGTCAACCAGCTTTACCTGGATCGCCAATAAATTTCCCACAAAAGGATTGTACTGATCATCAATTCCAAGCAAATGTCCCAAAACTCGCCAAGTATGCAAATACGCCACCAGCTCATTCTCATCTTGAATCCCGAAAAATCTGGGTGCAACTACAATTGGCCCGGCAAAACCGACCAAGACGTGGGCCATGTCTGATTGGGATACCCAAACGTGGCTTTTTGGCGCTGCCTCTTCCTTGTTGATTTTCTTCGCGACGGCTTTGTGGATTCGAACAGTGTTGAGAATTTCACGGTGACCTTTTGTTGAACTGTCAAAGACATCGTCGACAAGCCAGCTGTTAACCCGCTCAGCGGTCTTCCAATACCGCCAGAAAGCGCTAGAAAAAATTCACCTTCTGTAAGGAATGATTCTTGCTTAGTACCTTCTTGAAGTTTCAGTTCTCTTCGTAAAAACCATCACTTTCGTTACATTTTCAAAAACATGCCCTGCCACAACGGACAAGGCCATACTGAAAATGCAAGCACCTTTGTATTTCCGATAAAACTCGCGGCCTTCGTGAAATAATTTATCATCGTAGTAGTCGGGCTTTTCGAAAGTTTTCAGCGCGTCTTCAAATTTTGGAATGCTCGACTCTTTAATCAAAGTTATTAATTCTTTCTCAAAGGCTAAAATTACCGAAGAAGCCTGAGTTAACTGCTTCATAATTGTCCTTTGTCATCTGAGATTCTCTCATATGCAAAATGAACTGTAAGCGAGATTATAAAAGTACTGGTTTTGTTGGTTCTAATGGGAGTTGCCAATATTTGTTCTTCTGCATTCTGAGATTTTCCGTCTTCTATTTGATTTCAGCATGTTTTCTGATAATTTTTATATTACCAAGATAAAATAAACTTCGGGTAAGGATTTTGTGTTTTTCTTTTATTTTTGATAAGAGCAGATTAAACACAAATACTGTATAATACAGTAAATGGTAGTGGTTATTGAAACAGTGAAAAATGTGATAAATTGAGAAGTGCACGAAAAAATAATGACGAAAATGGATAGATAAATGAACAAAATAATGGAAAAAGCAAATGATAAAACAGTGAAGGGGTAAAAATCAGCTGCTGAAGACTTCTTGGACTTTCAATCCAGGTGGGTCACCGACGTCGACGTTGTTCACAATGCATTTTCGGTCGATACAGTCAGCCGCATACATCAGCGCCTGTGACGAGGTGCTCTGTAAGCAAAGCCAGGATTCAGTGCTAGAAAAGTCAGATTATGAAATGATAGAAGAAGACATTCTTACATGGATAGTCCGGCAATGGCGATTCCGGGAAAGATGCTCAAGGCGCGTTCTAGCTCGGCTTGGCTCACTCCTGGCTTGATATTCGTGACGTAGACGCTAGAAAAAATAAGAGAAAGATTTGATAAGCTGAATTTACCAGAAAACGGGCGGAAAGACAGAAGGCATCATTTGAGGAGCAAAATGATCCGGGGCGGGGTAGACATGCGCAGGCCGAAGAAGAGGAACAACAGGCTCTTGTGGAGAACCAGGTTGACTAAAAGGAGAAACTGTTGGTGAATGAGAAAAGCCACATGATCCATCAGGCTGACGGTTGTTTCGTTGGTCGTTCGGGTTTCTCGTGTTAGCCTAGAAAACGCGGGTTACTTTTCATATAAAGCTGTAAATTACCTTTGCGAACTCGATTCTCAGGTACATGTTGATGTTCTGATCAAGCTGGAATCCGTTAAACTCGTCCATTGCCGATTTTGCTGCTGCTACGGTCCTGAAAGTTGCGAAAGCGATCGGGTGTCCATCAGGTTTGTTGGGTGGCGGAGCGGAGATCATGACCCCCTCGTATTCTAAAAATCAGTAGAAAATACGGCTTTGGTACAAATCAGACTTACCAGGTATGGTCCGGAAGAGAACTCGAATTTCTCGATGTTTTACGTCTCTTGGAAGCCCGGTTATGTACAGAGTACGAACTGCATCTTCCTAAAAACCATCATTTTTTTTAAAGAGAAGAACTCCGTACCTCATTAAATTCTTTGTTAGGATTCTCCGACCGCTCGGAATCGCTTCGTTCCGGAGTGAGCAAATTATGCTGCTCTTCTTCCTCGTCATCAGGATGCGGCGTTGCCTGTCTGCTAGACAACGCCCTCGGCGCTCGTTGCAAAACATGATCCGGTAGGGGTGGCCGAACTGGAGGAAGGGGATGGACATCATCACTCTCACTGAAGAAGCTTCTCGATCTGTAATGGACAGCGGAACTGTAGACCGAAGAGCGAATGCTTGTTTCTCCTCTTTTTCGCATGACAAAAAACTGCTGACGCGGGGGAGCTCGCGCAGGAACTCGTGGCTGAGTGGCTCGATACTCTGTGTAGATTGCCTCGAAATTCTCTTCCTGAGACATTGAGCAGCCGCAAAATTGCTGTGAAGGGTAGTAAACGGGTATCATCTCTCGTTAGTGAAAATAGGAAGACTCTTGTGTGAGTGATCTGTGTGAAGTGGTGAAATGAAAGAGGAGCTCATCTGTTTCTCAAAAATCTGGAAATGAATATGCACTACTATTGGCCGGTTTACGTCACCTGAGGAAACGATAGCGCTCTAGATCGGCTTGGATCATCTCCTGCGGCACGTCTTTTCAACTCTCGAAGATGAAACACTCTTTTATCTAGAGAATTTCGGGTGCGCGCTACCTTGATTATCAAGTTTTCAAGGAGATCGGCAAGAAATTCTGCAAACTGCCGCATTATGCTAAATATCATCAGCAAATCACCTGTAGTCTAAAGCGAGTGTCAACCGGAGAAAATCAATCTGCCTAAAAGTACCTGCTGGCTCCAATTTAGTCGCTCTTGAAATTCAGAAAAACCTGTACATCTCAAGTGTAGCCATCAGTGTGCGTGCATCCATTATCTCTGTGAATAAGGGGACCAGTAGCTTATTATGTCTCAGAGATACCAATTTCCGTATCAGTATGCAAAAGAGACGCATGAATTTATTTAGAGCATCTTAAGAGCGCAAAGAAACTAAGACGCGTCCCCTGTCAAGAATTAATGATTACTTCTTGACCAATATGCAGACGGGTATAAAAAGGGGTTGTCTTACTGTCATCTCACATCAGATCTTCAAATCCGAAAAACAAACAACAAAACTACAAAGAAAATGAAAGTTTTTCAACTCTTCACCGTCAGCTCTGCTTTTTCCGCTACTTTCTCCACCGAAGGAAACATGAGAAACTTTGGACTCTCTGTAAGTTAGAGGGGCTACATACTGAGGGGTACTGGAGGGGGGTAGGCTTGGCATAAGAGGGGGTCCCGGGAAGCTTTGCCCCTTTGTAAGGGTTAGGGTTAGGGTAAGGAGGACCCCGACCAGGAAATCCCTAATAACGGTCTTAATGAAGATATCCTTAATTTTGTCTTTCAGAGAGCCTACAAGCAGGACTTGATGAATTTCCTAAGATCTGGAGGAGTTAATGCTGTATCGAAACGATCATTCTACGAAGAATAAAGTATATATTATCATCTTATCTGTTACTGTAATAAACCTTTCATTTTTTACTTAAAAAGCTCGTCGAAGCGTTTTTATTTATTTGAGATGTTTTTGAAGTCGTATGAACGAAAATATAGAGGTCTGCATGGATCAAGGTTAATGTTAGTGACGGGAATGAGCATGGAGAGGGCGGGCTCAGCGCTTTTTGCGCGTTGGATTTGATAAAATATTATATACAGGCACATTTAATACATACTTATTCCCGCCGCTACGCCTCATTACCAAGAGAGGAGACTACTGACTCGTGTATATTTTTTCTTTTATTTGAAGAAATGTAAATTCAAAATCGAAAAAATTGAAAATGAAGCAAAATCGATAGAAAAAGGGACTTTTAAAAAGGATGATCAGCACGGATGAGGTCGGAAATAGCAATTGCTTTCAGGACTGAAATCATAGAAGAGAATTTTTGACAATAAAGAATTGATTCTTTTTCATTTAAAGATTTCGGGGATAGGACAGTCATACAGACAGTTTAATATGGGTAAATAAACGCCCTTCCATCCGATATCGTCCAATAAAACATTCAGACTATCAGCATAGTAGGAGCAACAATATTCGTGGCGACGAGCAAGGTCAGTCTGCTCCTGCACTTTATCGAAGATAAAAAGTGGTATGGCGATTTTATGACTTTCGGCGTCACATTAGCGATGGGCACCATGTTTTCTGTCACCATTTTTCAATTCATTCCTGAAAGTCTTCACTTTCTCCATGTCCAGGTTTAACTCCAACTTTACCTATCACTGCGAAGGGGCAATTTCAGACATACAACGTCTCCTGCGACAGTTGCCACCAGGGAGCCTGGGCCGGATCAATCGTCGATCGTCATAATTGCCTTGCAATTTGCACTAGAAAAACGACAGACGAATGTGGCTTGTACAGAATCGACGTTGGAGGAGCCACGTCTTTCATGAGCACGATGACGGTCTCCTACTTCTTTTCGATTCTGGTGTACGACATCCAAAAGGGGGTTATTTTCTTTGATTCGATTCTTGAATATTCAGGTCTGTTTTTGGTAAAAAGATTATTTTTCGATGCCCTTTTTATCCAAGTCTCGGGATGGATTTAAAAGCCATTTCAAGGATCGTCCTTTGTTCATCCTTTTTTCGGCAAGCATAACCTCAATAAGGGGTTCAAAAGGAAAAACAGTATTTTTCAAAGATAAAATTTAGACTTTATAATTTTTGAACTTTGACCTTGAATCTTCTATCTTCTTTTCTTTGTATTATTTTCGTGATAAATTCGTGGTATTGACTCAAAGAAGACTAAATCAATTGGCAAATCTTAGTCCAAGAAATCGATAGAATCAAAGATAATGACCCTCTTTTGGAGGTATGTCTCGGTATATCATCGTTTTTCAACGCTAAATTGTGCCAAGATGATCCAGCTACTTTTTGCGAATGAGTATCAGAACTCAGCCAACTTTCGGCGAGTTGACAGACGGAACACGAGGAAAAACGTTCATTCCAAATCTGCCATTGGCGCTGGAGCAAAGGTAAAGACATGAACTTGACAGAGTTCTTCAAATACCTAATGCATTTTAGATGGGGATGATTTCTGTTGCAGGAGCGCCAAATATCATCGGTAAAATTCGACGCCCAAGTTATGTCAAGACCCAGGATCATGCGATAACGATTGATCGAATACAGCGACTTGTTACTGAAACTCCTAAGGTACTTCAAAAAAGACGAGGGTCCTCTTCCATCATCAATTTTAGGTTCCAAGAAAGACGGTATTCATGGCGAATATGGAGCAAAACTGGAAGCACGTGGACTCCGTCGCTTGGGTTATTCTGCTGACAACAGCCTTTGAATGCCTAATTGAAGGTGAGAATCAGACTGTAAATCGCAGTGACTGTCACTTTCACTCTGATTATGTCTGGAACGGGGCCCTGTGTCTCCCTGATTTTAAAAAGTAACTCAGGCATGGCATTCACGTTGACGTTGCAAGACGACATCGGTGCGGGATTTTCTGTCTTGTTCGCCATGTTGCTCAAAATGATACCGGTAAGATTAACATCAAGGGAATGGATCAAACGAGCTCTGTAAAATGCCCGCAGGGTATTTGAAGCGCTCTGCCCCGCGGCGCAAGCCTTTTTGGCGCAGTTGGTTAGCGCGTCAGTCTCATAATCTGAAGGTCGTGAGTTCGAGCCTCACAGAGGGCAGCTTTTTTTCATCCCCTTTTTTCAGCAAAAACTTGGGAACTCCGTGATTTTGATGCAATCCGGCCTCTCCCACTTTTGGGAAAATGCACTGGTCTTGGCGTCGGTGTCAGCGATTTATCCAGGAGTCTGTATTGCCATGTTGCTGAGGAACATGCACATAAAAGCGGCGCTGAAGGCGAAGTTTTTCGCAGCGTTGACGGGGATGTTTTTGTACCTTTCGCTAGCTAGAATGTTTCCGGTTCTTCAGGTGAGATTTGCATGCGGTTTTTCAAGCTGACAGTTCTTTCGTAGGAGCTAGTCGACGAGCCGCCGAAAACAGAAATTGGTAGACAAATGGATCCGAAAGAATATCTCGAGCTTTCAAAAAGAAAATCTTACAGGTTACAGATATTCATCAATTTTCATGCTTCTTCGATCTTTCCGAACCTTTCGCACTCAAATTCCCTTTTCTAGGAGATTATTCTTGGCAAATATTGGATTCATATGTGCCTTTGGAATCCTCGCTCCTCTTGTAAGTCCCTTTTGAAAATCGCTCTAGAAATCAATTAAGATTTATTACGAAAATTTCATCCAAGAGCAAATCGAACAAATTATCTGTGGTAGGAGTTAAAATTGAATAAACACAATCGCTGCTGTTTTTAATGTCTTTATTTTATTGTTTGATTTGTACAAGAGGTAAAAAGAGAGAAAGAGAGAAGGATACAATTAAGAGTTGGGCCAGCCAACTTTTGAACAGTTTTTTTGTTCTTCAGTGGAGAGAAATGGAGAGTTGAGAAATTGAAGCGTTTTTTTCAGAAATTTGAACCCTTGGAAAGCTTTTTTATACAATTAGAAGCAAATACAACAATATGAACAGTTCTTGTTTGGCTGATGAAGATCGTTAAAGAATTTGAAAAGGAAATTCCTTAATATTATATTAACATTGAGCAATATTGCTTTTCAGAGGTCAAATGAGGGGAGCGTGAGTTGGGTGTGGACGTAACCAATAGCTCGGCCAACCAAATGGCTGGCGAGGGCTTCCAGTTCTTCTTCCTAGGAGACATGAGTGTTAAGATTTAATGGGCGAATGTTAGAATGGTCAGTTATGTTCGTTCAATTACCATTTGTTCGCTGAAAGAATCGGTCCCGGAATCGGCATTTTCCTCGACAAAAATATCAATGGCTTCTTCAATTGCTGATGTGACTATGTTATTTGCGACGTCGAGTACTTCTTTAAACTTGAATTTCTTTGTTCCGTGAAGGACGGTGGGGAGATTCATCGACTGATCGACGAAACTTTCGCTTCCCATGTCCGATAATGCCAGATCGCTTCGGGGACTCAAAAGCCTTAAAGAAATTTTTAAAGACCATAATTTTGTCATAAGCAAGAAAGGTGCCGTATTTTAAAATGCGCTCAACAGACGAGTAATAATTATTATCATTAGTTTTCATTATAAATTCGCAATCTCGGGAAGATATGAATATCCGATGCATGATCAAACTATTTTTAATAACAGTAACTTACTCTGGATCATGAACATCTTCTTCTTCATAATGCTCCTGAACCTTCGGCGATTCTGGTCGACCAGAATCAAAGCTTTCAGGATCATTCGTCAGCTCGAGTTTTTCTAGGCTAATGGTTTCTTCTTGTAGATTTTCTTGAATCTCCTCAACTGGAATCGGTCGATCATTCAGATCTTCGTCTTCTTCGCGAAAGTCGACATCGTCATCGTCATCTTCGTTTTCATCGTCGTTTTCGGATTCTGATTGGATGGAATCGACCTCGTTAAAGTTTTCGTCATCGTCGTTTTCGAAGTTGGATTCGAGGAGCTCCTTTTTTGGCTTGAATATTTTCGAATATAAAAATTTCGCGAGGAAATTTCAAGCCTTTCCTTTGGCGCTTCAAGAATATTCTCCTTGTCAACTTCGTCCAAAAACTCGTCACTCTTTTCCGACACCATCGACAATCGACCTTGAGTCGAGCACCCATCAAACGACTTCAACTCCTGTCGCGAAATCGACACCGCTGAAATCGATAGTGTCATCAGGTCTGGATCCGGCTCGTCTTCGCAGCAATCCACAGCGGGGAATTTTTGTATTGCTTCTTGGGAACTGGATTTTGATTGGCTTGAAGTTGGTTTTTCGGGTTTTGATTTGAGTTGAAGGAAGTGCCGAAACGGTGAGTGGAGATGCCGTCGGAGGAGTTTGACATGAACGATGTTCCTTATAAAAATTATCCTAATTTTCTTCTTATCAAAATTGGGCCATGGTATTGACCATGGGGTATGATGATAATAATTTTATCTGATTCTGGAAGAGTAACAATTCAGACAATTCCTATGTTAGATTAATCATAAGTACTAAACATTTAGTTTATAAAATCAATAAGATCAAAAATAAATTATGATTTCCAAGGAAATTTCTAGAAATTCGCTTGAATTTTTCAAACTCAGTTATGAATCATAACTTATGATAGATGATTTAAACAAGGAAAATTTGTTCACCTGACATTGTTGACAAATTCGAAGCAGATCGATTAATTGTCACTTCTGTCGAAGAATTCGTCGACTCCGAATCCGCAAAACTCACGTCAGCCAGAGACGAAGAATCTGTTGTTACAACGTCGGAAATTTTGATGAGATCTTCTAGAGCTCCTTTTACATTTTTAGGTAAAAGTCGATCTTACCGGATTCGAAAGCGGAATTGTTCGAAAGAAGTGGATCTGATTTCGTATGTTTCTTTTTGGCTTTTTCTATCGCTTGTCTGGACTCATCCGTATCTCCAGAAGTCTTGCGTCTTATCGCAGGTGAGTTCTGACGGCTTGCTAGATTGCGGCTGAACAAATTGCCAAAGAGGCTATTTGGTCGCTCCGTTTTCTCAGAAACGCGCTTGGTCCCCGGGGGAATGCGCAGCGGTGAATTTGCTCCGTCGAGTTCGATGAGATTCGCGGGAGAAGAAGAAACGAACGATTCGACGAATGATTTCTTCGCTTCCGCGAATTTTCGATGCCAGTTCATCGCGTCGATTGCTTGAAGAGCGTCGATTTTGAGATTTTTGTTGTGTTGAAGAACTTTCAGGATTAACTAAAGAGAATAAGGAGGGGAAGAAAAAGGGGACAGGTACCTTTGGGCTTTGAATTTGAGGGTGGTCGAGGTCGATGTTGTCGAGAATTTCACAGAAGGTTACTTTCAGACGAGTTTTGGATTTGCGCTTGGCGATGAGGAGGCAATTGTTGAAGAGGAGGAGCTCGGAATCTTTGTTCGACTCTATAAAATGTCAATTTATGAGATGTTCGTAATAATCATTTGATAAGTTGTCAAAGTAAAATCGCGGTGTATTCTTAAATATCATCCTTGAAGAATTTAATTGCAGGGGATTTTGAATATGTTTAAGGTAAAAGGTTTTTAATGGCTTTCATAGATTTGGAAAAATTTAAATATTGATACTTAATTGAAAAATCTGTTTTTATGGCGCCTTATTTCTCGCAAATGCGTAAAAGTCTCTAGAGTCTAGACGCTATTTACGCGAAAAACCGAGCCTAGAGAAATTTTGCTCTCCTCTTTTTGTGTTCATGACATAACTCGCTCGATATTTTTGAAAATTGATTGCTATAATTTTTTTATTTTCTTTACCTTTGATATTTCCGTTGAAGAGCAATCTTGTCGCGCCTTCGGGAGCTTGGTGTGCTTTATGAGGAAGCGACTTGTCGTATTCCAAGCTTTTACTCTGCATTTTACGATTATCAACATGACATGTAGGAAAAGAGCATTCACCTTTACTTTGAACTCGATTTCGGCAATGCAATCGTTGAGGTACTTGGTTTGAAGGTCGAGCTGTTCACACACATGCAGCAAAAGATGGTGGTCTTCGTTGTCTTCAGGGGTCGATTTTTGAAGTCTAAAATCGAGGATTTCTATTGGCCGAAAATGAAATTTTTTTATTCACCTTTCGATGATCATCTTCATCCTCGGCAATTTCGTTCTCGGAGCATCTAACATCGACCAAATCGACAATTTCCTCGAAAAATCCGACTGCTGAGCTGCTTCCAAATAGTCCCTGATTTTCGCCATTTGAAAAACTTCCTCGAGTCGATTTCGCTTTTCCACAAGACCTTTTGAGTAGTCTGCATAAACAACGATCTGAACACACGATTCTTTATCGACGTCAGACTCAGACAAGGACAGTGTAATTTTCAAGCACTTGATGCTATTTACTGAGCTATTATGGAAAGCTGTAATTTGCCACGATAAAGTGGCTAATCGGGAAATTCCCGATTAAAAAATATTATATGTTTTTGCTGATATAGAGATTTCACGAGATGTTACGGACTGGGAAGGGGTGGATATTTTGATTTCAAACCCCGAAATCCCTGTTCTCGACCAATCAGGATGGCCAAATTCGGGTTGAAAAGTGGAGTTGAAATCAAAATATACACCCCTGACTGGGAACCAGAACAGACAGACGCTCATTAATTTAATTCGTCATTTAAAAAATTAAAAAAAATTTATACAATTCGATGGTTTCCATATTTACGGTTTCTGTTTGATATTCCTTTTTAATCAATTTTCTCACCTTCGGAATCCATTCGAGCAACGAGGGCCCAATACTTTGGACTAATCCCCGATGATCGCGAATATTTTGAAACTGACAAGCGAGATCATCATTCACGGCGATGACCTCCGCCAGATTTCCAAAGAGCTCATTTGGGTCGACGAGCGGGACGTTTCTCTCATCCACCGGCGCCAGGGTCTTCACACCTTGGTAATACACCTGAAAGACAAATTTTAAAAGGGCTCCGACTTTGTGACGTAGTGTAAATATTGTTTTTTTACGAAAGTGGACAGGCCTTGACAACTTTTGGTTATTAATACTTCAAGCAATTATTTCCGTTGCGCAAAGAACTGGAAAACAACTGAACAAATCAAATTTACAGAGGTGGTTTTTCGGGGAGTTGTCTGGAACCGACAAAAATATTTCGACAAATTTTACGTGGAAATTTTCAACCAATCAGAAGCCTGGATTCGGCAAACCGGCCAATCAGCAACCGAGTAGCCTCCCACGCGAAATTTGTCGGTATTTTTTTTCGGTTCAAGACACCATCCCGGTTTTTTAAGAGTTTCGAGTCGAAACTTTCGACTCAAAAAACTCAAAAATTCAAAATCATTAAGGGGTACCCTTTCAATTTGAGGATCTCGGATCTAAATTGATTTTGAAAGCTCGTTACGCAATACTGTACTAACAGTACTGTCAAAGTCCTACTGTAGCTTCGACTTGTAGATAAACATAAAAACTTCCGGTGGAAAAAGTGGAAAAAGCGAGCTCGTGATAAAGAGATTTGAGTCGCTAAGTGACTTCCAAAAATAAATAGCTATTTGAACTTACATTTTTGACTGTTAAAAGATCTTCGCAAAAGTCCATGTGGCTTTTGACAACTTCCCAGATGATATTTTGCCGTTTGACTTCATCCTTGTCTTCTCGGATTTCTTCGAATGTTGAGGGGTAGGCTTCGTGCCATTGGCCCTTCATCACCTTAAGATTTTTTGTGAAAAAGGGGGTAAGGCAATTGAGAAGAGAGACTTGGTAGTTAGCGACTGTAGCAGCGAAGGTTTTGTCGCGGGAAAAAGTTGCTCGGAAATCAATTCTTTTTTTGGGCTTATTTTTAAGGGTAGATACAAGCGGATGGAGATTCTAACAAACCTAGAACCTTTTTAAATAAGATCCGTTCAAGATTCTCTAGAAAAGTCAAGCGGTAAGATATAAGAAGAGATTTTATGGTCCCCTCAAAGTCTGAAACCCATTCCCATAGTCCCAAACAAAATGTTTTTTCGTCGTTCTTCGAATTCTCTGACTCTCCCGATTATTATCTTGCAAAACACTTTCATGGCAATTGCTCAAATTTTCTTGTACTTCGAGAAAACTCCCCATTTTCCCTTACTCCTGCTTTCATAAAAAAAAACTTGCGATTTTCTTGAAAAGTGCTCCACGCAGAAAGCTGAAAGCGAGAGAGGGGAAGAAAATGGCGCTCTGAGCAAATAAAAGTAGTGAATGCTGCTATCGCAAAAGACATCGTTTTTTGAAGTGCCATTCAATTGAGATAAATATTCTCAATCACCTTCTTTTTCTGACGATATTAAAACACCTAGCGACCGAAAAACAAAACAATTTCTTTATAAAATGAAAGAAAAAATCATTCATTCTCGCAAGAACTCAAAATAGCCGTTCGCGGCTTTATGAGTCCGAATTCTTATGAAAAATCTTGACTCAAAAAACCGCGCGCGGCTTTTATGGGGTTAATTTTTCTAGCCGCGCGGCTTTTATTCGATAACAAATCATTGTTGATATTTTCGTTGCGAAGCCGCGCGCGGCTAAAGTTCATCTGATGCTAGAATTCAGATCATTATTCTTGATAAGAGCGTTTCCGAAGCAAATTCTAGCGGGTCTGAGAAAATAACATATTTAGCTCCTTGCGCTTAATCCATAAAATCAACAAATTCTATTTGCTTCCGGCCATATTGCAAGTTGCAATTCGAAACAGTTTTCATGCATTTGCGAAAGTCTACTCATTTATCCACTTATTCAAAAGTCTACATTTCAAAGTTCATAGTATGACCTTCATACTTCTGAATCATTCAAGTCAATAGAAGGATGAAAGAAACCCTTAATTATTCGAAAGAGTACTAAAAGACTAAAAGGAAGGGAAACCGCAAGCTGCAGTGCCCCACTTTTTAGTGATGAAAAATTCAAAGCGTTTTTTGTGTTATTTTCAAGCTCTTTCATCCTTCAGTTCTTTCAGTAAGAGAAATGACGGAAAACAACGAAGAAAGCGATTTTGCTGAGTGGATAAAAATGACCCTGGTGATTGGACTTTACGAGAAGGACTCAAATATTTGCGTTTCTGACTCGTCAATTGGCAATTGCTTTAGTTGCAATTTTAACAACATGGTTTTGAGTCCTCTTTTCTAGCGTTTATGGCGACGGCCTTTTTGTCCTTGTCTCTGTGCCTTTCAATCACATGATGAAATAGTAATAAAGTTCAAGATTCAAATTCACTTTTTTATTTTTTGAAATTTACCTTTTCTTAGCTTCTTTATTTTTTCATCAAAAATCTCTTTTTACAATTTTCTTCGTTGATTTCTTCAATAAATGAAGCTCTCTTTTTTCTCTTTATTTTTGTTGAAAACAATGAAAAATTCAAATTCGCGAAAAAGCGCTTCCTTTTTTGATTTTCGGTAAACAACTGATTTGTAATAAAAGAGGTGGGAAATTAGGTGTACCCTTACTTTGAGCCTAGGTGGCCGCGTTTTCTCGCGAGTAGGGGCCAAAACGACGCTGCCGCTGTCCGTTTTCCGGGGGATGTGGATCAAGAGGAGAGTAACGGTCACGCTCGGCGGCGGCTTATCGCACCACTCGGCCTTACCAGGGCCCTAATTGACCAGTCAAATGGACAAGTTGGGAAAGGAGATCTTTTACGCGCCGCTGATAACTTATCAAGGCAAAAGTGGTTTGATTTCTCTTCACAAAAATAATTTCTTTTTCAAAAACTATTTTTTGGAGTGATAAAGCCGCAAGCGGCTTTTTTTGCTTTCTGAAAAAAAAATTCAGTGACTTACGTTTTTGACAATTTTCTTCGGCCTAGAACTCGTTGTCGGCGCAGAAATCTGCCTTTTCGGTGGAATTCTGGAAATATCTCTTGAAGGGTTGGCTTCGGAAACGGAAACGACGGATTTTCGATCAGCTTCGATATCGGAATTGCTGATATTTGAGTTGCTAAAACGCGGATCATGATGAGTAGGAAAGGATAATTTGTTTATGGTTTACGGTGAGTGGTCTCCGTTTGCCCAAGTCGCCGTTTGCCCAAGTCGTCGTCTGCCCAAGATCGCCGTTTGCCCAACTTGGGCAGACGGAGACTTGGGCAAACGGCGATCTTGGGCAGACCCAAAACCTCAGGGAGACGGACGGTGCCGGAACCAAATTGGTACCCTGTACCAAAGTCAAGCATATTTTCTGGCTCATCAAAAAACTAATGTCCGCTCCGCGGCTGCAGTGTGAGGAAACTCTATTTATGGTTAAGTTGATTTTTTGTAAGTTTACCCTACGAATATACCTAATGACCGACCGAATATACTTCAAGTATAATGAATGATTAACTCTTCCGGGAATAGTTTATTAGGACTTTTATTGGGAATTTAGCGACTTTCATAATTAAACCATCCATTACGAAGGCTCTTCGTTATCAATGTAAACGATGTCATAATTCGGAAAGCTTCCGTAGAGTCCACGATACTGTTTTTTCATTTCGCCTCTTATTTATGTTTTTATGCTCAAGAATTTATTCGAAAATCGGATACAACTATTGAAAAACAATATAAGAAAATTGTGGTGGTCAAGGATCCACGGTTAATAACCGTTCAAAAGACATCACAGGACAACCTTTGTTTTCACCTGAAAGTTTCCGCAAATCAGAGCGCAACCAGCAGACTAAGTTATGATGATAAAATTGTCGCCTTACTTCTATCATTTTATGATCAATCAATTAAAAAAAAATTCACATCGCCGTTTGCCTAAGATCTCCGTCTGCCCAAGTTGGGCAAACGGCGACTTGGGCAGACGGCGACTTGGGCAAACGGCGACTTGGGCAAACGGAGACCACTCGTTTACGGTATCTGACGGAATCGTAAAGAAATAGACACTAATACGGTCATTTTTTTGTTGAAAATTTCAAATGAGAAGTCTTTTTGGGCATTTCAAAAAAAGGGTTCCCACCCTTTTAAGTTAAGGGTACTAGTAGTGGTACTAACTTAGTACTACCTTCGATGTTAAAGATAGAAAAACGGCTCTGACAGATTAAAGGGCTTAGTAAGATCTACTTAGAGACCCCTTTTGATAAGCTCTAGCATTTACAGGTTTGGAGTTATTCAGGGCCAAAATTTTGGAAATCGAAGGTAGTACCCTTAACGCATGAACGCACGAAATATTTTTCCTGCTGAACGCATATTGCGCAGATTTCTGCGCAGCACCTTTAGAGCGCTCTAGCGACGATTGTGGTCGAGATTTGAAAATACCAAAGCTATCAAAATGAAGCTCAGACGCTTGCAAAGAAGCCAATAATAATTCAAAATCCTAACCCTAACCCGAACCTCACTTAAAATAGTGATTTCTAAAGTTACCCGAAAATGAGCCAGGTTTGTCCATTTTTTTCTATTTCATTGATCTCAAATACAAATGTACAAAATAGATATTCATGATAAAATTTATGTTTTATTTGATGCAGAAATGCGATAAAAAGTCGAAAAAATATTTTTTATCGACAGAAAAACTGTTGCAGAACTGTTAAAACGCTAACAAAACATTATTCGAAAATATCGGAAATTTTCGTTCTGAAGCCAAATTTTTACCCTGAAATCAAAATTTTTTTTCGATGCCAGATTCGGATTCCTCATCGAAAAAGAGCTCCTAAAGTGGGGGTCCATTTAAAAATTTGGTCAAGTAAAGTACGAGATATCGAGCTTTAAAGGGGCTCTGCGCAGAAATCTGCGCAATATGCATTCAAGCGTTAACAGGAAAAAATTGTGAGAAAATTCTGCTAAAACTCGTTAACAACAGTCGATACTTTAATAACCTAAGCAGAAAATAACGAGCAAACTAAAGTATTTTCAAATACCAAAACGGATCAAAAACTAACCTGTCTAAATACTCCGCTTCTTCGTCTAAACTTTCCGTCAAACTGGGGTGATGCTTCATTCGGGAAACTGGACAGAATCTCGGGAAAATCGCAAAACGAGTATTTTTAGGAAGCGATCGCATTTTCAACTCTACGAAATCAGAATGGAAATTCTGTTCGATCATTTTTTTTCTCTTTTTTCTTTTCGTAAAATTTGCGAATCTGTTAGGGGCTCGTTAAAGAAACGCAGAGAGACGTAAAGATATGATTCGGGATTGGCAAATAGAACGAATCAGGAAAAATTTGAGGGATTTTTTTAAAAGAAAAAAGCTAAAATTTTTTTTAGCTAAAATCGGGCAGAACCAAAAATAGGAAAACAATTTTATAGAAGTGAATTTTTGGATAACCAATAAGATTGCTGTATTTCGCCCACTGGCCAATGAAAACCCTGATCCATAAAATCACTTTCATGAATTGGTTTAACCCCAAAAACGGAAGTTATTTTTTGGATCTTGGTTTTGATTGGCCGGTAGGCCAAATACAGCAATCTTATTGGCTATAAAAAAATCATCAGAGATTTCTGTCTCCTCCCTTTCCTGAGTTCTAGTGCTTCCCTCGTGCCAAGTATTGGGCCTTCCGGAATTGCTCTCCCTTCTTTTTCTCGACGAAACTCGCGCTGGATCGGATCGTTTGCTAGAAAATCAGGAATGCAAATGTTTAACGGAAATAAAACTGAAAGTAAGCAAATCAGCACATGCAAACATAAAACGTAACACTTAAAAACTGGCGACAAAAAGCAAAGCTTTTGACTTTTTTGGTTTCTCGTAGAAAAAATTTAGTGGTATTTTAAAAAGCCTGGAAGTTGATTTACCGGACTCGAGGGTATGATGCATTTTTTCGCCTTCCACGAAGATTTTCATAAAAAAATCTTGAAATCTCGAAGCCGCGCGCGGCTTCCCTTTTTTACTCAATTTTCCAATAGTCAAAAGCCGCTGCAAAAATATTGAAAAAAAAGCCGCGCGCGGCTCTTTTAATAATGAAATTTTCCGAAAGTTTTTTAAGAAAAAAAAACCGCAAAAATGCGGCTTTACTTTTCAAAATTCAAAATCTCCTCCTTCGAACGACTCTTTCTGCCATGGTTTCTCTTTTTGTCCGGTCTTGACTGTATAATGAACTTTTGAAAAAAAAGACGGTTAACTGTAACGGGGAAATCAAATTTACTTTTGGCTTGTTATCGGGGGAAATTTGAAAGTTGGAAATTTACCTTGAAGAGGCGGATCCCGATGATCTACGGGTCGCATTTCTACGTCTTTTTGGATTTATTGAATTTCATAGCGACACCCTTAAGCGCAAGAATGTTTTTTTTCCTCTCAAATCGAATTTTCTATTATAAAAAAACTCATCTAAAGTGCAAGAATTAGATGGTCAAAGTTCATTTTCGAATTCTGAGTTTTTTAAAATAAGGTGGCGATACCCTTAATTTATAAATCCGAACATGGCTAAGCGAAGATTCTGTTCTCTGCATTACTCTTATTTTTGTTGGTCTGGTTAGTGCAAACTTCTGAAAAAGTTTGTTTTCATCGCTGTTTTATTATTAGCCATGAGCAAACAGCGAGTCATAAAAAATTCTCATAAATTTCAAAAATAGTAAATTTTCAAGTGCATCCGCTCGGCACCTGTCCTTTTTTGGCGCCGATAATGGTCCCAAAGCTCTACTGTAAAAATCAGATCACAAGACGAGTACTGTATTTTATCAGCTCGATAAAATACTGAATTATGCTTGTTTTTGCGTAAGTTCAAATCATCAATTTCTAAGAAAAAAAAGAAGCCATCCAAAAATTAAAGGCACGCTTGCATTGAGAAACTAAACTTACAAGTTCGAGCAATTTATTTCGGCAACGGATTGCCTTCGACAAGTTGGGCGGTCTTTTCGAATCGGTCTGATCAAAATAATGATTTTTAGATGTCTTAAATGACTGTAAATTTTACTGCTCTGGGCTAACAAACCTGTGTCAGGGATTTCTAAAAGAGCTATATTTAAAAGCCGCGTAGCGGCTTTCTCGAAAACAAAGCCGCGCAGCGGCTTTGCTAGATATAAACTAAAGGGTCTAGGTTTTTTTGGCAAAGCCGCTGAAAAAGCCGCAAAAATAAGGACCCTGACTCAGGTAAAAAAAAATATTTTTTTCTTTCGAAATTTTCGTCTCAAAAAATTTCTTACCGTAAAAATCCAGCCGTCAGGGAATTCTTTCTTTTCAGCGGCTTCGGTTTTTCGTCGAATCTGTCTCTATTTTTCAACTCTTCTTCAAAATTTTCGTCGATCGAATTCTTCAAATCGAACTGCTCATTCTCGGGATGCGTGAATAAACTCTTCGTTGATCCATATTTTTGGGAGTTCTTCAAAGTAGAATTTGCAGAACTGGAGCTGCTGCTGGAGAGATTCTGGTTGAAAAAAATTGTTATTTGAAGAAAGATAAAAAAATGAGGACCAAGTGTGAGGAGCTGCCGTACAATTATCAATGAAAAGGGCCACATGCCACGAGAACTGACAGGACAAAAGGACGTTCTAAGAGTCGCTTAGAATTTTTTGTACCGCCGCCAGAACGGAAATAGTTCGAAAATAAGGGCGAACAGAATTGTTCCCTGATTTTAATTTTTTGCTCGATTTTTTGAGATAAAATTTTTATTATTTTAGTTTAATCTTATAAAAAAAGCTCCAACCCTTATTTTGGGCAGCTCAAATCGACAAAAAACCGCGAAATAAAGACCAAAATATTGGTCAATTTTTGACCAATCGAATTTCCCCATTCGGTCGGTTAGCCAATCAGATTTCGAAAGAAAATTTTTGGAAAATTCGAATTTTTGTCGGATTCTTTTTTGTCGATTTGAGCGGACAACCCTTATTTTTTTCATAAAATAAACAAAACTTACGAGAGCATCAGAAACACCATTCTTAAAAATCTGGCCCAAGTCGGACACCGATCTCAAAAACTGTCTTTTCCTCCTCAAATTCTCTCTTTTCCCGCTTCTTTTCATCACGATTTCCTCTCTCTATTTTTCTTTTCAACTATTTTTGTCTCTATCGTAAAATATTAAATTATTCGATCCAAATGATAAATAAAAAGAGAGTGATCTACCACTCTTGACAGCAGTTCAACTTTTTGGGACATGGTAGGAGTAGTAGCCGACTCAGAGAAAATTAAGGAGGATCATTTTATGATTCATTTGAGTCCAAAAATTATTCACGGAATCGTGGATTAAGGCTCTCCCCAATTAAAAAAAGCTATATAACGAACTTTAAATTACTTCCCAGCTCGACAATCTTTCAGCAAAACCTGACTCAGGGTCTGACTCAAGGTTGAAGAAAAGATTGAGAATTTTTTCTTTGAAAAAGCCGCATTCGGCTTCGTTTTTTGGCCGCTTTGCGGCTTTCTTTTTTCAAAGATTTTTCAGGACCCTGACTCAGGTTTTCAACACAGGTTTTCTAGCGCTTTTTTTACCTGGATTGAAGAAAAATGCTTCGCCTTTCTCAATCTTCCTGAATTTTCATCTGCTCCTGTAGTTGTTCGGCTAAAAATACAGTAGCGAATCGTTTATAAAGCCAGTTTTTGTCAGCTGAGGGACGGAAATTCCGGGTTATTTTTTATTACCTGGGACGGCGACCAAAGAGAAAATTCATTTCGCCAGTTGCGTGTCAATTCGACTGTACAATTACCAATATACAGTTATTTGAGTTTTCTTTGAGATTCAATTTTTCAGTTTTCTTTGTTTTCTGCGATTTTTCTTGCCGATTTCATTCTTGAAAAAGAAAAGTTTTTTGCTTTTTAAATTTTGAAATTTGAAATTGTTGAAATTGAAGTTGCCAAGAGGGGGGCTATTTTTCTGGATAATCTCTTTAATGAGCGCGAGTTGTGAAGCTTGCCGAGGCTGCAATTTACTTGTAGATCGTTAAATAATGTCTGACATGTGACAGACATCAATTGTGCTCGATATAATAACAAAATGTTAACGAAGCAGCTTCTCTATTATTTTTAATAAACACGAATTCAGAAAAGCTGAGTCTTTACCAATAAAAATTTTACAGTCTTTAACTTTTGTTCGTTCTTTTCAATTTAAAATGTGCAGCTTTCTGGTGTTTTGGCAAAGGTCAAACAAGAGTGACTCTTGACGCAACGTAGAAAGCTGCATTTCCATTGTACTCGCCGCCGTCCGCCCGGATAAGCCCTAAGTCAACACGCGCCCCAGGTCAATCAAAAATATCATTGCTTCTATTTCCCCCAAACCGAATTCTAGCTGAAAAATAAACCTTCATATTTCAAAATTTTGCTTCATATTTCAAGTTGAAATTTTGAACGAAAAATCATTAAGAAAAATGAAATTGTTTTTTTATTTTTTTTCTTAATGAATAATATATTTTGCGATTTTAAAATATTAAAGAAATAATTAAAATAAGATTAAATTGAAGAAATAATTCAAAATCAAGCCAACAGATTTAAAGAATAAGGCAAACGCAAATTCGGTCCGGTTTGCCCCGGGGCGTGAGACTGGAGCACTCTCACTCTCAGAGTGTTTTATTAAACTCTATCTATAGATTGTTTATCTTGAGCTTATCCTCCCGCAGGAACGGATTTACGAGATCAAACGATCAAATTATATAACGATTTTTCTTTCAATTTCATAAAATAGAAAAATTTCAATATTTTTTAAATTTTCATAATTTCGAAAATGATTTTGTCTCCATTATAAAAATTCAAGGTTGAGACTCACTATTGATTGTTTCAAAAAAATCTTCGTTTTCGAAAATCTCTGTCAATCTCAAAAGACTTCCTTTTTCTTAAAATCTTTTGAAAATCCTTCGACAATCTCTTATTTCCAAGCCCAGCACATGTTTTAGCATGAATTGCTTGTCATGGCTGAGCTAATCCGCCTTTTCAATCGACTCTGAATTTTCTCTTCATCCGGCGAAAAGCCCGGAGCAAAAGCTGAAAGGCCCTGGGGCGCGAGCAAAAAATGTGTTTAATTATTAAGAAAAAAGAATTTGGTTATTATTATTTTAGGCGGAACCATAAAGCTGACTTTTCAGCGTCGTAAATCACACTTGCCAGACTTGACCATCCGCCGGGCGGGGAACTTTATAGGCTAATTAGAGGACAAATAAATGGTCAAAGTATCGAAAAACCACAGCGATAAATATCAGAAATTTTTCGTAAAAGAAACATTTTTCTCTGGATTAAATTGTGCGTAGCGTTTTTTTTTGTTCTTTCAAGAGGTGTTAAAATTTTAATTTTAAAAAGCCAACAAAGCTCAAGTGGACTCGGGGGCTATTCTAAAGAGGCATGTTTTTAGTGAGATACAAAACAAGATTTTTATGTTATCTTGGAAACAAGAAAAAAGACAAAAAATAAATTGTCATAACCCCAAAGTTTTTCCTGAGATCTTCAATTTGTTCACAAAACCTGACTCAGGCCCTGACTCAGGGTCCTTTAAAACCTTCGATGAAACCCCGGAGCGGCTTTATCAAAGTTTTTTCCAGGACCCTGACTCAGGTTTTCCACTGATACTGACAACCCTAGCCCTAATTCTCAACCTTTACCTTAAGGGTGTCAACAAGTTAATTATTTTCTTCTGCGAGGACTTTCTTCTTTCTATCTCTCGAATGATTTTCTTTCCTCCTTATCTGACAAAGCTCTTTCTTCGTAAAAATGGTAGATCAAATACAGTCAGATCGGCTCTGTTAAATCGCGGGGCAACTTCCAAGATCAAATAGAAAATTGTCCTTTGTTCGGGTGAGCTGATAAATGCCTATCTGACGAGTAGCAGCGGTAAAATTTATTATGGCGAGGCAGAAAAAAATGGTCGCGTATTGTAAATTTGGTGCTTCTTGTGCAAATAGAAACAGGTGAAAATCGACTTCAAACGTCATAATTATCATGTTTGGAGATGCTTCCAACTTTCAACGCGTCACGAAAAGTACCTCTTCGAATTTTTAATTCAAACATCCTAAGAGGTGAATTTCCATGACAGGTCTTTTCCACTTCATAACTTCACGTGACCACAACTATCATCATTCTTCCAGCAGCTGGAAGAGCCGCGCGAGCGCTGGAGGACTCGAGAACGCTCGCGCGCGCCATCGAAAATTGACGAAGATTCTAGAATCGACTTGAAAAGCGGCTCCTCCTCCAGTTTTCTCTCGCTTTTCTCCGGATTGTTATATAAATTGGCGACCAGAGTAAACTTCTTCATAACAAAAAATTCTTTATTGCCAAAATAAGAAAGAAGAGACATAAAAAATGTTTTTCAACGATCCTTTTTACACAACCAGCTTTCGACCAAATTACAGCTCTATGGCTCAGTATGCCGACAGAACTTGTAACTGTCCTGATTGTCGTCCTCCTCGGCGTCAACCTCGGCAGCAACAACGGAGAACACAACCAGTTCGACAACAACAACGACTTTTTCAAGATCCGTTTTTCGAAGAATTCCAACCTTCGAGAACTGTCCGACAAGAAAGGCCAAAGAAAAATCAGCCTTCCAAGGCAAATAATTCTCAATCAAAATCAACGAAACCGCCCGTTCCGAAACCACAGAAGGCAAGAACAAAGAAGAAACCAGTGGAAATTCCTGTAGAGATCGTCAAAGAAGGTCAACCTGTGCAAGAAAAGGTTGGCGATAGAAAAATTTTGACAAATATGGAGAACCTAGTAATAGAAGAACTTTCAACGCCGATTGAAATCAAAGAAGATCCTTTTTATGCTGACGAAGAAATCGTCATAGAATGATTTTTGTCTGCCCATTTTATAATCTGCTGTTTTTTTTTCTCAAAATATTTACTTTTAATAAAAATCATGTTATTCACATCAATCAAGAGCATTTTCAACCCTTTTTGCAATAAATCAAGATAAATTCTTTGGGTTAACGTCAATCGTCTCATATTCATGAGAAAGTCAATTTTGAGTCAAAACAAGAAATGATAAGGCTCTTGCGTTTCTCGCCAAAGCCTGAGATCTTCATTAATAGAAACGAAAAATGACTGAAAAAGTTATTGACAAAATAAAAGAGTTTATTGAGGACCAAAGTACAGCCAAGCTTGGCATTCTTCTTACTTGTAAGTATTCTTGTTTTGAATTCGGTGTACTTTTTAATTCAGTTGTGTTTCTCCTTATGACTTTTTCGAACATTGTTCTGGTTTTTCTGCTCGTCCTCTTCGTCGTTCTACCCATCATCTTGATAAAGTGCTATCTTATGTATGAGAAGAGGGAGAAGCAAAAGCTTACTCTTCAACTTGAGCTCGCTCGATCAAAAAATCAAAAACCTCCGGCTCAAAATGCGCCACTTCGAGATGCCCAAACGGCCACGAATAAGCCTCTCCCATTGATACAATATTACCCGCAGCCAATTCCAGTCAGTAACAGTTTCTCGAAGCTTTCTTGATGGAACTTTATTCAGATTCCTTTTCCGTACTACCAACCTCAAGCCATAACACAGCAAAATCGACAAAATGAAATTTCAAAAGGTAGGTTTATTGATTTCCAAAGCAGGAATCCTTTAGCAAAGTATTCAGATGCCACAAATAATAAGCAAGCTCAGAAGTCACCAAAATCGTCCGCTTCAAACTCCCAGAAGATCGAGAAAAAAGATCAACCCGTTGAAATCAAAAATCAGCAAAGTCCAAGCAAGTCAAATAAAGTCGGAGATCGAAAAAATCTGACAAATAAAGCAGATTTTTTTATTGAAGAGCTTTCAGCACCCATTAAGGTCAAAGAAGATCTCTTTCATGCTGACGAAGAAATTGTTATTCAGTAGATTCATTTTCCTGGTTTTATTATTGAGAAGATTCTCCTTTCAATAAAATTGAGTTATAAATAAAAATAAAAATTCTTCTTCGATTCATTCTGAAAGTCAGATTTTACGCAACCGCCAAACGCAGAATTTTATGTGGCAGTAACGAAAGAATAGAGAAGTTCTATTTGCCAAGCTATTCTTTCAAATTTTCGTTCAACTTTTTCCCGCAATCTTTCTTTTACAAAAGAAATTTTAAACTTTCGACGATGAGTGATCGATTTAAAATAGTCGAGAGATTGCTGAGCCTTGTTACTTTTGCTTTGGTCTTGTTTTTGGCGATTTATTTGCCTTTAAATTTGGAAAAATCGGTCGAGAATGAAGAGAAAGTGGAAGTTGAAGATTCCATTGGTAGAGTTTCAGAAACCGCTGGGCATTACAAACACGCCGCTGTTGCTACAGACAGGTACTGTAATGACCATGATAACTTACTGACTCTTTTCTTAGCGCGCTTTGCTCCGGGCTTGGTAAGAAAATCCTAAAAATGGGAGGTAATGCCGTCGATGCAGGAATCGTTTCCGTCTTGTGCCTTGGGCTCCAGAATTTCCACTCTTGCGGGATAGGTGGGGGTTCGTTCTTCATGGTTTACAACGGGCTCGAGGATCAGACATTTATCAATTGTCGAGAAAAAGCGCCAGCAGCGGCGACGGAAAAGATGTTTTTTCAAAATCCAGGAATGATTTCGAAGGATCTAGAATTTCTTTTCACTTCTTTGATATCATAAATAGAAAACTCCACATATGGTGGCCTGGCGATCGGCATTCCCGGCGAAATGGCCTGTCTTTCCGAAGCTCATGATCGCTACGGCTCCCTCGACTGGTCCCTCCTCATCGGCGAAATCGTTACTCTCCTCGAGGACGGAATCATTGTCACCATCACCCAAGAAGGCCCGTTAAATTCCCATGCTGAAAAGTGCTCGAACGCGGAAATGTTCTTCAACGAAGACGGTCAAATCAAAAAAGCTGGAGATGTCATTCACAATCGAAAGTTGGCCGACACTTTCAGAAAAATCGCAAAAGACAAAAAATCCTTCCACAAAGGCTCTCTCGCCCAGGACATCGTCGACGACATCCAAGATAATAACGGGATCATAACTATTGAAGATCTCACTTCTTTCCAGCCGAACATTGAAATTCCCCGAAATGTGGATGTCGGAGATTTGAGATTCTACATCCCATCCGCGCCAGCAAGCGGACCAGTTTTTCAGTTCATTTATAATATTTTTGCGAATTTCGATGAAAGTGGAGATTTGCCTGTGGACTCGGTTGATTTCAATCATAGATTAGTAGAAGGTAAATCCTCGAAATCATAAGAATCGACAGTAAATTTATGAGAAGAAATGCTCAATGAGCACAATAAAAATAGTTAATTCGACTTGATAATCAAAAAAATGAGTCCTTTATGAAGATAAAATTCAGTTTTCGGAGTAAAACATGCTTGTTATGGTCTTTTTTAGCCTTCAAATTTGCGTACGGAAAACGATCAGCCCTTGGCGACCCGAAATTCATCACCAACCAGACGACTCTAGAAATGCTTGCCAATCTTCCAACGATGGAATTTGCCAAGGCTTTTAGTGAAAAAATTGATGACACAACTCATCCTTTGGAGTACTACGAGCCCGAGTTTGAAATCATAGAAGACTCTGGTACCTCCCACATGAGGTTTCTTTTCTGAAGTAGGCCAAAAGATAATCGGATCAAATTAAGTATTGTCGACGAAAACGGAATGGCTGTAGCAATAACGAGTACAATCAACACCTATCTCGGGTCAAAAATGATCGGAAAAAGAACTGGAATTATTTTCAACAATGAAATGGACGATTTTTCAACTCCCGGTCAATCTAACAACTACGGTCTTCCCCCAAGTCCTTCCAACTTTATCAAGCCCGGTGCTCAACCTCTCAGCTCAATGTGCCCAATTATTGCCGTCGACAAGGTACCGACCCCTCAAATTCCAGCCTTTTATTCTCTAGAAATCCGGTGAAGTCATTTTCACGGCTGGAGCTTCCGGCGGATCGCAAATTACAACTTCAGTGGCAAATGTCGCTATACGAACTCTTCTTTATGGAGATGGCCTTGATGAAGCCATTCAGCGAGCAAGAGTGCATCATCAACTTTTGCCAAATGAAATCAGAAAGGAAGACAGATTCGATTTGAATCTGATCGCAGAGCTGGAGAAAAGAGGTCATCTTTACTACCAAGGCACTGGCAGAGGAGCTGTTGTTCAGGTGAGACTATAGAGAGACCCTTATATCTTCAGAGAATTATTTTAGGGCATTCTCAGAAGAAATGGAATTCTAGAGGCTGTATCAGATGTTCGAAAAGGCGGAAAACCTGATGGATACTGAAAATACAAGATTTAATTTCCTGATGGATATTTTGCAATAGAATTAAGAACATTTCAATTTGTCTTGAGTTGAATTTTATTTTTATAAATAGGTAATAGAATAGGCATAAAGTTGCAGCTTTTTTGTAAAGTTCAGAAGAGTTTTTGTCAGTCAAGAGGCTGAAATACAGGTAGATTAGATTCAGAGTTGCTTAGTTTATGTACAAAATGGCTTTTCGTTCGTTGTTGCTTAGGAGAGACGAGGCAGAAATGAAGCGAGGGACTCGGACGATTCGAGTTTGGCGATTTTCGGAACACTTTCCTCAGAGTAGTCGTCGTAGTAGGAGTTGGCTTCTCGCTTGCAACCAACGCTCTACAAACTCACTTCAAAATGCTCGTCGGTAAGATCGTTAAAACGAACCCAAAAAGCGGAATCAGAAGAGTTTTATGATCTGCGCGTAAAACCGGCGAATCGAGCATCATTTCAAAAATAAACTACTTTTCTTGTTGATTATTATTTCTTTCGAGAAATCATAACAAACAGCTAATGGATCGAGCAATCGAATTGAACAAGAGAATCTGTTCTTTGGTCGAGCTTCTGGGAGGCGAAGGGATTCCGATTGTTCTTGATCGAATCGGCGGCGATTCCGGCCAAAAGAAAGCAGGTTTGCAAGAGGCTTCTGGAAGAGAGAAAAAGGACGAGACAAGTCAAGAATCTGATGAGTCTTATGAGTTGGAAAACGTATTGACGCATCCACAAGAACTGACAAGAGAAGTTGTTGAGAAATGGCTGGAAGAGTTTCTAAAGAAATTGAAGAGAAAAACGAGCAGAAATGATTTGGAAAGGTTGATTTTGTCGATGGACAGAATGCAGTTTAAAGATAATCGTTGTGCTCACTGGGACGAGGTCAATTTCGAACATGGAAAAGGAAAGCTATCTGGAGCAAACTATCGGGGAAACAAAGTTCAGGGAGAATGGAGAGTAACTCCATTCCAAAAAATGATTCTCGACAAAAATCCTGGCTTCGAAGGACGAAAAATTCAACGTTCGGAATTAAAAGAAGAAACCGGAGAATCGATTCTTGATGAATCTTTTCAGCAAATTTCAGCTGGAGGAGAAGCGATTGTTTTGAAAGAAAAATTCGGAGAATTGGAAGTTGCTGTTCGGGTTCAGGCGTTTGATCCCGCGTTGTTTACGGACAATGAAAAATTGGAGTTCAAAATTCATGTTTCAGAAGGTAATTTTTATTTCTTAATTTTTTTTTCAATATTTTTAAGAATACGAAATCGCCCAAAACAAGAAAAAAGACAACGCCCGAGTAATTCCTGTCCACAAAAACGTGATCAAGAATTTCTGCAACATCGAAGTCTCTTTGAGCAGCGACTTGGAAAAGAAAGACTGTGTTGGCTGGATTACGATTATGGAGAAATGCGACTCGGATTTGAGAAGGAAATTGAAGAATAATGAGTTGAATTTGGGAGAAAGGAAGAAAATTGCGATTGGCGTCAAAGAGGGAAAAGATTATTTGCGTAAAATTGGAATTTTTCATTTGGATGAGAAGCCGGAAAATATCCTTCTGAAAAATGGAGAAGCCAAATGGATCGATTTCAGCATTATTCACGAAATAACTGGACGAGAGAGTTATCGGGAGATGGGATACGCGAGGAGAGGAAGCAGATTTAGAAGATACATGTGTTTATGTAAGTTTTGAGCTTGTCGAAAAATTCTAGTGTTCTATCTCTTTTTTCGTAGATGCGGGGACTCCTGCCTTTTCTTTTGGCGCACAGATAGGCGGAACCTTCGGAAGATGTGTATCTCGTCCTCATATTTTGATTCTTTGCGAGTGGAAGACAGCCTGGACTCTTTTATTCAAACCAATTGAAGAAAAAGATAGAGAGATAGTCAAAAAAGAACTTGAGGTGAGTGTTTACTTTTTGTATAAAAAAATAATCTTTCTTAGACTTGCAATGCTGGCTGGCTCCCAAATAACGTTCCTTCAACCGAAGAAATCCAAAACTTGTCAAAAATCATTTCTCTTGAAACCGCGTCTTCTGATTTTTGCTTAGACGATCCGAATTTGACGAAATCAGCTGCAATGGCCAGTCTCAAACAAAAACTGACAAAAGAGATCAATTTCGACTTCAAAAACGTGACCAAGAATGTTTTAAACCAAAAAGAAAGCAATCTCTGTGTACCCATTTCAGTTTCGGTGCTTTTGAGATGGACACTCAAAAATGATTTGGGAATTGATGATTCTGAAATGGTAAGATTTTTTACTCTCGAAAAAATCTTCACAAGACTGACAATGCTGATTTATCCGCGGAGTTTGGCTGGCTTCAATCTCAACCCAAAATTCGAAGAACAAAAATTTCAAACGAACGAAATTGAAATGCTTCTCAGAAGATTGAAGTTCAGGACTTTTTTGAGTAGAAGTGGATGGGATATTATCAGAGAAAACTCAAGCGACTACTCGATAAATGCCAGTGGACGGCAAATTAATAAAAAAGAGACAAACATCGACTCGATAAATGCCAATTTTGATTTCGAGAAAAGTAAAAATTCAAAGCTAAAAATCAAATTAAATTAAATATTCAGTCCTCCTCCACGGCAACTTCGTCTTCTCCCGTCCCCTAACCGTCACCGGCGTCTATCTAAATCCGGACTCTTCAATGATTTTCCACCAAATGGTGCTGGACCGAATCGAAAACTCCGAATTCATTCTCCAAAACACGCTCATCGACCATTCCGGCTCTCAAATCAGAATTCCAGTTTCAAGAAAATACTACGCCGTTTACGAAATGATGAAAGACTGCTACTATTGCTACAACGATTATGTGTTTTATGGAGACAACAACAAGTTTCTTGAGTTAGTTAACGAAAATTCAACATGGAAACAGAAAAATGGTATCTTCTACCGCAAGCTTATTCAATTACTCTGACGAGAACTCGATGACTGAAAAACATTCCTTTATTACGAACACGTGATCGTGAAAATAAAAATTGTGAAAATAATTTTCATTTTCTTATAATTTTGCAGTAGACTATTACTAGAGCGGCGACGAGACAGCTCCTGTCCAGAAACCAACCAGAGCAAAAACAGCTATTTTGTTTTGTTTTATTATCGATGTACACTGTACAGTTTGAAGAGATTGTGGCAGGCATAGTCGGGGTGCGCGTGCGTGCGTGTTTTCGCACGCGCACGCACTCGCACGCAAGATTTTCAAATACTTGCGCACGCGCACCCGGAGATAAAAAGAGCGCACGTGCGCGCACGCGTGCGAATAGGAAAAAAAAGGGTTTTTCTTCGAAATTTGGAGTTTTTTCTCCTTACTCGAAAATTTTGCGAATATCGAAGAGAAATCGTTTTTTGGTGTTTTTGAAGAGCCCTTGATAAGCTATTATAGGTATAAAGTGTTTATAAAACATTATTCATAAGAAAATTACTTGAAAAAACCTCAATTTTCGCCAAAAAAACTCGAAAATATACCTTGAAAAATACGCACGCGTGTTCGCGCGTGCGCGCGCACGCACGCGCACTCCTCTTTTTTAAAGCGCACGCGCACACACGCGCACGCGGATTTCGAGAAAAATTCGCACCCGCACGCACGCGCACGCGAGTTTCGGGTGTTTTTTCCAACTATGGTGGCAGGTGGTAGGACAAGTGAAAGAAGCAGATTTACAAAAAAAGGGCTAAGACTTGGCAAATGTAAAGAGTTACTGCGACATTATAGTAATCACCAGTACAATCAATACCTACCTCGGGTCAAAAATGATCGGAAAAAGAACTGGAATTATTTTCAACAATGAAATGGACGATTTTTCAACTCCCGGTCAATCTAACAACTACGGTCTTCCCCCAAGTCCTTCCAACTTTATCAAGCCCGGTGCTCAACCTCTCAGCTCCATGTGCCCAATTATTGCCGTCGACAAGGTACTGACACTCGAACTTCAGATTCTTACTCTCTAGAAATCCGGAGAAGTCATTTTCACCGCTGGAGCTTCCGGTGGATCGCAAATTACAACTTCAGTTGCAAATGTCGCTATTAGAACTCTTCTTTATGGCGATGGCCTTGATGAGGCTATTCAGCGAGCTAGAGTGCATCATCAACTTTTGCCAAATGAAATCAGAAAGGAAGACAGATTCGATTTGAATCTGATCGCAGAGCTTGAGAAAAGAGGTCATCTTTACTACCAAGGCACTGGAAGAGGAGCTGTTGTTCAGGTGAGACAATAGAGAGACCCCTTTACACAAAATAATTTGAGGGTATCCTACGAAGAGATGGAATTCTAGAGGCTGTGTCAGATGTTCGAAAAGGTGGAAAACCTGATGGATACTGAAAATATAAGATTTTTTTCCTGATGGATATTTTGCAATAGAATTCATTTTACTGGAGTTGTATTTTATTTTTATAAATAGGTAATAGAATAGGTATAAAGTTGCATCTTTTTGTAAAGTTCAGAAGAGTGTTTGTCAGACAAGAGGCTGAAATACAGGTAGATAATCAGAGTTGCTTATTTTATGTACAAAATGGCTTTTGGTTCGTTGTTGCTTAGGAAAGACGAGGCAGAAATGAAGCGAGGGACTCGGACGATTCGAGTTTGGCGATTTTCGGAACACTCTCCTCGGAGTAGTCGTCGTAGTAGGAGTTGGCTTCGCGCTTGCAACCGACGCTCGGGTCGGTGGTGAAGTCGGTTGGGGAGCCGGAGTCGTAGTGGACGGTCGAGGGGACGGTGATGTAGGTCGGCTGGGATTGGTAAAGAGTCTCGGGATTGTAAGTTGGCACCTAGAAAAAGGTATTTGAAAACAATAAATGTTTAATAAAACTGATATTTGCTATATTTTCGAAGAGAACGGGAGCTCTGATTGAAATACTAAATAAGAAAAAAGAAGGAAAAAGCAAAAACAGAAATATGATTACCTGAGTAGTTGAATAAGGCGAATATGTCTGGAAGTATCTGCTGACTTCCGAAATCGCTGGGTCGGAGTGGTAGAGCGTGTGTGAAACTGAATGCGCTTGGGTGGCGATTTCTTGCTGGGGATGATTCCATGGCGCGGGTGGTGGAGGAGGATGAGGAGAGGACGTTGCAGTTACGCCTCCTTGCTTGCCCATTCGCTCTCTCCAGGCAACATGAGCTGCGTAGGATCCTGAAAGTAAACGTTAACGTGTCGTTTGGACGTTCGAGATATTTTTGAGTGTATTTACCTGGAACAGGTTCTCCTCCTTGTTCGTAAGTGTTGTGCACTTTCGCGTTTCGACCGTTGTTTCTGAAGCCCTTGGCGAATGGATTTCTGTTGATCTTCAACTTCGTGATCGCCTGGTTCTGGTACGCCGTGACCGTGATGAACTGCGTCTCTCGGAAGGTGAATGTCGAGGTTGGGTAGGTGCTGATGTCGACGCCTCGGAGAGAATCTTCCTGGAAGGGAGCGCCTTCCGGAATCTGAAGGAGAAGGGTTGAAAAAAGCAGAGTTAGATTGAAATACCTCGACGACATGGACTCGGGGCTGGTACTTGTGCATCGAGTGAAGGATGATTTGACCCTTGGTGTCGTTCTCGTTGTTTGTCAATTTCAGCTTGTCGAAGTTAACCAGAGATCTAACGGAAGATTGGAGGTGATTTTGATATGAACAAATAGTTATGGGTATGGGTCCTGGATGGACTGTAATGTGTGCTTAGGATTTTTCACTGTTAACACACTCAAAAAATTCAGACTTATTGCAAAATATAAGTAGTTATGGTTTTCTAAATTCTTAAGTCAGTTCTAGTTCTCTCGATCTAGAGAGGAAAATGGATAGGATCGATGCGGATAGTACCGACAACTGAGTGCGCCCATAAAAGTGATACATAAACTACGGGTTACCTCATCCACTCAGATCCCTTCTGCGGCGATTCTGGATGAACATAGACTCGTTCGGGAAGACTCGTGTCTGCATTTCCAACTGAGACCCACTAAAAGAGACAAATTTAGTTTCGAAATCAAGGAAGAAGCAATTACCTTAGAGGAATTGTACACGTATCGGTAGCGACTGTCGTCAACTGGAAGAATGTCGAGAATCATCGCGTATGTTTTCTGAGGATCGAGGCCATTCACGCTGACTTTCATTGAAGGAAACATTCGGCGGCCAACCTAAAACAAGTTGTGTTAGAAAAAATATCAGAAAAAATATTTTTTACCTTTGTGATAATCATTTCAGTTCCATATCTGTAGAAGGTCCTCCAGAGGTCTCTTTTGTCGAGGTCCATCGAGATTCCATCCACGATTTCCGGCCCATTCGAGGAGCTGATGTAGGCGATTGAAGCCATGTCAGGGTGCGCGGACTGGGTATTGTCGGATTCTTTTTGCTCCTTTCGCTCTTCGGCTTCCTCGGAGTCTAAAATAAAAAGTTAATTATAGCAAGAAAACTAGAACTTCTAGTCTAGAAGAATAAGGCTTCTTCAATCTAGCAATAATAATGAGCACAAATAATGAAAGAAGTCCCCCAATTTCAAAGTTGTTTAAAAGAGAAATTTCTTTTGCTAAGAATTCTAGATTTGATGAAAGAAAAAAAAGATTCTTTCAAATGAGAATTTTCAATTCTTAAAACTTACCTTCAGAACTTGACCGATCCGGCGTCGGATAGACTGTCTGGTAGACTTGGCTCGCATCTGTCGCCTCTGTCGTCTGATAGACCTGCTGTGTCGTGTAGTACGTATGATACGTGGTCGCTTCTTGAGTCGCATTTTCTGAGCTTGCGTATGCTTCTGTCTCTGTTGGCTGAATTGTCTCTTGCTGATGGTGCGTTGGCCAAGCTCTCTGGTCTGGTTCGAGGGACTCGAGTGTTATCTCATGGCTGTCAGGCGAGCTGGAGCTGTGAGCAGAATGGCCGTCCATTTTTTATCTTTTTGTTGAAAATTAAAAAACTAGCTCTTTCTGGCTGTTAACTTGCAAGGTTGTGAAATTTTCGCGATTCGCAACTTTTGTTCTAGACCGTTTTAAGGTGCAAAGCCAGGCTCTTGTAGGAGGCGCATTATGCGTCAGCCCAGGTGGCGTGCTCCCTCGCGCGCCCGACTCGGCGGGTGCCCAAACATGCACGCAAGCGATAGCGATACAAAACTAAGGCCAGCAGGCGGGGACGAGCAACTGATTGCGACCGCTTTGATATGCCGGAGGTGCAAGCAACTGTGCGCGAGGATCACTTTCTCGCTAAAGTTGCAAGTTGTTTGAAACTACCTGTTATTTTTATTTAAAAAATCATTCAAGATTATCATAATCATTTTGAACATCTCGTTCATATTTAGAAATAATAAAATTATCGTTGCTATAGAAGTAAAATACTTATTAATGGGAAAAAATTTTGTAATTGACACTTTTAAGGGGGGCTGGACGATTTCGGAAATCTTTCGACCAAAAGTGTGGCTAAAATATCCAAAAGGAAGGTTATCCTAATTTGAAAAAATAACTTATAGAATATATTTCCCACATCTAAGCAACTCAGAATTAGAAAATCAAAGACCACAAGATTGCCATTGATCAAAATTTTTAGAGACTAGATAAGTATAAAACTTTTGGTTTTCCTTCAGTAGTCGGGCGCATGTTCAAAATGTCCCAAGATACGCTGACCCGTGTAAAAAGCGCTAATCCTCCTTCAAATTACCAAAATTATTTATAACCTTGCCCGAGCCCGGTTCTTCTCCGGGGTCAGCTTCCTTAATCCAGGTCACCTGACTTAGCGCTCGCAAAATTTTTGTCCTCACGAAAATATAAATTCATATTTCAGGGCAGCATTTCAGTTTATTATTGGGCAATAATAAAAGTATAAATATTTGGCTCAGGTAAAAATAGTATCAAAGTTGGAACAGAAAAAAGTGATTGGGAAGGGAGCTAAATTCTAGTTCCTCTTCGTTTTCTTCTCATTGCAGCGCCGTTTTCAAGAAGGACCAGGAATTTGAGATCAGTTTCTGGATCGTGAATGCATCGACCGAGCAGTTCCAAGTAGCTCAGGTTTTCATCAGTATTCGGGTCGAAAAAGCCCTAGAATTTATTTCAAGAAAAGGTAAAAAGTGAAGACCAACCTTGGTATCGTCCGTCGGGTCTTCCAAAATTTGATTCATTCGTTGGTCAAAAAGTCCTCTTTGATAAGCAGCGCTGATTGGCACTCGATGTCCTGCTTGGGGATCGATCAATCCTCCGGTGGCGATTTGAGCTTCCAGAAGTCTAGCGAATAGATCTCAGAAAATGATATCAAATGCGTTTCTTACCTCAGGCCTCTGGATTCAACGACCAGTCCCCGCTTCATCGCTGCGAAAAGAGATAATCTCTGGCCGTTTCCATTTACGTCGACGGTTACGAAGCCTCTGAAAATGACGATCGGTTCAGTAACAGGTTAAAAAATAACCTGCAAGCGCGTTCTGCTCTTCTAACTGTATCTAACTGATAGTCAAGGATTAACCCTTCATCCAAGGCTTCAATCGCGTTGTACATTTTAGAGGTTCTTGGGTCAATTATTCCTCCTGTCGCCGCCTCAATTGTCCGTCAGAACTCGCCAAAGAAAAAAGGAGGTACCTGAGCTTCAAGAAGTTCCAGTCCAGTTCCTCGGAGCAGGAGGCCCACTTCGACGGCTTCGGAGATGGTGAGAACCTGATCATCTTGCGCGTTGTAAACTCCGGCGATGGCGCTAGAGCCTGAAAAGGAGTGTTCATGATAATAAGTGGCGAAAAGAGCCACCTTAAAAGATTCAAAAGCTTTGTGTTTGAGTTTTTCAAAGATAAGCTGATCGGCAAGGAAAAATATCCCGACAAAATTCTAGTTTTGAATTTTTATGGTTTTTTCTTGAAAAAATTTGTTGGGAAACTTTACCTGCAAAAAGCCATCTGTAAAGATCTCTCTCAACTTCCGCATGAGTAATCTGCCCAGTAATTAGCTCTTCAGCTTCTACTGGTGTTATCAAGCCCGCATCAATTACTGACCGGAGGGATGTCTGAAATATCAATTTCTACAGCTGAAAAATCTTCATTCTTTAACCTTCATTCCGAAACCAGCATTGAAAGTAATTTCATCCAAGGGGTCAAAATTCAGCTCTTCGTCTTCTCCAGTTTCTGTGTAAAGCTCTTAATAACTGTTAAAAAAGGGCATGTTCCAAAGCGATAATTTGAAAAAAGAGTGTCGTAAATAAAAAATAATCTTTTTTTCTCATGCATCTTGATTCAAAAAAGCAGCTTCAGAAAAAGAGAGCTAAGCAGTTTTACCTGGAACAGTGCCTGGCACTTTTAGGCTTGCCATTTTTCCTGATTTGAGTTTGATATAGATTTCATGAAGGATAAGTTATGATAGGGTACCTTGTTGGCGGTTGAACTCGAATTCGGATGAGCTAAGGCTTCCATTGGAAAGGGCTTTGGTGAATTCATCCTCAGGCTTGCACTTTTTGTCGGTTTTATTTTTGATTGATCTTTCCAAAAAATTGGATGATCTGGTCTCTCAAGTAAAGAAAACCCTGCCTGTAATTCGGAATATAGTGACCCAGAGCTGGTTGAAAAGTTATCAGGTTCTCTAGAATAGTTTGAGCGATGGAAATATAGTTTTAAACTTACGATGAGAAGTCTTGCTCCTGATCCCGCATCAGAGACCTCGTTTTTGCGAGTTTATCTTGATACGATTTCTAAATAAACAAAATCAGATCTGAAAGAAAAATGAAACTGTACCTTGCTGTCAGTAGGCGAAACTGGTCCAGGAGAAAATGCTTCTTCTGGCAATTCTTGAGCTTCAGAAACTGGAGCGAGCTCGCTCAACAGGCCCTCTGATGAAGACTCGACTTGATTTTCTAGCGATTGCAGATTGGAAACTTCAGCATTTTGAAGTTGGAGTGCTTCGATTTCGGCTTTTCCCGGGCTGATTTTGATTTGGCTTTTGATAATGAAGGGGGCTCCTTGGGGCTTGGTGGCTTCGAGATTTACTTGCTCGGAAATTGGTTCGACTTCTGGTTCGAGAACTAGCTCGGGTTCGAGTTGAAGCTCGGGCTCGAAGTCTGGCTCATCTTGAGGCTCGGGATGGATTGCTGGTTCGGGAAGAAGTTCTGGTTCAACTTGAAGCTCGTGCTCAATTTTCGGTTCGAGTTCGATTTCTGGTTCTAATTGGAGCTCGGGTTCGATTTTTTGATCTAGCTGAACCTCGGATTGGACTTCACTTTCGGGCTGGAAGGAAACTTGCTCCTGCTTTGGACTCACATCAACGACTATTGTTGTTTTTGGCTCGACCTCAACAAGCTTTTCCAATTCTGGCTCAATCAGTTTTTCATCTTCATTTTGAAAGTTCCCGCTCGAGAAATCTTGAACAAAGCCGGAATCCAGTTCCAACTCAATTGTACTAAACGAACTCTCTGAGCTTGGAGAAAAAGCGACGTCCAGCATCGTGGTTCGAGCGATTTCATTCGCTATTGGAACCATTATCGGCATCGCTTCTGGCAGGGGCTCTTCTGGCTCGGAAACAGGGGAGGTAGAAGTAGACTTGAAGAATTTCTCGGCGAAATCTTCGCTTGAGAGGACTCGATTAAGACTGACTCCCTCGCTTGGTTCGTAATTGGTCACTGATGGTTTTCGCTCCCCACCCACTGTGATATCGACTGTGATCTTACTGTAAGTTGCTTCTTCAGAAATGACCTTTTCATTCGGGTTCCGTTTCGTATCAAACTCGGAACCGAAGAAGTTCAAAAGGAAATCATCTTTCTTCAATGGCGATTTTTTCTCTTCCTTGATTTCAGATTCTTGCTCTTTTTCTCCATATTTCGGCGCAGGCTTCGGAGCGGATTCCTGGACGGGTTTGCTGATGGCTTTAATTGATCCGTCACTCTTGAAGAATTTTTTCATGAAGTCCTCGTTGTTTGATTTGATTTTGCGAAGCCCAGATTCATCGTCAACCTGGAATGTCGAAAGAACCGATTCTCCCCCGGCGCGATTTCTTACAGTCCGGCTTGTTTCTAGCGCATTTTGACTCGAATTTTCGCTTTTCAAAGGTTCAAAAGACTGATAAACGGGTTAAAAAAACCTTTACTTATTTGTCTCCTTTTTTATTCAGAGAAAAAGAACCTTTCCCAAAGTACTTATGCAAATAAACATTTTGTTTTTTCTCGACTTTTGCAGTTTCTTCTGGCTCAATTCTTGGCTCATCAACCAGCGGCGCGGTTTTCTGCTCTCCATTCTCAATTTTCTTCGGCTCTGCCGACGATTTGAGCTGATTCCCGTTTGGCTTGATGAAGTTGAAATAAATGTAGTAGACGAGCGGGGCAGTACAAGCCGCGATGTAGAAGTAGTCGATGATCTAAAAAGGCAATTAGCGACGAGATACCCTTATTTTCAAAAAAAAAATTTTTTTACCGAAAAGCCAGCTTCTTCATAAGCCACTATTTTCGCTACGTCTCTTTTCATTTTTATGAATTATATTTTCCTAGCGCCGGGTGAAGAAGAAAAAAAAGGAAGAGCCCCCTTGTTTGAGTGATGCGCCCTGCGGTGGGTGAGGGAAATTGGGTAACAGATTATTTTTGTCGTCTTCTTACCCGTGAAGTTGAGCCTTGAGCGCGTCTTCTCCACAATTCAATTGGGTCATTTGTTGCTGAGCTTAGCAGCCTCTGACAAGTGCTAAAGGATCAATCAATTGAACGAGATTATGCAATTTGTCAATTTACGCGGTACAATTTGTCAATTTCGCCTTGGCGTCTTTGAAAAATCCATTTTCAAGGAGCGCATTTAGAATTCTTCCGGGTCGGTGGAAAATATCACAAAGCAAGTTCCAGATCTTTTCGGCCGTCTTAAATATTTTAAAACAAAAAGAAACCCTTTTTTTCTGGAGAAGCCCTTATTTTTTGCCTTTTATCAATCCAAAAACACTTCAAAACCACAAAAAAAGGCAAAAAATAAGGGTTAAACCAATTTATGAAAGTGATTTTATTAATCAGGGTTCTGATTGGTCCGTTGGCCGAATACAGCAATCTTATTTGTTATCCTAAAATTCACTTTTATAAATTGGTTTAGTCCAAAAATATCGGATTTTCACTATATTTTTTTCTCTCTAGAATTTTGAAACTTACGCTTTCGAAAAAATCACTAATTCCCCCCATAATTCCCTATCTTCCAATTCAACTTTTTTAATTCTCGCAATATCTTTCTCTTTCTATTTTTCTTGAGCCATGACTGGGGATTAGATTTTCGAATCTGCGGGAAGGAATGGGTAAACTTTTTTTCAGAAACAGCTTTGCAACCTCACACATTATAATTTTGAACATACGGTCTCGTCGTAGGGTAACATACAGGTGCATAATGCATTTCTTTGCCTACAGAATGAACAGTAATTAACTTCGATATTCGCTTACTAGTTAATTTTTTTCCTACATATACCTTCGGCCATGAGAACCGCTGAAGCAGCAATTCATGAATTATTTCTTGTCCTTTCTGTTCTACCCCTGAACCGAGCATAATCTTTCACGGTCATCAGAGTTGTCTTCGGAGAAGTAATAATTAATAAAAAATCTGGTTATAAAAGGTCTTCGTTGTTTCGATCTTCGGATACCTGCTTTTTACAGTATGCTTTCACGATTTTTATTTCTGACTTTTTCTTTTTCCTCTTTTGCTTATTTGACCGGAGTTTCGCCTTTGCCCAAGATGACTTACCTTCAAAAATTTTTCAGTGAAGTATTTCCTTGAATCATTTGTTGAGCAAAAAATTAAGGGAGGCTGGAAAAGAGCGATTATAAAGCCCTGAGAAATAAATTTGTGATGCGAAATTTTGACTACCATGATTTGAACTAAAATCTGTCTCCATGAGTCTTTCTGTTTTTGAATAACTGTATTTTATTAATAAAATAACGAAAATCAAACATCAGTGAAGCAAAGAGAATCATCTTTACTGCTCATCGTGCTCTTCTTGTGGTGCTTACTCAGCATTGGATTTCTCGACTCGTTTCCGGACTTAGAGGACTTTGTGGATTGCTCGTATTTGGAACAAGATACAGTGCTGAATGACTGAATCAATAAAATATTCCCTTTTGCGTTTTATGTACCTGAACGAGTTCGATTTCCAGTCGATGTCCGGCTTCACAACGATTCCAGTTGGCCAAAGATTCGAGTTGATTTCGGTTTTGGTGACGATGTCTTTTGATTTTCTTCGTTTCAGGAACCGCCAGACGCCGAGAATTATCGCAAGAATGATCAAAATCAGGACGAGAAGGGAACCAATGATGAGAATTTCCTAGATTAAGTATTTTAAAATGACTTCGTGAGAAGTTTGGAATGAAAATTTGATGAGTTTTTTACCTTGGTAACATTTTTGCCCATTCTTATTGAGCATTCTTGTTGATCCTCGCGTGACTGTATGACTGTCAGTGGGAGAGGTCGATCATAGCAGCACTAGAATAAAAGATAAGCCTTTTATCTAACTAGTTTCAAAATATATAAACATAGTTACTTACCAACAGATTGTCCCTTAGCGGCGTCCTCGACTCAAATCTGTCCGCTGGAAAGGTCCTCTGAATTTGCTGATATCTGCTGGAAATACTGAAGCTGCTCTGACTCGGCACTGTAGATTCACCGATCCGGCGAAGAAAGCATTTGGTGGGTGCAACATCCTCAAAGTACTTTTTCGACGCCATTTTTATTTTTTTCAAAATCTGATGAGAGAAGCGGGCTGAGAAGCGAGTTTTATGCGGAGGGGATTTACCGGTTTCACGATGAAGGGAGATTTCTATGGGAACTGTTAATTGAGCTCTTTTCGCCAGAAAATGAATCATATTTTTTCTAGGTCAAAAAGGCATTAGCAAAAGTTTTTTCTAGAGCGATTATTTGGACATTTATATTGAATCAGTCTAAATGTCTTCAAGATGAAAAATTCTTTTATATTACTTACTCTTACAGTAAGTGGTCTTTGGCCAGAAAAAGTAGAGAAAACGGGAGATCACAATATAATCACCATCAACAGGTAACCGCAGATTTTGCGCTTATTATGACTGTACTTGATTTCAATAGTTTCGATCATAGATTCACCTCCCCGAGCTTTGCAAGAGTTATCTACCGCCCAGAAAACCAAGAGGATAATATATACAAAGCCTCGATTGGGTGCAATGGTTTCATTGGCAACCGATTTCGGTTTTGGACAATCAAAGGCATTGGATCTTGAATTTTTGCGAGCTTTTCTATACAGTAATAAATTATAATCATTTTAACTTTTGCTTAAAAATATTTGTATGAATCTTAAAAAATTGCCTTCTGGTTTTTACTAGATCCTTTTACAGACTGTCTGGATACAACTTATCTTCCCGAGCTGAAGAAAAAGGTCCTAGCTGGCGATATCTACATTATGTACCGCGGAATCAACCAAATCGAAGGCCCAAAATCGCCAAATGTCAAGTACCAAAAAGTCTCCCGATTCTATGTTCGAACTTACCACCTCGTTTTCGCCGTCGAGGAGGCATTTCAATTCGACGAGGTTGCGCACCCAGCTAGATTTATGAATCTTCAAGAATACGTCAGAAACGTAAAGAAGCAAAAATGGCCTAACTGCGTCTTTCTTGGAGAGAACGAGGAGAATCGAAGGCGAGTTAGAGGAGGCCTTGAGTACAAAAATGTAGCAGAAAAGCTGATTGTGCAGAGGGTCTGGAAAAGAAAGAGCTTTGATGCATGGCATGATACATTTACGATTTCTGGCGATTCAGGTGAGATCCAAGATCGATCAATATTCGTGAAAAAAAACTCGAATTCTAGCTCTTTCGAATAGCGACATTGGTTCTCCAGTCCTCTGCAAGACCTATCCAAACAACAACGCCAAGGGAAGCTTCAAAATCATCGGGATGATCGTCAACCACGACGTCTACGACAAAGAACCAATGCGCGCAAAAGGAAAAAGAGACTTCGCAGAGGTCAAGATCAACCTCTCTTTCGCCGAGTTCTTCGCTTCCAACACAACAGACAGCAGAAAACGAGTCAATCGACGACCAAGGCCGAAGCGGAAGAAATTCGACGTCGAAAATACTCCCGACAAGTTTTGGAAGCTGAGCAAGAATAATTTCATTTTAAAGGAAGAAGTTGACGGGACGAAGAAAAAACACCCGGTTCATAGAGCGTATTTGCATCCGGAATTTCTCAGACCGAAGTATTTGGTGGCAGCAATGATGGCGAAATATCTACCGTTTGTTTTTATAGGGAAAGATTTAAAATAGTTTTATTATTGGAAAATTCGCCCAAAAAACTATAAAGAATAATAATTAATTTCCAAAGTGGTTGAATATGAAAAAAATTGAATTTTCTTCCCTTTGAAGATAAATTATGGTCTGTAATTTCAAATCTCTCCAATAGTCGTCGGATTGCTTGGGATCGCACAGGCTTGGAATAGATATCGTTCTGACCGCGATGAATATGGCGAAATCGACAGTAAAGGAAAGGTCTTATTCAGGTCGAAGAACAAACTCTATCGGTTCCTCCCTCACATTATTTTTCTCCTCGTCGGCTTGGCGTTTTATACCGGATGGAAGGTTTTCAATCTGTCAGTGGAAAAATTGAGGTCAGATTTGTATTTTCTACCGATAAGAAAAGTGATGTTAAAGCCATTGGATCATGAAAGGTGTTGGTTTTTTGCTGTGGATTTTCTTGCTTCTTGCGTATCTGATGAAACTTGATACTGATGAAGATCCTGGAAGTCAACTGTATACCCTTTACGGGCAATTTATTCAGCAGCGGAAGACGAAGGTAAATTTTTTCATACGCACAGGGATATCAACCGTTTAGGAGATGGAAAATCCATTTTCTGATCGAGCCTCTCTCCATTCAAAATTCCTCGAACTTCAAGAAAAAATCGGCAGCTACAGCAAATCAACTCCAAAAAGCAAAATGTTGATTCGACTTGTGAAACTTGGATCGGCAGCTTTGATTGTTTTCGTAATCGTGTTCAAGCTAGATTTTTTCAAAGAAATCGTTCCCTTCGTCGTTCCAGGTAGCGATTTTTTACCAAAAGATCTTAATTTTCTACTCGTAGTTGCTCTATTGCTTGTCCTCTGCCTCGTTGATCATAACAAGCCATTGCTGAAGAACGAAAGCTACAAGTCTGTAGACATCAGATCGATGCACCGAAACTTCATCGAAAACGAGCTCATTTGTATCCGAGAACATTTGCTTAAAGACTCGACCTTAGAATATTCAACGATGCTTTCTTCCTCTCCCTCAGGAAAAGAATCAGAAAAGTGCTTTTCACCCCCTTTGAGAAATTATTATTTCTAATTTTAAAAAGATAGTAATCTGATGGAGGAAATCGAAGCGCTCACGGAGCTCAATGAGAAGAAGCAGGCGGAAATCCAGGCGAAACTCGAGGCCCAAGAATCACTGAATTTCGCGAATGAATCATTTGAAAACGAAACAACTGCCTTTTTATCCCCTAAATAAAACTCTTAAAATCATCTCTCTCCGATCAACAGGCTGTTTGGCAATATAATCGTAAAAACGCATCAAACTCATAACTTGGCCGCTGAATTGGCATCAGCTAACGACAGAAAAAATAATAGAGGAAAAATGAGTTTTTCAAAACTCCACTTGTTATTTTTCATTTTGATTTTGACTTCTTTAAGTTTTGTTATTTTCTTAATATCCAATGAAAAGAGAATAAAAAGTGGGGATATTGATCCAAACAAATTCCTGCTCGAAGATGAAGAAAATAAAAGGGAGGAAAATTGCGGCCTACTAAAAACAAGATTCGGAAGGCGACACGAATTCTCTGTTTTTCCTTTTGTCTCGGCTCGGCAACCTGTGTAGAAAACCTGAGTCAGGTTCTGGAGAGCGAAAATGAAAAGCTCTTTATTTTAGCTCTTCAGAACCTGACTCAGGTATTCCACACAGGTTGCCGAGCTCAGCCTTTTGTTTCCCTACCTGGCAGTGGAAATACGTGAGTGAAAGCATTTACTACTGATGGGGTGTTGGATAGCGGAAAAAATCTCATCGGAGCCTGCGTTAGGCTTGTAAGGCTAGTAACCATACATCCCACTGACGGGCGCTCTGATTCGTCCGTTTAATTTTTCTCGAATTTTCCATAAGATTCACGTAACCCGTTTTTCCAACATCTGACGAATCAGAGCGCCGACCAAGAAAACGTGTGGTAACTGGCCTCACTAGCCTTACTCAGGTCCGCTTGAGATAGGCACTCTGATTCGCCACAGCGCTCTGATGGAAATTCCGCTATCAAACACCCCATCAGTAGCAAAATAAATGAAGAATTAAGCTGGACAAGGATGCTCCTTGAGAAAACAACGGGGATTTATACAGGAAGCATTTACATGGACCGACAGTTGCTGGAAGGCGGATTTCTTGGAGAAAAGACTGTGCCGAAAAATGGCCAAACTCTCTTTCAAAAATCTCATGTCTTCGAAGAGCGACGAATTCCAAACGCAAAAGCCTTCCTTTTCCTCGTCAGAAATCCGTTCGACGCTACCATCGCTGAATGGAAAAGACGACACGGCCAAGGCCACACGGGGACAGCAAAAGAACGGATTTTCAGAGGACAAAAGTGGGAAGAAACTGGAAAAAATATGCTCAGAAATTGGAAGAATCTAACGGAACAAGCTGTTGATAAACGAAAAACGCTGCCAGTTCATCTTCTTTATTATGAAGATTTGAAGAAAAATGCGACTTTTGAGATGGAAAAAATTCTCGATTTCATCGAACAAGAGGATATTTACGTTGTCCCAGATCGAGACCAAAGAATGAGATGTCTTCAAGAGGTAACAAGGATAATTTCAATGATAACGTTGATAATTTTCAGTCGTTATCGGAAACAGAAAAATTTCATCGGCCGAAAGCTCAACCGACTTTTGAATATTTTACTGAAGAAATGAGTCAACTTGGCAATCAATGCATCCGAGATGTTTTCAGCTTATTGAAGAAGAATAATCTTCCTCTTTTTGACATAAATTCATATTTAAAAACGTCCTCTCAATAATAATTTTGTTGAAGTAATGCGTTCTCTTTATAATTCTATTAAGTATTGTTTGTTCTCTCAAATTATTAATAAAAAACTTGGTTTGTTTATTTGTTTCGATTGAAATTCTCAAATCTGTACGTTTTCACTTTTCGTCTTCCAGTAGCCCGAGCGTGAGGAGGGTAAGCCCGCGACGTAGTGAATAGGGCTGGGACGCGCGCGCTGATTGGCGGAGGCGCGTGGGCTCGTAGCGGCGCTGGCGAATGAGCGCGCGGCTCGGAGCTCGCTACTCCCGAGTGAGTGAGCCGCCGCCGCTGAGATCATCTCTTCTCGCCACTCACACACACACAAGCCAAGATCGCACACGATCGCACAAAAAGAATCTTCGAGTGAACATACCCTTAGAATAAACACCACCAAAAACAAAAAAGCATTTCATTGAAAAACATAAACAAAAAACAGTAAATCGAGAGAACTTTTTTTTAAAAAGAGATTCTCCGGTGGGAAATTTCAAAATCGAAAGAAAATTTGGGAAAAATTTGAAGAGAAAACTTCGTGATTTTTGATTGGACGAGGTAAATAACGGTGTAGTAACTCGCCTGAGGGCAGGGCATTTCGAGGGAAGGCCAGGTTCTTGATGGAAAAGGTGCTGAATACTCAAATTGCGTAGGTTGACCCCTTAAGTTCTTGTAAAGGCATGCTACTGTTACTTATGTAAAACTGGAAATGCAGTCACTTGTTTAGGCCAATATTTGTACTTATAGCTTGATACGATTCTCTAATAAGAGAACAATTTTTACAGTAAACAACTTTTTCTTATTCTGCAGCTGTGGGACGATGTTTTTAGCTTTGAAAATAAGCAATGATTTTAATTTTTTTGAATAAGCGTGAATATAAAAATGGAAAGTGAATAAGTCAGTTTCTCAGCATTGTTGATTCTACAAACATTTTCGCGTGAATACTGTATTTGCTCATTTATAAGCGGATTCAATGAAAGGTCCTTTTTTATTTATCATCTGATACTAGTAAGTGTTAGTTTGTTTTAAATCACTTACTGTATGCTGATAGTTGGCTACGTTGGCTAAAATTTGATAGAGGATCAAGTTTACTGATAGAGTATCAATTCAGTGATGAGTATTTTGAGTTCATGAAATATTTCTAGTAGAAATTTTTGATAGAACATTTTGAAGAAAAATCTTTAAAATTAGAGTGCGAAAAATTGACAAGATACTTGGCCAGATCCTTTTACAAACCCAAAAGCTCGGGACACGTCGTGCCCTGGAGCTTAGAACCTTGTTCCAGAAGCGAGAACTGTTCCCTTCATCAGACCCTCTTGTTTTTCAATAATTAATCAACAATTCATGATTACCATTTTATTCAAATCATTATTTAAATCATGAAAATTTACTTATAATATAAAATTTCATTCCGCTTTCATAAATCTGGAAATTTTTTTCCACAGCAAGATAGTAGCCATTTGATATTTCAAATATCATTCTTGGTATTTGCATTCTTTGAATAAAGAAGTAGAAATTACTAGTCATGCTCTGTCTAGTCAGATCATGAAAAAGGAAAAAGTTGAAAAGCCGAGACTTTGCGCAAACAAATCACGGACTGGCTCATTCTCACGAAACGACTGTCTCCCTAGAGCAGCAGGAATACCATATTTTTCCCTGATATCATTCATAAAGTATATTCTTCCTTGACTCCTCCAACGGATAGGCTTGCTTCTGAGTCGAATCACCGCGAAACACCCTTACTATCGATCTTCCCTTTTTCTTAAATATTGATTTTCTCCGTTCAGAAAGATGGTCTCCTAAAGTGCTCCCTTTCCATTGCCGTTCAACAGTCACCAGCGAAAAACCAAAAAAGCGTCGTTCTCGCGAAAGGAGAACGAACGTCCCGATGCATGAGTGCATGCAACATGGCTAACTGGCCGAAGGAGTAAATTTCAATGGAACCCAACGCTGCTTTTTTACGAAACGCCTCTCGCAAAAGAAGAATCTGCCGAGCTCGCTCAAACGCAGCCACACACCTCAGGCACGGGGCTCATATTTTGGCTTCAATGTAAATTATGAGCAAGTAAACTGTCAAATATGTCTACCCCGAACTCTACCCCCTGCCCTCGCCCTAGCCTCTTAGTCATTAATAATATGAGCCCAGTTCTAGCTTTCAAAAGAGCGCCAACCTACTCTATGTCTCTTTCCTATATCTCAATTTTCTGAATCTAAATCACGCATTTGGTAAGATGAATTTCTCAAAGTCCCCTCTCTCAATCTCATCTTTCCAGCCTCTGCTGAATCTCAACACACCTATGGCTACAACGGCTACTATTCCGGATACGCTCTTGATGCTTTACCCGTTATTTCAATCGACGACAACGCTCCCTACGATCTCGATGTCGTCAGCAACGCTTCTTCTCCTTCCTCCTGGAACAAACTCGACTGTCTGACCAACCAGAACAGCCTAGGCTTCGCCGACCGGGCTCGCTTCGGCGAATCGTCGAAGCTTCGCTGGATCAATCAGAAACTGTGGAATGTGACTTGGTTCGCCTTTCAGAGCTTCGATGCCGCGAGTGGCACCCTTGTACATAATTCTCAACACACTCGCGTCAACGAAGACGGATCACTTTCCATCCACGTCGATCTGATCAACCCAGCTGATGCCACAAACGATACTCTTTACTTTGAATGCGTCCTCGAATACATCGGCCATCGACGACAAAGTTTGGAGAAAATCATGAAATCGCAGTTTCCCGCTTCGACGCTGAATATGAAAGCGAATGAGCGTCAAACTGGCTGGCTTACTTTGGCAAAAGAACTCCCAAGGCAGAACTACAGCAGATCCAGCTGCATCAACGCTCAAGGAAGACGCTATAAATGCCCAAAAACGCGCAAGAAAATCATCTGGCGCTCTCGTCGCGCGCGTTACAGAATTCGCCGGCCACGATCGCCACCGAAAATAAAATGCTACAACGATATGAAACGAAAACGCGATTCTAAAGACGAGCTTGTCGTTCTTCCGCAGTTAAAGGAATGCGAAGAGATTTATGAAGAGTCAGCGTTCGTTCTTGATTGCTCGATTGAGGGCCAGAATTACCAGTCGGATGAAGCGATCTGGTTCATGAATGGAACGAGACTGGAAAAGCAAAAGTTTGGCTTTAAACCTGCGACTCTAGAAAATGGTATTGGTAAGTTTTGATAATGCTTTTGAGAAACAGAGCTTCTTCCACGGTGGGAGTCCCACACTCTCTCATGATTGATTTCATGAAAGACAATTTAGACGCGTTGGAAATCTTCCTCGTCAACGGTCGCCTCCACATCAGCCGTGCCATTTACAATTCCACCGACTTTACTTGTCAACTTCTCGGTCTCGAATCGCTTCCCTTCACTCCAGTTCTCCTTCCTTTCTCTTTTGATTCTAGAGAAATGCCCCCGAACGCTCCTACTGATTGTTTCTTTCCTGGAATCCTGGACGCGCACAAACACATTTTTACAACCGAGTCGGAGTCGTTGACCGCATTTGTCGTTCATAGAATCGAAGCCGGTAATGCGTTCAACTTCGAAGTTCTCTGCCAGCCGGTTGCGTTGACGGAAGAGAACGCGCAGGTCTATTTCTGGGCAAATAGGTTTGTCAAGAAGTTTTTTTGGCTGCTTTTAATATTTTTAGGGAAATTTTCCTCAATGAAAGTCTACACCAGCAACTCTACGACCCTTGTATTGCTCCTTCTTCCCCTTCAGGCTCTGAAAAGATCAGCTACAGAACCATCTACGATCAGGAGAACGGGAACTCTCGCACTTCCCGAATTCACCATTTGCTATCGCCAATTTTTCACGATCTCCATTTGCGAAGCCTAAAAGCGGATAACGAAATCATGTTCCGCGAAAACATCTTCGCGAGCTCAAAAGATCGAAGCATTGACTTCAATCTCGGTATGCGAATAAACTATTTCGGTCAGGCAAGGATGCTTAATTTCCTATCGCAAGCTACTGCTGCTTATGGCTTTCGCTTTATCACAAATTTCTCAATTCCAAAATTACTGCTCGGGCTGTTTCATGAAAGAAAATCACCTTGATGTTGCTCTTGTAGTCATTTTTTCTCCACCTATTTCGCATCCTATTTTATAGCAAGTTAATTTTGATTACAACGCGCTTGTGCAGATTTTGACGCTTCCGGATGTGCTTATGCAATATCGAACTGTTAAGGAAATGCTACAGTTTGAGATCGATGGTTTCAGCAGCAAAATGGATCGTTCAAACTGGTCCAAGGAATGATTTTACAATTTTTTCTTTCCTATTTCTACATTCTCGCACATCTTTAGACTTTGCGACGACTGTTATAGGCCATAAATTGATATCTACTGACGTCTACAAATATCTACAGATATTTGCGGCTCTCTAAAGACATCTTTAGACATTTATTGACATCTCTAGACATTTGAAGACATCTGAAGATATCTTATGCGATCTTGAACATTCTGTTACGTCGATTGATCATATTTAAAATCTCTAAAAAGCGAGCAGAGTACAGCCTCATTGAAGAAGAAACCATCCTTACCTGCCATGTTCAAGGCCAAAATATAGAGAACTGGAGATTTGAATGGCTCCACGATGGAAAACCTATACGAAATCGCGAGTTTAGAACAGTTCTTCGAAAAGCAAGGAAAATTACGGATAACCGAGGAACAAATGATGTCGATAAAGCGAGGCAACTTTGCTTTGTTTTCAACAAGTATGTTGTCTTATCCGATGAAAGGTGATAATTTTTGAATTCAGGGGCGATCAAAGAGGAATCGACGAATGCCTGGAAGAGCAAAAGCTATTTGGATATTTGCCAGACGAGGCTGTAGAAATCCTGCCCGAATTCGACCCTGAACTTGGCTCCGACGGTGTGAGCACCTCCTTCACCGACATTTGCCGAGAGTATACGAATTCCGAGAAGAACGAAACTTGCATTCAAATGAAATACAAATACCTCAAACATCGCTATGCAAGGATGGACCTTTACATCACCCCGAACAAGGCGCGCGGCAGCTTCCAGTGCCGAGTCACATCAGATCTTGAAGCTGAAGGAAGTGTGATCAAGACCTTTGTCTTTTTCGACTCTTACGACTCTTACTACACACCTGCTGCGCTTTCTCTCGTTCATGATTGGCGACCGCGTCCGTCTTTTGGCGCCCCAAGTGTGTTCTCCGCCAAGTTCTCCGACATCTTTACCCACGTTCAACCAATGAAGCTCGTTTGCCAGTTGTATGGAATTGACGAAGCAGACGTTCGGCGATTCGATTATACAGAGCATCATGCGGGTGTGCGAGGCGATATGACGCGAACCAAGGGACACTGGCCCTCATTATTGTGGAAGCAGAACGGGGAACGCTTCCAGCCGGGCGAGGGGAACAGGCTTTATCGCCACCAGGACGAGAGCTACATATTCCAAGCTGATACGCTCGGAGATCCGACGGGGCGCTTCGGGCGCTGGAACCCCGATCAGATTTGGGAAACGGACGAGTCAATGGCGCACCTCGCAAAACGCATCAAAAATACGGATAAAGCCACGATCATGTCGGAACTCCTGATCTACGACTTTAGCCACGGCGACGAAGGAAGTTATTCCTGCGAGTTTGACCTTGCCAAGGCGCGTCTGAACACTCCAAATGCGATGAATCGAGGAAAAATGGAAAGCTTCGCTCTTATGATTGAAAGCGTCGAACCGAGCAACACTCAGTTGAAAGAAAAAGTAGGCGTTAAGATCACTTGGTCCGTGCCGTTTGAAGTTTGCGACGGGCAACGAGCAGACGACTGTAATGAGAATATTATGGTTCGAAAAGAACATCGACAAGCAGCAAAAGAAGCGTCGTTTTTCTGGGAAAGCTTTGATAGATCTGAAACGCGGTTCGCGATCATGCTTTATCCAAGACGGAGATTTCGGAACGCTGCTTTCACTCCTCCGGAAGGGCAAAACCCGACGCTACAAATTGATATCGCCAGCAAGACCGGCGAAAATGACCCAATTTATGAGCGCGTGTTGGATCCTGAAAACACTCTGTTGGGCCATCATGATTGCGATCTTGACAATATCCGATGCTTCGTTGATCCGAAGTTTATCTGGTCGAAATGTGAAGAACTTATAGATATTCTAGAGCGATTGGAGTGTGATCGATATCGGCGAGCGCTCAGGACAAGGATCGTCTGCAGCTGTACTTTCAGAGATCCTTCGAATTTGAGTGAACGGGACTTCGGCAGACGCGGGCGATTCGAATACGGAGTCGATTACGAGGTCCAGGTCCGAATGAAGACCGGCAAATTCAGTCAATCCACCGGCTTCGACTTCAGTGAATACCTCGTCGCGCACAATCGGCCGATCGTGCGCGTTCCTGTTCCAAAAGACTCGGACGATTTTGACCACTTCAGTCCTGCTAGAATCAACCGCGAGGAATCAAACGTCCTCATCGACGGCATCGCAAGAATTCGTTGGGACTACACTTTCGAACATCCGGAGAGCTTCTTCAATAAGCAGAAATTCCAACCAATGATCAGTTCTCAAACACTCGTCTGGGGAACCCTCTCTCAGCACCTCAAAGTCCGCCAAATCCTCTCCCCTGAATTACGAATTGTCGACATCGGCCCTTTCAGCCCCTGGGAGAATTTCACTTACGTGGTTCATCTCGAGACAACGTTTGTTTCGGACCCAGAAGTGATCAAAAAGTCGCAGAACTTCTTCGTAAATGGCGATAATTTGAACAGATTCGATCGCTGTCAGGATTCGCGTCGAGGAGCTCCTGTCCGCGACCTCTGGTCATCCCTTGATTCTGATTTCTCTTCCCTGACCGTTAATTACCGCTTTCCAACGCTAAACAGAAACGAGTACGCGAATGTAGAAGTCTTCACGACCAATTTTACCCAGCTGGCGCAAGTCAATCCAGGGAGAATTGAAACAGAAACAGATAGAACTAGCCTTCGCGTTTGCGATGTTGCCTACTCTCCGAAGCCGTTGGCGCTAGAAATGAGCCTGCAGAAGCCAATGAGTCGTTCCTTCGCCGTGGCGATGGACATCTATGACTTCAAGAAGATCAAGTCACAGCCAGCGCATAATATTTTGGTAAATGAAAAAGAGGGGTTATTCGCAGCGAATATTCTTCCCAAATGCGACATTTTGCTCACCACGCCCAACGAAGAGCCGTCTGAATTGCAGGAATTGACCTGGATCTGCCCGAATCACACGAACATCGCCTTTTTCGGCAATAGCGAGCATCAGAAACAGCGAATTTTGACTAGTTCAAAAAGTAGAAAACGTTCTTCGGCGTGGAAGCCTACAGACGAACTCTCCTTCATTCAGCAACTAAAGAATCTTGATTATCTTCAATATCTTCTTTTCGAGCTTCGATGGTCCTTCAAGAGCGAGCACGGCGACTGGAAATACACGCAAATTCCCTTCGAGAAGGTGGTAAATCTGGACAATGGAAAACTCAAAAATGTCCTTGGAACCATTTCCGATCCGTTCAAATACAAATGGGAAAAACCCCAGCCGCCTAAATCGTCAAAACCAACTTGTGACAAGACAGTCGTCGGAATAAGAATGATCCTCAGAAACTCTCGTAAGATTAACTCATTCAGCTTTCAATTATTCATGTTTTTAGAAAATAGCGGGGAATTTATCACATCGAATTTTTCAAACGAAGTCAGTTTTGCGGCTCAAGATGAAGACAATCTGACCCCTCTTTCGGCGGTCGTCATTTACCACGGAACAAATCACATGATCCAGGTAAATCATCGCTCTCATTCATTTCTCATCTTCATTATTTCAGGTTTTGCCGGATACAGCGCCGCAGCAGTACTGTAGCCAGGAGACGTATTTGCAAATCATGGTCAAGAAAGTTGACGAGAAGTTGCGGGATGGAGAAAATAACGCTACGGAGTGGATCGGCTGCTCTCTTTTATCAAGCGACACAGCAAGCAACAGTAAGTCAACCAAGGAATCATCCTTTTCTTAGTCCGTTTTTATTCAGATCTGATTTCCATTTCCAAAATGTACAACAAACAAGGAATCCCAAAAACCGTCAAGGAGATCATGGCTAACTCGAGCGACTGCGCGCTCTACAAGTTCAAAACGCGCAAGGCCGTCAAGAACAACAAATTGCGCCCAAATCGGCAAAAGATCGACCGGGAACGATGTCTTAGTCCAGATGAATTCGAAAAGTCGTCCGATTGGACAAGCTGGAAAACGATGCACAATTCAGATTGTGCTCAGCCGACGCCCGCGCCGATTCCGCAGATAAATGCTACAAGGAAGGGTTCCATCATAACAACGATTGTTGTGTATTTGTTAAGAGATATTTCTTTTTGAACCCAAAAAAGTGCGAAAAAGAGCGAGCAAGAGAAAGAGCCGGAGTGCGACTTCAAGTTCAAGGGCTCTTGTCTCAACCCGCGAATAGTGCTTGCCGTCTTCATAGTCCTGGTCCTCCTTATCATTCTCATCCTCGTTTCAATTTACGTCTGTCTCTGTAAAAAGTATTTCTCCCAACGCCGCGATCAAATGAACGATCAGGGAACTGGCCAATATCCCGCTAATCAGCTTCACGATGGTACCATTACTGCCAAGGTACATTCTCTCTCAACCGTTACTCTTCATCATTCCTTCCCTAGCCCTTTAAAGACGATAACTGCTCGCGACAAGACGAAAACCTCCCGCTCATGTCTCTCCCTCAAGATTCTCGATTTGCTACTGAAATTTGTCCTGACACGCCGCTCCTCGGTCACGAGAGTCCAACACAGCTCCAAGACTCTGATTTGGAGAAACGAGAAAGCTCCACTTTTCCGTCCAGACCTTCTACGCCTTCGGAAAAAGAGGTTAGCTTCGTTTCTTTCTTTGAATTCTCGAAATCGTCCTTTTCAGACTTCTCTTCGGCTCCAGCATTCAACAGAATTGGTCGCTTTGGCCACTAGCGTCGGAGAATCGCTTCCCTCTTCTCACAATAGTCTCAGTAACGGCGAGTCCTGCTGCTCGTCAAGCAGCCTGGACGAGATTGCAAAAGTAAAAACAAACATTCGATTGTTTGAGCAAAAAAACGAAACAAGTTCAAGCAACAAAAACCCCTCCTCCGCAGTTCAAGAGATGTACCCGCGCATTTTACAAAGCTCGCTGCTTGGCGATAATGCCGACAATCGCCACCACTGTCCAGGCTAACAGGAAACGCGGCTATATTCAGCTCTGGAATCGCGAAATATGTCTAAAACAACATCCATTGTATAGCCGAAAAAAGCGTTTCATCCTTGCCTTGACCCGATTATCTCATCGCTACAAATTCTTGACCAAAAATCCAGCTTCTCTCCGACTGAAAGAAAAAATAAGAAAACAGCACGCTCAAGAAAACCGCTTTTGGGCCGCTCAAGACTTGAGCTGCTGTGAAACATAATATTTTTTATTCTCCTTTTTGTTCAATTATTTTCAATTTCGAGCTTGATGTGAAGTGACCTACCTGATACCTCCTTTTTCGAACGTACAACGACGACGTATTTTTTATAAATCTTTGCTTTATTTTTTCTCCAAAGCATCTTATGCTTATCGAAATTCTAGCGCCCCTGTCCAATCTTGCCAAAATCATTTTACGCATTTGCTGATTTTTGGGGTGCTGATTTATCGATTTCGATTTTTTGAGAAAAGAAAAACAAGAACTTTATTAACTTTTGTCTTTATTTCTCTCCTTTACCTCAATAATGAGTGCTCTTCGATCGTTGATCCCCTGTCTGGCAGACAGTCTCGCCGACTCCAGACAATGTCGAGCAATCAAGATCACTTTTTGATACGCTGTATGTACCTCAAGAATTTCCGATAGCTTCCCTTTGGCAGATCTATTCCCTGTTTTTTCTCTTATCCAGCTACAGTATTATCTAACTGTAACACTTTGCTAGTGCTGACCCTAAAAAGAAGATCCCCCTTTTTCACCCCGCAGCTCCCTTTTTGCCACAGCTCTAAGCTCGCTCAAAGACCCCAAACTTTCACTAAAAGATAAATCTAAGAAAGGAAAAGATAATTTTATATTTATGATCACGTGACTACCTCCAATGCTCCACCTGTGCTAGGCCTCTTTTTGGCCCCTATTCTCCTTCTCCATCTCTCTCTTTCTCTCCTTTATTCAAGGACTCTTGATTCAGCTTCAAATTTGAGGCTCATCAAGGGACTCTTGATTTCTCCAGTATATAAATTGATATCTATTACTAATTATTAATATTTATTTTTTACTGCTACACTCATCCAATCTTTCTCAGGTTATCAACTAGAAATCATGATTTTCGGTCAAGATAGTCGCCAGATTATTTGAGAATCGACAATTATAAGCCGATTTTCGATATTTTATCAACTATCTTGGCGGATTATTTATGATTTTTTGCCGATAATCTTGGTAAAAAAGGATGATTGCAAATGTGAACCAATTGGTTTCTCCTTCGTTTACTTTTTTTGTTCAAAATTGCTTATTCTTTCTTGCTATTTTTCTCTCTGCATCCGTACATGTTCAAGCTCTCCTCAAGTTCACTACCTTATTCAATTTATTTAATAAATTCATCGAAACCGTCACCGACCCTTCAAGCAACATTTACAGTAAGGCAGCTGGCAAAATCGCAGGCTTTGCATATTTCGCACCATTAGTCGGTTAAACCTCTTCTAAAACATTCATTAACCTTGAGCCTTTTTCTTTATAAAAATCGCAGCCATTTAATTATGAATCTGTCATTTGCTTGTAAAATGAAAGCAGCTTGATCAAACGATTCCTCCGAAGAGCTGAAAAGCGTTCCATAAACGCGGAGAAAAAATAAATGTTTAGGCTTTTTTATGTCAGAAATACGAGCGATGATCAGAGGGGCAAAGAGTAAGAGTCGTCAATAATAGGGCTAGGCAGACTGTGCAGAAAGAACCTGAGTAATGGTTGTGAGGGATCTTTCGAAACCCTGACTCAGGTTTTCTTCGCAAGCCTAGGCTCGATATTTTTGATCGGAAAGTTCAAACAATTCTTAAGCTGGATTCGCAAAAACCAATTGAAACGAACCACGAGCATGACTTCCTTCAGCAGCAGCAAGGTAGCTTTCACTTTGATCCTTCTATCAGAATTTATCTTGACTGTATATTCAGCAATTATCCCTGAAAGCTGCTTATTCGTACAGGCGTCAAAGGAATCGGCCTGTTCATCGTTATTTTTTTGTGTTTTGCTTTTCTCCATTCTGGTGGTTTTTAATTAGCTGCATATTCGATGCGCATAACAAAGGGCTGATACTTTCACTTCTATAGACAAGAAACGAAAGGCAGACATTTTCAATTATCATTTTCCCACTGAGCCTTGCGCCACTGAATTCATTCATACTAATAAGTTGCTATACTTTCAGCCAAGTCCGCCAAATCATCGAAATATTGATCATTTTTTTGTCCAGGGTGTTTTATATACAAATTAATTTAATTTTCACATGATGAAATTGGAGAGAAATCGGCACTCGCAGGGACTTGTTGAGCTGAAGTTTTGACAATTCGATTTCGAATCAGTAGAAAACGGGAAGTAAAAGAGTATCTGCGTGGCTAGGGAGAGAAGCGACTCAGTCCGGTTAAAAAGTTCTAATTTGAGCACTCGAGAACAAAGTAGAAGAGAACTTCATCCCTTCATTAGGCCCTGGATTTGCTCGGCGATTATCGGAATCACTTTTATACTCGGTAAAAATGTCTACTTTTCACCAAAATTAACAGTTTCAGCCGCTTTCTTGTGCACAGAAGCATTCAATAACGCTGGATTGATTCCGAAAAAGCCAATTTTATACGCACTCAGTGGAGTTTTCTTTCTAATTGCAATTATTGGACTGTTCTTTTCGATCCAGTTTTTAGTCAAGCACGGCGGGGTAGGTTGAAAATGAAGAGTTAATCAGCGCTTTCAAAGTCGAATTAATCATTTTCTTTGATTTTAGGGCGATCACTTACCGTCAATCGACTCAAAAATGTCCTTGTCTTCGATTTCTAGGGCGATTTTTATCGACGAAGAGGCCAGCAAAGCATCTCAAAGAATCAAGGTCAGGCTTCTCAAAAAAGTCATTGTTCTCGAATCAAATTCAGTTCGAGGCACCGGAGGATCACATTATTCTTGAAGACAGCCAATCTTCCATGCCATCGCCATATTTTCAAATGCCCTTTCGAGAACGACTTGCGATCGAGGAGTTTATCAAGCGATCTGCGGCGGAGGATCCTTGTGTTGATAATGCGAGAACTGTTCCGAATTGTAAATTTTGCTTGAAAAACTGTAAAGAAATTTAATCAGGTTTTTTGTGGCTGAGTGTTTTTGCTTATTTATTCAGCAGATAAAACCTATTTCTTGTTCGAAGTTGCTTGAGTGATAAAAACATAGGAGTGTCCGGAGATTTCTAGTTTTTCATCGCCAACTAGTTCTGCGTAGTCGGCAATATTGAATCGTAGCGCGCCGGGTTTGAACTGTGCTTCGATTCCGTTGATCATTACCGTTGACGATTGCAGATTCGGAGAAGTTAGATGGTACTTTGTCGCGGATTTGAAGTCCTCGAATTCCTGGAAAATTGAAGATCAGGAAGAAACAGATGAATACTTACGTCGCAATAAAACAAGATTGGCTCGTGACTGTAATTGATGACGAGGAGTGTTTTCTGGAGCTTTCCATTTATCGTTTCCGTCTCGGCGAAATATTGATGTGTCGAGTTGCCCTTATCGTTCCAAGCTTGAAGTTTTTAGTTCACAAAGCTCATCTTGTTTCCCTACCTTTATAGATTTTTCCGACCATCAGTTCTTTGAAAAGTAAGGCGCCATAAAAATCTGGATTCACCAACATTTTCTTTGAATTAGAATCGACTTGAAGTAGTCCATAATTTCCACCAACAAAAGTTTGTCGACAAAAAGCTTTGTGGCCACTTTCGGCCATCACCGCCATCCAATCAACGTACCAAAAGGCGGACATGAATCGGTTTGTGACGGTATTCCGGCCAGAGTTGTATGCTCCGCCGGTTTCGCCCATCCACACGCCTAAGGGCAAATTATCGAAACTGCTCGCTTGGCTGAAATTAAAGGTTAGGTTAGGTTAAGGATTTCGAGCAAACTTGGCAAGATGATAAATTTTTGAGTTAAAGTTCTCGTCCATAATTTCTTCATCAACCTTGTCACTTGACCCCGCTCCTAGCGGATAAGAATGATAAGTAAAAGCATCAAGTTGGAAGGTCGGATCTTTGATTTTCATTTTCGCGAGAAACTCCTTCACCCAAGCGATGTCAAGCGCCGTATCCACGCCAAAGACTTTCGGGCGATCAATCGACGAAAAAAACGATTCTTTGAGCACTCGCCAGAGCTCTGCAAAAGTATCGACTCCTTCGTCAACAGTCAACTTTGCCTCGATTCCATATTGTCCATAGATTTCGTTTCCGAGTTCGAACGCAAAGATATTTTTCATGTATCCCTCTTCTATCCAATCCTCAAGCATGTGATGAAATTGTGTTGAGTTCCAGTCGCCTGTCCAGTTTGTAGAACCGGTTTGAGTTCTTCCCTCCATTGCGTTCACTCCCCAGAGTACTTTGAAGTTGACGCTGTTGACGAAATTGAAGAAGGTTTTTGCGCGACCTTTTGAGAAACAGCCATCGCCGAAACCACTGTGTCGTCCTGGTTCGGGACTGATTGGATAGGGTTTGCTGAATGGAATCATATCATCCGGCGGATTTTAAAATGCTTACCAATGTTGCTCTGAAACTGACATATTGTAGCGAATATGATCTTGAAGCGTTCCACCAACTCGTAGAAACGCATAAGAATCCCCGAAAGCGAGCGAGCCGCTTGTCTCAGAATATCATCACCAAAATCAAGCGCATTCATTCCAGCTCCTGTCCAACTGCAATTTCCATAGTCGCATTTCGAGTCCGGCCACCAGTCAAGATTGACGCAAACATAAGGATGCTCGAGTCCAATATTGTTCAAAACAGTACTTTTTAAATCTCAGAAATTCATATTTCCATAATTTTTCTACCTTTTATCAATCTTTATTCGCATTTCTCTTTTGGCCGAGGCTCTTATCACATTTGCTGTAATTGTACTAAAAGCAACAATAGTAAAAACGATAAACCAGCCATGTTTTTCTACAAGAGCCTTTGGTGAGCCACATTTTTGAATTGAAAAGGGGCTTGAATGCATTTTTGAACACATAAGATATGTTTTTTCGCGAACGGGGGAGATAGTAAAACTTGACCTATTCGAGTCTTTTGGTTATCGATATTTTTTCTTAGTTCTTTTAAATTTTCTCCCTTTGATAACGATTGAAATGCAAATTTATTAAGCAGTTATGATTTTAGTTAAGTTTGACTGAGGCTTTTTATTATTCCCTTTTTTCTGAAATTTTCCTTTTGTTCACATAAATTTCAAACGCTCCGATAGACCTAGTAAACCACCAGATCAGAAAACCTATCAAAGACGCCACCATCAATCCAAGCAAAAAGTAGCGAAATCTCTTGCTCTCAAATGCGAGGAAACAGATGCAGAGGAGGAGGTCCTCCATTTTTATACGATAATTCGTTTGAGGAACAATATTTGGGATGCTATAAAAACGCCACCGAGGGCGAGGAAAAGGTCGAACGGATTAAGTTTACCTTTTCTTAGAGAAAATTGAGTTTAAACATCAAGATTCTTGATTCAAGAAAATTGATTCTTCCGGTCATTTTCTATGACTCATAAAGACATTGACAGAGCTACTTCTGAACCTGATAAGCCCAAGCACACCGGGGTCATCCTTGGTGATAACAGAATAATTTATTATTTCCTTGAAGGGGGTCCCATAAGGGCGAGACGTTCAGAAATGGAAGACTTCGTAGAATGGGGTCGAGAATTCGGCGTCGATTTTACAAAATTTTCAATTCAAAAAATAGAGAATCAAGGCTTCGGAGTCGTGGCAAAGAAGAGCATTTCTTATGGAGAGCCGCTGATAGAAATTCCCGAAGAAATTATCATCACGCTTGATAAAGTACTGAAGGACAGAAGGATACAGGACGTTTTGCGATATGGAAAACAATTTGAAAAGGTCGATTCGATGGACATGTTTTTGCTCTTTTTGACAATCTACAGATTTGAAGAAGATTCGTTCTTTTGGAAGAAATACTTCAGAATTCTCCCGGAAGAATACGGCCTGCCGATTTTTTGGGAAGAGAAGTACAAGTCCTGTCTTCCAAAAAGCTTCCAAAAGATGCTGTCAAAAGAGCGGGCGATTTATGAGAAACGCTTGAGCTTCGCAAAAGAAATGTGCCCTGAAATCAAAGATGATGATTTCAAATGGGCCTGGAGCGCGTTTTTAACGAGAAATGTCAAGGTCTCACATGCGGAGTACCTCAAAAGAGCGGATGATTCTGCTTGGAAAAGACCTTCATGGTTGCAAGAGGGGGATTATGACGACTCGGCGCTAGGTACTCAAGCAATTTTACGATGAAAAAGCGAGGTTTTTAGTGCCGTTTTTCGACCTGATCAACCATACGGAATCCGCAAGCGTTCAATATATCTACCAAAGAAGGGACGAAAAATTCAAGCTAACTGTAAAACAAGAAATTTGCGAAGGAGATCAGATTTTTATCAATTATGGAACGTATGGCTCGTTTGATAAACTGATGGATTATGGTTATGTAGAAGGTGGTATGCCGAATTTCAACGAGAGGTTTGATAAAAATTGCGCTTTGTTGAGAATTATTGTTAAGTTTTTTCGTTGAAAAAGAAGAAATTCTAGAAGTGTCGAAAAAGCTCAAGATTTCACTGCCAAATGCGTCGGAAATTGAAGACATAAAAGAGAATTCCTTTGAAATCTTTCGTGCATCAGTCTCGCCGCAGATGGAAGAATTTCTCGAAATTCTAACGAACGAAAACGAAGAAGCAGCTGCTCAGATCAAGATAGAGCTCTTTTCGGATATCATTCAGAATATTCGGAAGAATCTTTGTAAGCGAAAAATATATTTGGCCGATTGATTTTTAGTGAATCTTGGCACGGATTTCGGCGATGAGATTGTTTTCTGCAGAAGATTGTATAAGAAAGTGTATACGATGATAAGTGATATTTTGTACGACTGAAAAAAAGACTGAAATAGAAATGAGAATAGAAGGGACGAAAAGTCATTACTGTACTTTTTTGCAGACAATGGAATAAGTTCAAGAGCTCGATGTTTTGACACCTGTTCGAATTTAGAACAAGACATGTCATTTCCTAGCGCCAAAAAGAACATGTTCGGGACACTTGTCTAAATATTATAAGGCTCTTCTTCTCTGAAAAACAAGACCCTAATGAGATTAGCTTTAATATTCTAATTGCAATTGCCCATTCAACAAGTACCCTTCTTTCCAAGAAAATAGATCAGTTGAAAAGAGACATATCAGAAAAGAAGGGATTTTTGGGCGCAATATGAAGAGTTTTATTTTAATTTTTTTCGTCATTTTGAAGTTGACAAGCGCCGGTTTTGGCAGTTTCTTGATTGGTAAAGTAAATTGATAGAAACCCCTTTATTCTTCGATTTTCTTTAGAGAACAACAAAGATATTCCACCACACATGGCCAAATTCGCCGATTTCTTCCGAGCTGTCCAAAGAGATGCGGTCGAAAGTCCATCAAAGAAAAGGTCAAAACACGAGACATTGTCGAACAGAGAAATTTGGATCAATTTTTGACCGTAATTGTAGCGAAGTCGAGAAGAACGAAAAAGATCGCGCGCAATCAAGAGATCAAAAATTGCTCAAAATCGTCTTAAAAGACTTATACGGCTGCAGTCAAGGTCAGAGCTTAAGAGACTGTTGTTCTTGACAAAAACGTTCATGCAAATATTCAGAAAGCTAAGAGATATGATAAGACAGGAAAGAGAGCGAAGATTTATGGAGAAACATAATTTTTCGTATGGAGTTCTGTACAACTAATTTTCAAATAATAAAAATCCTCTTTATGTTGATTTTATTGAATCCACCGTGCAGTATACAGTATGTTAAGACTCTAAGAAGAAAAAGAGTAGTTTGAAAACCTCTGAAATCTCTTTTTCTTGCAATTTTCATTTCTTTGCTTTATTTTATTTTCAAAAATCGTAGAAATTCAAATTCTTTTGGCAAAATTGCTTGTTCTGAAGTTCCTTCAATCTCTTCAATTTCGCTTCTCTTTCTCTCACGAGCGAGATGAGCATGACAATGACTCCAAGGATCAACAGACCCGTAAAGATTCCTGCGATTCTGCATTCTTTTAGACACGGGTTTGTCCAGATATTCGTCTCATTATCCATTTTTCAGGAAATGGTCCATTTCAAAATCAGCTTCTGGCAAATGTTTCTTGTCGATTATTTTAGGAACCAATGCGGTTTTTAATTGAATAGAAATGGTCCTCGAAATTGATTTAAACATTTTTTTTCGACTTTTCCTTCGAGATCATAATTAAAATTACTGGAACAACTACACTTACGTGTATCGGTAGAACATATTGGTCTGAAGATAGGCAGGTGAGTAGCCTAGCCTTCACCGCAAATAGAGTTCTATGAGGCCTTGTAGGTGCGATTGAAAAACCACAAAAGCTGGCGGAGCTGTTCAACCAACTTATCTACTCAAAGGACGAAATACTTCCTATTCTTAATTTCAAGATAAAAAATCTTCAGAAGAAATAAATATTTTGGGCAGAACCAAGAAAAAAGAGTGATTTTACGGATCTTGGTTTTGATTGGCCGGTAGGCCAAATATAGAAATCTTATTGGTCTTTCAAAACTGCATTTCCTTTTCTAGGTTTGTACCAAATTTTTCTCCCTTGTAATTTTTTTACTTGAAATCAAGGAAGAAAATATCCCAAAATACCCGAAAAAATAATCGTCCTTACTTGTAGCCATAATCTTGGACAACAAAGAAGGAGCAATCTGATGACGGATTTATAACCCAATTAGTTTTGACGGGTAACAAAATAAATTTATCGCGCCAGTCTTCTGAAAATCTAATCTGAAGAAACAAGCAGTTCGCCGCTGATTTACAACATTCCATTTATTTCCAACCACCTTCTGGGGCCAAATTTTATTCCATTCGATTTTCAAGACGAAATAAAGTAATTTTCATATTTTGGAAGGGAGAAATCGCGATGCCTGTCAATCATTTAGAGCACGGTTTGAGAAACAACTGTTTTTTTTTTTGGAAACTTTTAAAATGGAAAGTGAAAATTCAGAAGTCACAAATTCGCTGACGAATATCATTGGCGGTTCTGTCACTGGGATGGTCATTCTAGCGCTAATTATTTTGATGATTTGGTTGATTCGGCAAAGAGAAGAAAAAGCAAAAAGATTGAAGCAACTAATGAACAAGCTAATTTGATCAAATATAGATTTTTTGCTTGAAAAAATATGGTTGAAAAGGAGGCTGCTCCTGGATCGCGCGGAATCCTGGATCGCGCGGATCCCGGATCGCGCGAATTCCTTGATCACGCAGATTGGGTGATTCAGGATTCCGCGCGATCCAGGATTTCGAAAAAAATCAGAAATTTAATTCACAATTTTGCTTTTCTTATTAAAAATGGCCAGAACTGGTGTTAAACAATGTACCATGAGATTTTTTTAGAGAGGGAGAAGGCCCCTGGCCTCGCTTTCCCGTTTCACTCTCGGGGAAATCTAGAAAATTCTTTCAGCTCCAGTTGGGCACCTCAGAATAAAGAATTTAGAGTGCGGCGCACTACGGAAAAATACAGTCATTTGATTGGCTAGCCGCGCTAGGCGCGCGCGGCTAAACTGAGAGTCCCAAAGGGTTAAAAATATCAAATATAATGAACCTTCAACGAAATCTTCACTCAACTATTTTTGGTTGTTTGATTTCCGGGACCTACTACGCAGGGATTAGCAGCGCTCAAGTTCCATTTGGAGGTGACAAATGGATGGCGGTCCCGGATTTTCGCAGTGACAGATTAGAATAAAAATTGAGAGCTACTCTTATATTAAATAAGTTACTTATCATTATTAACGATTCCTTTCATTTCCTTCTCTTGATTCTTTTCAAAACATTTCTCAAATAACTGTCTGTCCCTGCGAAAATCCGGGACTGCCATCCATTTGTCACCTCCAAATGGAACTTGAGCGCTGCTAATCCCTGCGTAGTAGGTCCCGTAAATCAAACAACCAAAAATAGTCGAGTGAAGATTTCGTTGAAGGTTCATTTTATTTGATATTTTTTAATTTCTAAATTGAAAAGATAATAATTACATTGTTTAACACCAGTTCTGGCCATTTTTAATAAGAAAAGCAAAATTGTGAATTAAATTTCTGATTTTTTTCGAAATCCTGGATCGCGCGGAATCCTGAATCACCCAATCTGCGTGATCAAGGAATTCGCGCGATCCAGGATTCCGCGCGATCCAGGAGCAGCCTGAAAAGGATGATCAAAATTACTCTCTAGAATCGTCTAACAAAAACCCCGACGAATTCGAAGGGCCCGATTGATGCTGTTTGAAATTTGACTGTAAATAAAGCCCATTTTTTATATTTTCTCTCTGAAAAACATTTATTTCAAAAATGATTTTGACCATTTTTATTCAAAAAAATGACATTTTCATGAGATTTCATGATATTTCTCTGCTGTTCGAATAATTTTTATGTTATCATTTAATTATACTGCTCTTTTTAGTAAGTTTTTTTGAAAAAATATATTCGCGCTAACTCTGTGGTTAGTACTATTACTAGTACAGTTCAATAGCCGTTTCGCAAGCACGCGAAAACTGCACCCTTTGCCTTTAACCACTAGTGCCCGTGGAGTGGTAAACAAATTAACGGTTCAGTGAAAATCCACAAACGATGTTCAACCAGGCCACAAACATTTTAAATGCGCGCCCGAATACGTTTCCGTCCGCGTTCTGGAGAAAAATGACTGAAAATTATACCATTCTAATCTGTGAGAAGAAACTTTATTCAAAAGAAAAAAATTTTGCCAAATTAACAAAAGAAAAAGTTATTTATTTTCAGAGCAGGCGAAGAAGGGCAATGCCTTCAAAAAAGTCAAAAAAGAATGCTCAAAACATTGAGACTTCAAAAATGGGCACAAACCAAGAAAAAGAAGTGCATTTCTGGAAGACCAATAAGATTGCCGTATTTGGCTCAGCGGCCAATGAAAACCAAGATTTATAAAATCACTTCCTTTTCTTGATTCTGCCCAAAAAATGAAGCCATGAGCTCTTTTTTTTTCGACTTTTTCCTGAATTTGTGTCGAAATGGCTCCATTCAATAAGCTATCGAGAGCCTTAATTTCCGCCACAGAATCGTCCGCGTCAAAAAGATATTCCAACCAAACATGCTCCTCCCTATAAATAACAGTAAGACACTCAAATGATCTTGTAAGCTGTTCTATTTAGAAGGATTTGTAAACTCCCCTTATCTCCTCAATGTCTCCCTCCCTCTTTTTGAATGAAGAAACTCGCTCCTTTTATCTGATCATTAAACATCAAAAAATCGTCAGGGCAGGAGCAGATAAGGATCATTTCTAAATCCGTCGCATCAGAAAGAATGGGCTTGCTGGGGACACGATAAGCCCAGAATTGGCCTTGTTGAGGAGCGAAATTAGCTGACTCTAGAATGCGTCCATACCAAGTTTATCAGTTGTGTTAAAGGTTTAGCTTTTATCTGGGATGTCTTCCAGTGGAAGGGGTCGACAAGTTTCTTTCTAAAAAGAGACTGCTATCCGACCTTTTTCGTCTCTTTTGGATAAAAACGGTAAATTATTTTGGTGTCAATAATTTGGCATCAATTTTCAAAACAATCCACTGTTTTCTCTCATCAAAGAAACACCTTGTCTATTTGATTAGACTGGTTAACTCTCATTAACCCGAAAGTATTTTGCAAAAAAGAAACAAAGGATAAGGACTTACACTTGATTCAGAACTCCACAAATTTCAGTATTGGCTACGTATATTTCCAGCGCATCGCAAAGACTAAAAACAAGTTTGCATTTTCTTACAGGAAGAAAAAAGACGGCAGCTTCCTTTTCAGCTCGATCAGTCAAGAAACGTGACTTCGCGAAAGCCCCGAAATTCGTAAGTGAAGGAAACAAACCCACATTGTCAGGTGCGCAAGAATCGCGAGGAAACTTACCTGTCTGAAATCATCAGCGCTGATCTTGCGACATTTTGAGCAACATCAACAACTGCTGTTCTAAAAACAAATTGTTACAAACGGCAATTTTTTTTTCTTTCTTTCTGGAACACGTGCTGCGGCACACCAGTCCGGATGGTTTACCCAAATGTTTTTGTACTTCAACAATTTCCGGGTGTTTCTTGTACTTCAATTAAAAATTATTCGAAAATTTGCAAAATTGCAATTCTTCGAAAGAAAAATAGTAGACAAAAACATTTAGGATCGACGCCATATTCCGGCTCAAAAAACGGGGTGGCGTCAGTAACCGACAAAAACTTTCGACTAATTTTGCGTGGGCGGCTACTCGGCTGTGGATTGGCGGGTCAGCCGAATCCAGACTTCTGATTGGTTGAAAATTTGTCGAAATTTTCTTGTCGGTTCCTGACATCTTCCCTCAAAAACCTGTGTAAAAACCTGAGTCAGGGAACTTACAGATATTTGATAGGATCTTTGCAAGCATCAGCCTTTTGAAAACGGTCGAAGTCATCAATAATTTGGTAGTACTCGTTTCTAAACATGAGCGCAAATTCGCTGAGTCTGATCGAAAAATCAATCGAGTCCAATTCGCTGAGTTCTAAAAAACATTCATAAGCAGTTGTTCACGCGTTGCGTTGCTTTTTCACCGAAAGCGAGGTCCAATGAATTGTAGAACACCAACGAATCCTGGATGAGCTCCATGATAAATGCGAGTGATGAGCTGGAGTCAACATCGAGTCTAAAAAAGCGAGATCGTTTTAGAAAAAAACGTATCATTTAATAATTGCTACCTCAAGAATGGCCTCAAGTTTTGAAATATCCGGAGCAAAGCCAACGCGGCTTCTTCTATTTCCTCCTGTTGGTCCGGCGAGAAGGTGCTTTTACTTGAATTAAAACGCACGATGCTGGTTGTTTCTAAAACGCCCTTGTGGTCAATGCTATCGGCTTTTTTGACGCGGAAGAGGGTTGTTTAACATCTATAAATATCTAATAGATAATCCTGCCGAACACGTGACCTTTTTTATGAGAAAAATTATGTTTTTAATTCAATTTTCCTGTTTTCTCCAACAAAATATTCGGCAAAAACTTCCGCATCGAAATCATCATAATTCGGCCTCTCAGATTTCTGCTTCAATCGATTGAACTGAATCCGGAAGTCGCTAACAGTAAATCCGTTCGCCTCGACTGAGCTCAATGAGAAGCGGTTTATGTACTCGACCAAGCCAGCAGGAGTCACGTTTTCGTTCTTTCAAAGGGAATAAGTCCAGATTGCGAAACAAACAATGAACTAGGAAGAAAGAGAACTTACAATATCGGCGGAAAATGATGCGATCAAAAGTTTTGCTTCATCACTGATTGTCGGGCTCTCGTTGATTCGTGAAAGCATCAACTTTTGTTAAGATGAATTTTATTGAAAATAATAGGATTTGGTTTCCAATTAACTAGTGGAAAATCGAGGAAGATTTTATCATTTGTATATCAATTTCTTTCGAGATATTTTTTCGCCAATTTACCATTTTTTTTTTTTAAATTTATGGTTTTTCTTAAAATGAATTTTCAACTCTTCCTGAATTCCATTGAGCACTTGTTCGGCGACGAAGTTGTTGACCGGAGCAAGTAAAGAAATCGCGCTAGAATTCCAAATAAGATCCCCCAGAGAAAATCGTCCCCTCGGAAAAGGGTTGATTAAATTCTCATTTGCTGTATTTCAAACTGAAAAATTCGGGCTGCTCCCCTTATTCCATTCTTTCTTACAAGAGAGAAGGAGTTCTGAACTCATTTCGTCAGGAACTTAAGTACAGTATCTGCCTCTCTTCCTCCCTTCGTTCCAAAAACAAGTGCCTTCCTCATACTTTCTTAGCGAGCTATTTACCAACGCCTTCCTCCAAAATTCCGGGAGAGGGGGAAGTGCCGTTATTTAAGCGAGCTTTAGAAGGTGACCCAAAGGCATAAGCGTGAATAGCTAATAAACGGGAAGGAGGCGGATTAATGGGGATGAGCCCCTCCTCGCCCGGATCTCCGCAAGCTTACCGATTTGGTCACCCCTGCACGTAAGGCGAGAACGTCTCTTATCTACTGTTAGATTTGTGTAAGACTTATTACCTGGCGTAACTTGAAAATAACCAAAAAAGACGCATTTTTCTCGATTTTCTCGATTTTCCGGAATTTTCCAAAATGGAAAAATGGCGAAAATGATCATCCAGCTCAAGCAGATCGAGAAGCAGAACAATAAGGGAGTTAACAAAGTAGCGGAACTTGACTGTGATTGTTCTTCTCAATCATTGTATAAATACAGGTCACAGATCAAAAGAATGCTTTTTTACTGCGTCAGACAATTTTTTTCCTGATAGGAACTTCCTATTACTAATTGGCTATCAGGATTGAATCACCATAAGAATTTTTTTGGCTAAATTTTTTTCATGAAAACTCAGGAAAAAAATTTTAGTCGAAAAATTTTTATGATCATTCTGAATGAGTCATTCATAATTCTGTTTTTAACCATCTCATTTGCGTAAAAAAATCTTTGTTACTGTGAGTTTTTTACTAACAAACGCCTTGCCTGTTCAAAAGATCCTTACCATATTCAATTTGAAAAAATCAACGTTATTAAAATCGCGAAGGGATTCAGTTTCGTTTGCTTTTCACTTCCTTCTTCCTCCTTCACGAATCGTTGGTTTATTTTCTTCCACCAAGAGGTGCTGAACTCGGCGATTTCCGCACACTTTCGTGGGCCCACTTTACTTTTGCTTATTTCTCTTTCCAGTCAGCTGCGGTTTCATTTTCCGAGATGATCGAGTGCCACCAAGCGAGGTCGCCGAACATATATTTTAATTCCAGCCACGAAATACTATACGCGAACGATTGGGATCAGAGAAAACTTATTGACTCTAAACTCGAAGTCCTCCTTCTCTGTAACCATGTTTTCGTGTTGTTATACACGCGAAACATCAATGGCGGTTTTTATTCAGTAACGATGTCTAAATCATTATTATAATAAAGGAGAGAGGACGGAAAGACAAGGTAATTTTCATGACAATTTTCCAGGTCAATTTCGCAATATTCTAGTAAAATGAATAAGTAGATATTCTTCAAAATTAATTGTCTAAGTCACTGTTGAAAACCTGAATCAGGGTCCTGAAAGGTCGCAGCTTTTCTCGGCCCTGAGTCAGGTTTTCTTCATACCGATGATTTTTGATGATTGCCCCAAAAATAAAAGGTCGAATAAGCGACGCCAAGCGAGTAGATTTTTTCTTTAGTGCCTGGAGGACCCCCCTGCTGGAAGAATTCTTAGTGAAAAGAAGAATAGTCTCGGCCTTTTTTTATTTAACCCGGTTTATTATGCCGTTTTTATTCGTGCCCTATTGAAGAGTTTATTTGAAAGTTTGAACTCTTTTTAGAAATGCTCGCAAAAGTTTGGCCGAAAATTTCTGTGTAAGTTTTCACAAATTTAACGATTTTATTTGATTTTGACTTTTTAAAACTCACTGTTTAAATTCATGAACTGTCGCGGAAATAAACATTACGAAATCGCGAAATTCGTTAAATTCGATTAAAAGTACCTTGGTTGACTTTCGGAGGAAAGATCGAATTTAAGAGCTGGCTGTTTAAAATTCGGACAGCTCTGAGTCGTCATAACATTTTCAATTACAAAAGTGAGCTGGCCCCAGCCGATCTTGCGGTTATTCAAATGCTGATTTCTAAGGAACTCGGGGGTCCCTGATTTAATTGCCGAGCAAAAGCAAATTTTCAGCCTTTCATCAGCAGAATCAAACAGTCCAAATAAGAAGAAGAATAAAAAACGTATACTCGGAGGGGTCTTTTTTACAAACAACATTCCGGAATTCGGGAGATTTGAAGAAACAACTCGGAGTGGCGAAATTACGTGGAGTAATTTCAACTCATGGAACGGCCAGGAAATCAAGAGCTTGAGGGTTTACCACGTGAGTTGAAGGAAGGACGTAGAAAACAACAATTTCGATTGTGAAAAACGCTAAATTGAGTTTTTTCTCGAGAAAAAATAACGCAATTATAAAAATTAAAAAATTTTTTCGATAATTTTTTTATCTAGAATTTTATCTAGAATTTTTTTCTTGAATTTTTTCTAGAATTTTATCAAAAATTTTTTCTAGATTTTTTTTTCTAGAAATTTTTTTTCTGGAAATTTCTTCTAGTATTTTTTTTTCAAAAATTTTGATTATCGAACTCAACAGAGAAGAATCCACAGTCAATTCTCAAAAAACTATCATTCTTGAATTATTTCGAGCTCATACCGCTATTACCCCCTTTTCCATTCCCGCGGTTGGGCAGCTTTACTTTCGCAATTTCGAGCTTCGAATTTATTCGGCGGTTTTCATTTCTGCTCCCAAAAATTCAATTGCAAAATTCTAAAAGGGCGGCTGTTTCGATTTAATCGCATTTGCTCGTTCCATTTTTGTCAAAACAGGGCTCGATACGATTGTTTCACTAGCTGCATTGAAACCAGTTGATTTAATCACTTTGAATGGAGTTCATTTAATCAACGTGGATAATCCAATCAGCGCGCATATTTTGCTTGACAAGAGTATTGTCAAAATATTAGCACTAAAACACGAAAAAGGAAATAAAGAAAGAGACGATAAACGTGGCGATAAAAGTTAATGTTTGAAATCAGCAGAGCTTTATCAGAAAAAAGACTCTTTTATATTTTTCGAGCCAAAAAAAATCAATTATTTGGCGAATTTTTGAAGTTTCATCGTAATCGTCTTGACTTCGTTTTTTTTTACCAAGAGTGACAGCATGATTACTGCAGCCCTCCTCATCTCATGATTTTCTAGAAATCTGCAAAAGCTGATGAAATTTCAAATCTGTTTGAAAGAATGTCAAATTTTATTAAGAAATATCTGCCGAAACACGTCTCCATGACCGTATCTACCCAGATTTAGAGCGTGTCTCTCTTTCGAAATCAAGCTTTTCAGTGTCCTGGATGAAGGAGTTTCTGAAGTGAAATACTTCTACAAATCACTTGGTTTTTCGGAAGAGGTCGATTAGTGGCGGCCCATTTGGTTTAGAAAAAGACGGACGGGTTGACACACGGCGCGAAATCGAGAAGAATTGGAGATGAGCATATTAATTTTGGAAAGGAACTGAAATTCAGCCAATTTCTTCTTTTTTTCCTTTGAATCTATTTTTTCTGTTCTTTTCTGCCTTTATATCAGGAGTAAGTAACGTGAGTTTTTTAATACCATGTCAAAGCAATTGTAGTTTTTTGACCGCTTAGTTACCACAACGTGGGCGAAAGACCTTCTGTAGCTCTATAAAACTGAAGCTTCTTTGAATTTCACGATTATCAATATTAGTTTAAATAAGAATGCGCTTTTCGACTTTCTTCTTCTCCTCAATTTTCGTCATTTCGATGGCGGCCCTATACGCCTTATACGATTTTCCACGAGGAAGTCGACATTGCTCTTGCAAAATTTGATGTAAGTATTTTTTGTTTTAAGTGTTTTTATCATTTCTTTTTGAAAGGATCTTGCTGAAAAAATGCCGATAAGAAATAACATTGCATCCCGTCGATATACTACCAAGCTCCGAAATTTCGGACCCGGAATCAAAAATCTTTTTGGACACTGTGCCCATCAAAAAGAAAGTCGACCTCGATGCAATTATCCCGCTCGCGGTCCGAAAGATTGGTGCCAAAAAAATGCAGATATTGTTGATTGCTTGTCGTTTTTGGCGAAAAAGTATGAATGTGGACTTCAAAGTAAACGAGAGAGAAGAGCTGTTCGAAAGGCAGGAAGAAAGCTTCGAAAATTTAAACAAAAATTTGACAAAAAATACTGCGAATAAATCGATGAAATATTTTCATAAAATTTCGTCAGAGGAGTTCTCAAGCCGGTGTTTCGCTTTTTTAGAAGACAGAAGCGCTATCAGTTAAACCAATGTTGTCTCACTTCTTCGATAAAGATCATCTCCGTGTTTTGGCTTGAGAGTTCACTCCACGAAGCTGCGGTTTGTTCACCACTTTTGAGACTTCTTCTAAAACGGAAAGGGCTTTGTAGAATCTCAATTGAGACGAGCCGCAACTGAATTTTAAGGAAATCACAAGCAGCGAGTCCTTTTTCTGGAACATTCGTCATTACAGAATTATTCTAGTAATTTGTCAATAGTGTAAGATAGAACCTTACTCTTCTTCTTTTAATTCATTATAAATAACTTTAATAATAAATACGAGAAGGTTCACGAAGAAGGGTCAAACTTGTTATTATTCAATAAAAAATTCACGACTTTATCGTCGGAACGAAAGAGCACTAACGACAGATAAGGGCTTATGACAGATTCAGCGTCTTTTTGGGTGAGCTATAATTAATGAAAACATACGCTTCGGGTCCATAAAAATCGACAAATGAAAGGTCTCAATTCAGAAGTACGAAAATGAGACTCGCAATTTTTCTCTTTTGATTGAATCCATCGCGTCTTATCATTTGGCGTCTCCATTTTTTCTCCAATGAAAAGGCAATTTCCGGGTAATTTTGACCTCAAAATGCCCAAGCCGCAATATTTCAACATAGCAGACTACATCAAAAAGCACAAAGCTGCGGTGAAGAATATTCAAAATCACATTGATCTTCAAACTCGATCTTTCAGAGCTCATGTTCTCTAAAACTGCGAAATTCATTGTCCTCCGAAAAACTGAAATAAATTAAAATAATCTAAATTGTCTCGACGTACTTGAAGTTGCAGGCGATCGCAAAGCAGGCATCTTTTTGTGGCTGATCTTATTTTTTCCGAAATTGAAAGAAGAAATGTTGCCACCACATATCGCGACATAACTACATATAAACAGCGGTCGGGGTTACAAATTCGGGCGAAATTGAAGAATCAAATAACTTATGAATGTCTTTTTCTGACATCTAAAAATGCAGCCTTTATTAATATAATATAATATAATATAATATAATATAATATAATATAATATAATATAATATAATATAATATAATATAATATAATATAATATAATATAATATAATATAATATATTGGTGGTTGACGAGTGTTCAATATATTATCACGTTTATTGCAGAAGCTTTTCGCCTTACGGCATCATCAGTGCTATGGAAAGTTAGAAACAGACAGAAAACAAAAGCAGTTACCTTTGGAG